ATGCAAAAATATTGCATCTCAATAAGTGTTATTTTTTTTCGTTTATATATCAAATTTAATTAAAAATCACATTCATAAATTCCATCGTATATATTTTAATATATCATTCAAGGCTTCGAAGAGATTACAGTTTCAAAATAGTTATTAGCCATTAAAAAAAAAAAAATGAAAAAAAAAATTGAAATATACAAAATCATGGTCAAGTTCCTGCATATATTTTGTTATAAAATAAAAATAAACGTGTATATATGATCACTATATAATCGACTGAGCGTAAAACAATGGAGGGCATTTTTTTCTCCCTTGCAACCAAGATGGAGAGGAGACAAGAATAGCCGACTTATGACATCTCTCTGTATATAGAATAAAAATATATTCCAGGAGATAAATAATTCTAGATGTTTAAATTTCAAATTGCCTTCCCTAAGAGAGATAAAGCTATAAGTGAGTGAGAGAGAAAGAGAGAGAGAAAGAGAGAGAGAGAGAGAGAGAGAGAGCCCTGCAAAAAAGGAAGTACGTTTTGTATTCAAATACGTATACATATTTCGAATGCATTTATTTCGGAATTGCCCAGCCCTGCTCTTTTATGCCAATGTGTGTGTGTGTGTTTGTGTGTGTCTCGTATCGCATTGCAAAACTTGGAATGACACGTTGCAGGCCTATATCGATGAAACTTTTAACCACTCGATATCGTCTCGTGTCTCTCTGGAACTCACGGGGTCTCTCCTCTCTTTCTTGTGGCAATAGTATGATAGTGGTGAGGAGAGTGAATCTGTGCCATGTCGCGTAAACATACTATAATAATATAATACTATAAATACATTGCGGCGAGACCAAACGTATGTAGGCGCCGGCGCCGGCCGCTTACATTATACATCGAGAAAGCATTATCCCTGTCATACAGTCTACATGCTCTTTCGCGCATTCTCCTTCTTTTCTCTCTCTCTCTCTCTCTCTCTCTCTCTCTCTCTCTCTCTCTCTCTCTCTCTCTCTCTCTTTCCAACCCTTTTTTTTTGCATCTCTTGTGACTCGTTTCTTTTCCACCTCTTTCCGCCTCGACATATCCCACCTTCGCACTCACATCTCCCAATGGCGTAACCATCTTAACGTATAGAACAATCAAAAGTTTATAGTTATGTGTATGAATAACGAAAAAAAACGATTATTTGCTAAATATATCGATATTTATGTATCGATACATAAATCCTTATCATCTGACAGTATAGGATATTTTAGTGCAAATATATCGATTATTTTAATATCGATATATCGATTATTAACTATCGATATATCGATTGATATATCGTTAGTATCGATTCAATAGTGTCGATATAAACGATATATTAGTGTAGATATATCGATTATTAACTATCGATATATCGATTGATATATCGATCATTTAGTATCGATTCAATAGTGTCGATATAAACGATATATTAGTGTAGATATATCGATTATTAATATCGATATATCTTTTATTAACTATTGATATATCGATTTTTTATTATCAATATATCTACATTAATATCGATATATCGATCATTTAATATCGATCCTATAGTGTCAATATAAACGATATATTAATGTAGATATATCGATTGTTAATATTGATATATCGTTTATTAACTATTGATATATCGATTTTTTATTATCGATATATCGACTTTGTAATATCGATATATCGATCATTTAGTATCGATCCTATAGTGTCAATATAAACAATATATTAATGTAGATATATTGATTGTTTATATCAATATATCGATTATTAACTATTTTTATATCGATTTTTTATTATCGATATATCAACTTTTTAATATCGATATATCTACATTAATATCGATATATCGATCATTTAGTTTCGAAACTATGGAATTGATTCTACAATGTCGATATAAACGATATATTAATAAAAATATATTTATCGATTGATATATCGATCATTTAGTTTCGATACTATTGAAGCGATCCTATCGTGTCGATATTAAATGGTCAATATGTACTCAACGTTATATCTAAATTAATAGATCGATATATCTACATTAATAGATTTATATATCGATATTATAAAATCGAGTAAATAATATTGAAATTAAATGATCGATATATCAATATTAAATAATCGATTAATTGAAATTTAATGATCGATATATAGTCATTTACTGAAAGATTAATCAATATTTAATGTTCAATATATCGATATTTAATTATCAATTAATCGATATTAACAATCGATATATCTACATTAGTAAATCGATGTATCGACATTACAAAATCAATTGTTTAATATCGATATATATTAATCAATAAACATCGACATATCAATTATTAAATATTGATTTATCAAAGATTTAATATCGATATTATTGAATCGATTTATTAATGTAGATATATCGATTGTTAATATCGATATATCGATTGTTAATATCGATACATCGATTGTTAATATCGATACATTGATTGTTAATATCCATACATCGATTGTTAATATCGATTGTCAATATCGATATATCGATCCTTAAATATCGATACAAACGAAACGATTCTATAGTATCGATACATCGATATATTAACGTAGATATATCAATTTTTTTTAGTATCGATATATCTATATTTTTTGTATTACACCTATAAAATCGATTCTTGAGTATCAATACATCTATCTGTTAGCATAGATATATATTGATTTTTTTAAATATCGATTTATCGATCTTTTTTGTTTTGATATATCGATATTTCAATAAGTCGATTTAAAAGTAGTTTTTTTTTTAATATTTCCATTTTCCTCTTCAAACCCAAAAAAAAGAATGAATAAATATTTTATATCATTATTCATCGACTGATTTGAATGATATATGATTTAACGTTTAAAATTGAATCACAGGAAACGAATAAGAAGAAAATGATGATGATGATGATGATGATGATGATGAAGAAAAAGGAATGAGGAGGAGATCCTTAAAATAACTTTCATATAGAGAGGATATAAATTGTGTTATATATATATATATATATATATATATATATATATATATATATATATATATATGGAATGCGGCACCGATTTGTTGATTTGGTGTCGACGAATGACGGGACACCAACAATGGTACAATGATTGAATCAACTGCTAATGAAGAGTGTGAATATCCATGTTATAAAGAAAGCAACAAAACGTGACAAAAATAAATTTTCACATGACAAAGTAGTTTATGATATGTCATAGATATATATATATATATATATATATATATATATATATATACCTAAACCGTTAAAATACTGATGCAATAATGATTTGAAAATAAAAGAAAAAAAATTTTTTTTTTTTAAATGCAACAATAAATTGAATTATAAATAATCCACATATTTTAAATGACAAAAAGAAACAATAAATTAAAATTATTTACAGATTTCTTCATATTTAAAAAAAAAATTATTCATTAATATTTATTATAATTTTTAATATATAATAATCGCAAAAAAATCCTATAAATTCGATATAGATGATGGCTATTGAATTATCGAATCAAACGATAGTCGATAGTTTATCGTTAAAAATACAGTTGATAATATAATCGAGAAAAGAAACTATCGATTCTATAATCGAAATAAATATTGATATTAATCGAAAGAGAAACAATTGATTCTAATCGAAATAAATAATATCGATATAAATCGAAACTACTACCATCGATATTAATCGAAAGAGAAACTATCGATTCTAATATCGAAATAAACGATTGTCGATAATAATCGTAGATAATATATACAATCGATACTAATCAAAAGAGAAACTATCGATTCTAATATCGAAATAAACGATTGTCGATAATAATCGTAGATAATATATACAATCGATACTAATCGAAAGAGAAACTATCGATTCTAATCGAAATAAATAATAGCGATATAAATCGAAACTACTACCATCGATATTAATCGAAAGAGAAACTATCAATTCAAATATCGAAATAAACGATTGTCGATAATAATCGTAAATAATATACAATTGATACTAATCGAAAGAGAAACTATCGATTCTAATCGAAGTAGATATTATCGATATTAATCGACATAGGTACCATCGATACAAATAGAAATATTTTTTGATCGATTAATCGAATTGAATATCGCAATTATAATAAATATTTATATATATATATATATATATATATATTTATTTATAGGTTAGTGATAAATTTTATTTGAAAATTTCGATTTTCCGCATCATTCAACTTAAAATATTTAAATTTAAGAGTAAATTTATAAAATATATCTACATAAATAATAATTTTCGGACTATTTGCTCTCTCTCTCTCTCTTTCTCTCCCGCACTTTTGATTTGGAAAATTAATTTTCACGTTAATAATGAGACTTGTCATAAGTATAAATTAAAATAAAATTATATGTATACGCAGATATATTCCAAGTAATACGAAAATTACAGCCAACAACAGCATTTAACGCGCAGTGATTCGAGGAGCTGTCTCATTTCTTAATAGAGAGAAACCCACGTATCCGGGTAAATAAGGCTTTGAATTATAGTCAAGATAAATTGAAGTAATAATCGTTGGCACCTCACACGTAGTTTTGTGCAAAAGAGAGAGAGAGAGAGAGAAAGAAAATTCAAAATCTAAAATAATACACACGCCAATTATAAAATAATTAACATTTTATTTTTTATAATTAAATTTTTTAATTTTAAATTGTAAAAAATATTTAAAAAAAAATTTTTTTTTTTTTTTAATATTATTTTGTTTTGTGACTTTTTCTTTATAATATTTTTATTTAAAAAAATAAATAAATTTTTTTAAACAATTGTTACACGTGTCGAAAAAAAAGTTATGAAATTTAATATTTACTTTTGTTGATAAAAAGTAATAAAAATTAAAATTGTTCAAAATTAAACAACTGAACATACAAAAGAGAATGGAAATTTTTTTAAAAAAAATGTTATAACCATGTATATATATATATATATATATACACATGACATTATAGAAATTTTTATTAATTCTTTAAAACTAATTGACTAATAGACACATGAACAAAAAAAAATATTAATAACTTGACAAAAAAAGAAGAACATAATCATTTAATGAGGTAAGGTATGTGAATTTTTTTTAATACTTTTGTCATGTACTAAAAAAAAAGTGTAAATAGCAGCTAACTTCAATTCGAGTAATTTAAAGGCCTGATCAGAATAGAAACATAACCAAAATCGTTACAACTGCAAACGCAATCGGAATAATGAGTTAGATAAGGACAAACAATATGTCTATCTTTCTCTAACTCATTCTTTCTGTTGCGTTTGCGATTACTATTACAATTACGTTAATATTCTGTTCAGGCCTTAAATTCGGGAATTCTAACCTCAAAATTTTCCTTTAAAATAAAGAATTTAGGGATTTTTTTACTCAAAATAATATAATTATTAGTGTACTAGCGCCAAAAGTGGTTTCTGTTTCTTTTTCAATTTCCATTTTATTAATTTCATTTTAAAAAATTATTTCATTTCTTCTTGCTTTTTTTTATCACATATCGATTCAAAATGTAAAGAAAAAATTTATGAATATGAAATAAGAGAGAGAGAGTGAATTTATTAAGTTGAATGACATATTTTAAATTATCGCGCGCTAATTATTTTGACCAATCAAGTGGCTTTTAACTCAATAGGTTATATTCATTTTTACAACGTAACAGCTGTTTTAATCTAAAAGCATGTTTTAAAAAACTTAAAGGAGATCCGAAATTAATTTCCGCTTTGTGTAAAATATTGTTGTAGTTATTAATTTTATTTTTTTGTTTAATACAATTTAAACATTTTCAATGTTTTTGTTTTATGACAAATAAAATTTATATATAATTTAAATATTAGCGCTCATTTTTGACGAAATCAACTGCAGCTCCACCTGTAAATTTCTAATCTTAAAATATGTTTCTCCCTTCTATTAACATTTTTCATTCTCAATGCTCATTTTTTAAAGCCTAAGCATAATAGATTCTTGAACGGGAACACAATCGTAAACGGAAACGTAAGAATGAGTAAGAGAATGATAGCAAATATCATTATTATTCTTACGTTTCTGTTTACGATTTCGTTCCCGTTCAACTATTCTGCTTTGGCCTTTATTTCAATAGTTTTTCGAGTTCGATTTATTTCTATTCGACCTTTTATAGCAATATTTTTTTTTAGAATCAATTTTTTGCTAATACTTCTAAATATTTTATTGTTTATATATATAGTAAAAATTAAAGTAAAATAAAATATATTTCTCTATTTTAGATCAGCTGATTCAGAATCAAAGTCGGAGAAAAACTACCAGTTAAAATAGAAAAATATTAATAAAATTAATTATAAATATTAAATATTATTAATTAATAAAATTCAATATTATCAATAAAAATTATTTATTAACATTCAATTATGCTTGAAAATACTATAATCTCCGCTCAACATTCAACAAATTTTCAATTTCTTTCTGTTTGTCACTACATTACGACATTTGGTATTTTCTTCTACAACAAAGATTTAATTACACTGGAACAACGAAATCAAACTGTCCCTGTATTAAATACTTATTTTGAATATCTAAATAATTCTCAAAATGAATACGAGGCAAAACTTCAGCTTCTAAAAAAAGTACTTAAAAGAAGTGATCTCTATGGTGGTGGTGAAAATGAAACACTTGACAAAAAATACGTTGAAGAAACATATCAGTACATCATAAGCACGGCTCTATTTTCACACTATGGAAACATAAATGGATATTTGGCAAAAATAATTAACACAGCGAATGATATAACTTATTCAGCGCTTAAGAAAAATGTATTTCAACATTTGTCACGAAATTACACAACCAAAGATTATTGTTCACCTAAAAATGATAATTACAAAATTAGTTCGTTAGCAATTAAAAAAATTTTCCAAAATAATATTTGGTCAATTTTTCCCGAACCAGAAAAAGACACAAGTATAATGGACGTGGATTATATATACGCAATGGTTGGTTTAAAAATTAGTCGCTCTGTATCAAGCGAAACATTAAATATTTCGTATCACGATTATATTTTAATTGCTCGTGAGTTAGATTTACAGGAAAATTACACAAATGAAATATATGAAATGATTTTAACATTTTACTCAACATCGGCACTATTTTTCTATGCCTATAATGAAAAGGAAATATTTAGAGAAAATGAAAATTTTCAAACTAATGAATTTTGGATGAAAGCTTATGAAACATTATTTTTACACATTAATTCAAAAATGCATAAATTAACCGAAGAAATATTTGCCAATCATATTCATTACAAACTTGAAAAAGAAATATCTAAACTAAAAACTCGAACATTCATTGCAACAAATATACTTTGGAAATATTGTAATTATTCAAATTATGATGATGTTTCAAAATTTTTTGTTGCACTGTATAAAACGTGCCAATGGATTGCAAAACGAATAGTTTTTTTTAAATGCAAAAGAAACAATCTTCCCATTTTGGAAAATGTCTATGAAGGACAATTTAAAAATATAAAAAAAATATATAATCAAATTGAAGTGAATTTAATTAGTAATTTCTTAGTAGACAATAATTTAGTTGAAAAACTAAATTCAAATGTAACTATTATATCTGCATCGGTTCTTTACAAACCTTATAGATGTTACAATTGTCTAAATATAAAACAAAAGTTAAACAATGATATATATGTTCTTTTTCAAATAGAAGAAAATAATAAAAAAGAATTTTATGCAATTAAACAGGAGAAAACTGGAATGACACTACTTGTAAATAGTGGAAATGAACGAAATTTTTCTAAAGCTATTACTAATTTAATATCGTTTCCAATAGATAATGGTGAATATTCTACAATTCTGAAAAAGGCTAATGAAGATTACAAAGTTTTTATTAAAAGGCTTGCCGACATAAAGACAACAGAATTTGTTACAAGTCTCATAGAGAACTATAGAAATGAAACTGCAGGCGAGCATATAATTCATTTTGCAAAATCACTTATACCATTTTACAGTTGTATTGAAAGTATTAAAGAAAACGATGATGAAGGAGCTACGATCAGTTGTATGCTGGATGTCTTGAGTCTGATACCAATTGCAGGTGTTACAGCAAAATACGGAGAAAAAATAACAAGTTCCTTAGTATCATCACTAAGCAAAAAATATTTAATTATTCCTTCGTTTGCAAAAACTGGAGTGAAAACCCTAATGCAAATTTCAAAAATAGCTGCCAGAACTGTAGCAGAAGAAATTCTAACCAAAAGCTTCTTAAAAGACCTATCAGTTGCAACTCTACGAACCATAGATCCTGGATTTGAACTCACCTTCCAGCTTAGCAGATTTGGTATCCGAACTATTTCCAATTCATATCGTTTTGCTTCTAAAATCTTTCTAAATCCTTCTATAATTAAAAGTTTCCAATCACTAGAATCCATTGTAAAAAGTCTGGAAAATATAAAACTCCCAACCTATAAAGGACTTGTACCAAAAATTCTACACGAAGAAAATAATTATCAAGTCGTTAGATTCTATTATCCCGGTGGTGAGAATACATTTGGACCTACATGTCTATCATCATTTGGAACAACTGCAGAATTAAGAACCATTGAAGGTAATCCATTTCAAGTTCCCGTTATCCCAATAATAGATGACGTTAACAAAATTTCCCCTCGACAATTTAGTCCCAAAACTGGTAAAATTTCCTATCGACAATTTAGTCCCGAGAGTGGTAAAATTTCTACTGTTAAACTCGAAATGACACGAAACGATCTTCTTAGAAAAATTATGCCCTATCTTAATTTAGACACAGATGTGAAAATAACACGTAATTATCAAGTTTATCACAATACAATTGAATGGCATGAAACACCAAAGAAAAAAATAAAGCCAGAGGGAAATGAAGAACAAAATTCGCAAATAGCTGTTATTCCTGATACTTCTCTAGAAAGTGTGCCAAGTGATAATATTCCAAAAATTATAAGTGGATCTCAACATAATTTGCCAGAAAAACCAACTGATGAAATATCTAAAAAATTAATGCCATCAAAAACTATCGAAATAGTAGGTTTGCCATCTGATAATATTCCTTCAACTTCGAAAGGATTTGGAAAAATTAATTCCCACGGATATATTATTTCTGGAACTAGGATAGAAAAACCAATACCAACCAAAAACCAACAAACCCAAAAATCAAAAAATTCTGAAACAAATCAAATCTTCGCTAGCGATAGTAAAAGTTACAGCAATTTTTTTGGAGAAGAAATGAACAATTTATTCGCTAGAACAATACAAGACTTCAAAGAAAGAGGATTTTCAATCGCTGAAGATGATATATTTTTAATGGCAGGAGTTCGAAGAATTATCGAAATGATATCTAATTTACAATCCATGGATACTGCAATCAAACTACCAGCAGAATTATGGTTGAGCACAAAAACTACACTCACTCATGTTAAAATATTGGAAAATTTAAAAGGAAAAGATTTCTATTTTAATGATCTTACATTTTTAACAGATATACCACCGATTGTAAATCAAAAAATCGTTCCCAAGAAAACGTCAACAATTGTATTAAAACCAGAAATTCGTTATCATATAAAAATTAATTCACAATATGGTTTTGTCGATCTTCCGGAATTTCACAATAGTTTCACAAATCAATATATTGTATTTCCAGAAATTGAATTCACTGTCGAAAATACTCACTATATCAATGGAAAATCGATTTTACAATTGGATTTAATACAAAAACCAATGACAAAAGAGAAATGGTTAAAAATAAGGGAACAAAATTCAATGTTACTTGGCAAGGAAGAGTTAATAAAAAATGAAAGAAGCAAAAGTATTGAAAATGCTGCTTACTCAATATCAACAAGAACACCACTTCATAGATTCATTGAATCAAAAAAATTATTAAAAAAATATATATTAAAAACCCATGAAACAAATTCAGATCTTACTTATAATTCATTGGCACAGGATATTTTTGGAGGTGGTTCAATACCAGAAAAATATGATGAATTTGAAATAAAAAATCATATTTTTATTGATGATGTATTATTTGAAAAATCATTGAATAAAATTGATAATTTAGAATTGGCAAAGAAAAGAATTAATGAAATATTTGATGGTATTTATGAACAGAATGTTGAACCTGTATTTAATAAATATTTAGAAACTGCAGCAATACACGATAATATGCGATTTGAAGATTACTATATTATTTATTCACGTTTTTCACATACTCTACCATTAGATATTAATACACAAAGAAGACTTGTATCTTCACTATATAGACTTGCATTAAGGCAATGTGATGAGGAATTAGTTAAAATTCCAAATACTCTTTATTATGCTCGAAATGTTCCTCTTGAGGATTTTAATAAAATTGCAGCAATCAAAAAAGATGAATACATCGAATTTTTATCCGGACATCCATTTAATTCGAATCGACAAAATGTTATAGAAGAACAATCAATTACTACATCTACTGATAAATTAGTATTGTATCAATTGGAAATTAAAAATCCAGCTGGTATTGCCTATATTGAACCAATTAATGAAAATGCAAACAAACAATATTATATTTCCTGTGCTGTGGAAATTAAGAAAGATAGAATGATTGCGACTAATATTGATGGAAAGGATGTTTTTGTTCTGAAAATTTATGATGATCCACAAACAAAAGAGATACGAATGGTTGAATTAGTTGATAGTTTAAATGAATTATATTCAACGGATACAAAGTTTTATGTTAATGATATTTAAATGTATTTTGAAATTATGCAATAAAAATTTTAAAAAATTTTTGAATTATCTTCTTTCTGTTATTTAAGCAAAAAAAAAAATAATAATTAACCAAGTTTTAAAGCAATAAAAATGAGAAATTTGTAAAAGACAAAAATTTTTCGATTATTTAAAGAATAAAAAATTATCGCATTTATGTATAGCAACTCGGAATATAAAATTTTGTTTGATAAAGTCAAATAGTCATTTAAGCATAAATGTAACTTTCATTTTACAAACTAAATATTTATATTCATTGCTCCTTGGAAACAGTATTTAATTAATTATTTCAAGTCAGAAGTAATTGGTCGCTGTAAGTAAAATTTTTAAATACTACCTACAGTTACATTTTACGTCTTAAAATTTAATTTGCAACACTTCTTATACCATAAACTAAACGATTTTTAAAAATTAAAATTTTTTAGTTTAAAAATTTATTAATCTGAATACAATAGAATTTACTTTTAATGTTAACCCTTTAACTGCAGATGACAAAGATTTTATACATCAAATCTTTGCCAAATTTAATGGGTTAAGAATTATAATCATAAATAAAGAAACATAAACACACTTTGGATTTGTGATTTAATTACTTCTAAAATTTTCCTTTCGTTTGGAAATATTAACTTCAATTTCAGATATAAAATAATTATAAATAAATTTTCGGGGCGGTATTCTGAACCTTAATAATAACCAGAATAAAATTCTGAAATAAAAAATTTATTTTTAATGATCCTACACGATAAATTGCACATAAAATAATTCTACACCACTAATTTTGTAAATGAGTCGCCGGAAAGTAAAACCACACATAAAATTCTGACTCCCATTGAATTAACATGGCCGTCAGAATTTTATGTGTGGTTTTACTTTCCGGCGACTCAAATAAAATTCTACAGTTAAATGCTAGAACTTTTAATCAATAAATTTTTAAATTCTACACAGTAAAGTTCTAAATGAAAAACTCTCCACGATTAATTAGAATTTTTTAGATTCCACATAGTTAATATGGCAACTCATTTTTATAGGTTAATAAATAAACAATATACTTTGTCCAACGCCTTCGGTGGAATTGTGCTATTGTACACTAGTCACCAGTGGAGGAATGTACTACATTTCTCCACTGGTGGTTTGGCCAGTGGAGGAATGAGAAATACTGAGAGTAGAGTGGGGATACCCACTTGAAAAGATTCCCCGGAAAGTGCCCCCTGGAGATTCCATCAGAATTCCATCGGAACTTTCAACGGAATTTCATCGAAGTTCCAAAGAATTTCCGATGGGATTCCGACGGAATTCCGATAAAATTCCAAAGAATTTCCGATAAAATCCCGATGGGATTCCGATAGAATTCAAATTAATTCCTTTTTAATTTTTAGAATCCTACGTTAAGAAAATTTTTTAATATATAAAATAGAATTTTTATCATAGAAACTTTACTAAAAAATTTTATCTTAGTGTATGGCTCAAAAGATTAAAAAAATCGTATTCCCGTTGGAATTCCGATGAATTATCATAGAAACTTTCTAAAAAAAAATATATTTTTAATTAAATATTTACTTGACATCGTTAAAAAAATGGAATATGTATTAAAAAATTCGTAAAAGAAAAACATAAATCGAATTCAAACAATGTTATTAAACTTGACAGATCGATTTAATTTCGATTAATCGATTTCTAGCTGTGCTGATAAATATTTCATAAAAAATAAAATTTTTTAGTAAAGTTTCTATGATAAAAATTCTATTTTATAATATTTAAATAGTTTAACGTCCGAGAAATATATTAATTAGAAGGTTTCGTATGAATAAAAACGATAACATTCGGACCATTGTTGTTTTAATAAAAGTTTACTCCAACGTTTCGAAATCTAAATGATTTCCTCTTCAGGGAGTCTATCAAAATTACAATAAATTGTCAAATAAATAAATACAAAAAAATAAAAAAATAATTAAATTAAATACAGTGAAACATCAAAATAAATACAGTCAATAATTAATAAAAAAAAATACAATAGATAGTAAAAAATAAAAAATAAATAAAATAACAGTAATAAGTAATAAATTAAATACAAACAATTTAAAATAATCTTACCAAATAAGAAACATATATGTCAAGTCATAGAAATAATGGTCAATTGCGGTGTCAAATTAATAAAAACAAAACCACCCTAACGTTGGAGAGAAACATAGAGTTTGGAGTTCAAATCTAAAATTGAATAATCAAATTCACTATAAATTAAAAATTATATAAAGAATAAATTAAAAATTATATTAAGAATAAATTAATAAAGAATAAATTAAAAATTTGAAAATTAAAATAAAAGATTACATACCAATCAATCCATTTTTTAAAAAAAATTTAATAACTGAACAGACACATTATAAACAAAACATATGATAAATAAATAAATAAATCACACAATCTATAAATAAACAATATAAAATGAAATAAATAATAAATAAAATAAAATATTATGTGTTCTGTTCCCAACGTCAACTTTCAAACTGATCTCCAAACACTATCGACTCTTTACAATAAATTATCAATTGAACAAAACGAAAATAAAAACAAAAACAAATGTATAAGAAATAGAGAATAACGAAAATGAGCAATTTTTCATTTTAAATTGTTAGAAATAAAATTCAAAATTTTTTCATACGACTTATCAAAATTTTCCAAGTCTGTCATTTTATTTAAGCTATTTTTTCCTTCTTTTTTAATAAAACACATTTCAGCAAATAATCGTTTTTTATAATAATTATAATTATTTATTTTATAATAATAATAATTTTCTTAATGTAGGACTCTACAAATTAAACAAGTTGAAAATTCAGATGTTCATTACATGAACATTTTGCTTCCTCTTTACGATCAGCAAAAAAATTTGCTTCCTCGTGGAGAAAGTAAAATTTTATTGCCAAAATGTGAATTTTTGATTTTTTAACTTTCATTAATTCTTTAAATTTACCTCAAATGTATACTTTATATATATATCGATCGATTTGTCTTGACGTAAGGAATACAAATTTTATTATATATAACCTTAAATTTTTCTATTTAAAAATTTTTTCGATTAAAAAAAAATTTTTGAAAAAAAGACGATGAAATTTTTTTTTTGGGTATTTTTTAAAATCCTTTGGTCAGATTTGAGATATTAATATGATAAATAAGCCTACCAAATTTTATCTAAATTCATTAAAACCTGTTAAAGTTATCTTCTAAACAAAAAACTTTGAAAAGTTTTATAAACGAAAGGACTACAAAGCTTCCTCCACGAGGAAGCAAAAATAATTAATCGGAATTCCATCGGAATTCTATGAGAATATAATCGGAATTCTGTTTGAATTTCCGATGAAATTCTCATTGAATCTCCAGGGGGCACTTTCCGAGGAATCTTTCCAAGTGGGTAAAAGGCGTAATAAAAATTGCAAAACTAATAATAGATATTAAGCAACTAACTAAAACTTTTAATGATCGCTAATCACATAGTTGATGACAAATTGACAGTTGTCATATTAACTGTTAACTTATTGACAACTTAACATCAAATTTGTCACCAATAACACCGCAAACCCTTTTATTGAAATTTTTTTTAAAACAAAGAACTTTTTATAAAACTTGACACTTGATTTGACAGCTGTCAAAATATAATATGAATTAAAAAAATTATCAATTTTACCTTAAATTCTATACCAGCGGATCTGAAAATGTTTTTACTTTCATTTTAGAACGAAAAGATCTCTTTTCAGCAAACTTGACAGTTTATTTAACAGCTGTCAACTGTAATTTATAATTTTAATTAACCGTGGAGAGTTTTTCATTTAGAACTTTACTGTGTAGAATTTAAAAATTTATTGATTAAAAGGTCTAGCATTTAACTGTAGAATTTTACTTGCAAAATTAGTGGTGTAGAATTATTTTATGTGTAATTTATCGTGTAGGATTATTAAAAATAAATTTTTTATTTCAGAATTTGATTCTGGTTATTATTAAGGTGCAGAATCTTCTTGTGCAGAGTTAATAGTGTAGGGTTTTCCTGTGTGCAATTGAATGTGTAGAATAAAATTATGTTTGATTTAATTGTGTAAAGTAAAAAATTGTTAATTAATTTTATTTTGTCCAAGTGTAGGATTTTTTTTTTTGTAAAATTATCGGTGCGCAATTTTCTCGTGTAGGGTTTATTTGTGTAGAATCTATACCGCCCCTAAATTTTTGACTATTGAAATACCATTTATCTCCACTGTTTATGGAACGATTTTTAAATACTGATGCTAGAAAAATTATTAGAAATTAAATAAAAGGACAATACAATTTTTTCAGATTCACTGACGAAATATCAAAAAGTACACTAGGGATACAATAGTGAAAGTAAAAAAGGCAAAGAAAATTATTTAAAAATTTTCTATTAAAAATGAACGAAACATCAGTTTTTACTCAACATTCCTTAAATTTTCAATTTCTATCCGTTTGTCACTACATTACGACATTTGGTATTTTCTTCTACAACAAAGATTTAATTAAACTGGACCAACGAAATCAAACTATTCATGTGCTAAATACATATTTTCAATATCTAAATAATTCCCAAAATGAATACGAGACAAAACTTCAGCTTCTAAAAAAAGTACTAAAAGGAAGTGATCTCTATGGTGGTGGTGAAAATGAAACACTTGACAAAAAATACGTTGAAGAAACATATCAGTACATCATAAGCACGGCTCTATTTTCACACTATGGAAACATAAATGGATATTTGGCAAAAATAATTAACACAGCGAATGATATAACTTATTCAGCGCTTAAGAAAAATGTATTTCAACATTTGTCACGAAATTACACAACCAAAGATTATTGTTCACCTAAAAATGATAATTACAAAATTAGTTCGTTAGCAATTAAAAAAATTTTCCAAAATAATATTTGGTCAATTTTTCCCGAACCAGAAAAAGACACAAGTATAATGGACGTGGATTATATATACGCAATGGTTGGTTTAAAAATTAGTCGCTCTGTATCAAGAGAAACATTAAATATTTCGTATCACGATTATATTTTAATTTCCCGTGAGTTAGATTTACAGGAAAATTACACAAATGAAATATATGAAATGATTTTAACATTTTACTCAACATCGGCACTATTTTTCTATGCCTATAATGAAAAGGAAATATTTAGAGAAAATGAAAATTTTCAAACTAATGAATTTTGGATGAAAGCTTATGAAACATTATTTTTACACATTAATTCTAAAATGCATAAATTAACCGAAGAAATATTTAACAATAATCTTCATTACAAACTTGAAAAAGAAATATCTGAACTAAAAACTCGGACATTCATTGCAACAAAAATACTTTGGAAATATTGTAAGTATTCTAATTATGAAGATGTTCCTAATTTTTTCGTGGCACTGTATAAAACGTTCAATTGGATTACAAAACCAATAGTTTTTTTTAAATGTAAAAGAAACGATCTTCCCATTTTGGAAAATGTCTATGAAGCACAATTTAAAAATGTAAAAAAAATATACAATCAAATTGAAGTGAATTTAATTAGTAATTTCTTAGTAGACAATAATTTAGTTGAAAAAATAAATTCAAATGTAACTATTATATCTGCATCGGTTCTTTACAAACCTTATAGATGTTACAATTGTCCGAATATAAAACAAAAGTTAAACAATGATATATATGTTCTTTTTCAAGTAGAAGAGAATAATAAAAAAGAATATTATGCGATTAAACATGAAAAAACTGGAATGACTCTACTTGTAAATAGTGGAAATAAACAAAATTTTTCTAAAGCTATTACTAATTTAACATCGTTTCCAATAGATAATGGTGAATATTCCACGATTCTGAAAAAGGCTAATGAAGACTACAAAGTTTTTATTAAAAGGCTTGCCGACATAAAGACAACAGAGTTTGTTACAAGTATCATAGAGAACTATAGAAATGAAACTGCAGGCGAGCATATAATTCATTTTGCAAAATCACTTATACCATTTTACAGTTGTATTGAAAGTATAAAAGCAAACGATGAGAGAGGAGCTACGATCAGTTGTATGTTGGATGTCTTAAGTCTGATACCAATTGCAGGTGTAACGGCAAAATACGGAGAAAAATTAACCGAGACCTTAGTATCATCACTAAGCAAAAAATATTTAATTATTCCTTCGTTTGCAAAAACTGGAGTGAAAACCCTAATGCAAATTTCAAAAATAGCTGCCAGAACTGTAGCAGAAGAAATTCTAAACAAAGGCTTTTTAAGAGACCTATCAGTTGCAACTCTACGAACCATAGATCCTGGATTTGAACTCACCTTCCAGCTTAGCAGATTTGGTATCCAAACTATTTCCAATTCATATCGTTTTGCTTCTAAAATCTTTCTAAATCCTTCTATAATTAAAAGTTTCCAATCACTAGAATCCATTGTAAAAAGTCTGGAAAATATAAAACTCCCAACCTATAAAGGACTCTTACCAAAAATTCTACACGAGGAAAATAATTATCAAGTCGTTAGATTCTATTACCCCGGTGGTGTGAACACATTTGGACCTACATGTCTATCATCATTTGGAACAACCGCAGAATTAAGAACAATTGAAGGCAATCCATTTCAAGTACCCGTTGTCCCAATAATAGATGACGTCAACATAATTTCTCATCAACAAATTAGTCCCGAGGGTGGCAAAATTTCCCATCAACAATTTATTCACGAAGGTGGCAAAATTTCTTATCGACAATTTAGTCCCGAGAGTGGTAAAATTTCTGCTGTTAAACTCGAAATGACACGAAACGACCTTCTTCGAAAAATTATGTCCTACCTTAATACAGATATGAAAATAACACGTAATTATCAAGTTTATCACAATACAATTGAATGGAATAAGACGCCGGCAGAGAAGGAGGAACCTAATCCAAATGAAAATTTGAATGCAGAAGAACAAAATTTGGCATTAGGAGTTAATTCCGATACTTCTACTTTAGGAGAAAGTATAACAAATAACAATATTCCTGGAACTTTGAAAGAATCTAAACTTACAGTTAAAGGAGGTTTACCAAGTGATGATATTCCTGGTACGTCAAAGGGATCTGTTCAACTTAGTGCAAAACCAACTAATAATATTCCTAGAGCTTCTGAAGAATCATCATCTCATTTGGTCAGTAGTAGCAGCAGCAGTAAAATTTTTACAGAATCTAATAACTTATTTGCAATGATATTAAAAAAAATCCAACAGCAAGGAGTTTTTTTAAAACTAGAAGATAAATTAGCCTTGTCATCATGTCGAAGAATTCTCGAAATGATAGCTAGTTTCCAATACAATTCAATTAAATTACCAACGGATTTATGGTTTACCAAAACAATAAGTAGACTGTCTCATGTTAAGGATTTAGAGAATTTAAAAGGAAAAACATTTTATTTTAATGATCTCACATTTTTAACAGACATTCCACCGATTGTAAATCTAAACATCGTTCCTAAGAAATCGTCAACAATTGCATTAAAAACAGAAATTCGGTATCATATAAAAATTAATTCTCAATATGGATTTGTTGATCTTGCTGCATTTCACAATAGTTTCACAAATCAATATATTGTATTTCCAGAAATTGAATTCACTGTAGAGAATACTCACTACATTAATGGAAAATCTATTTTACAATTGGATCTACTACAAAAACCAATGACAAAAGAAAAATGGCTAAAATTAAGAAATCAGGAAGTAATGTTACTGCAAAATGAAGAAAAAATAAAAAATAAAAGAAGTACAAGTATTGAGGATGCTGCTTATTTTATATCATTAAATACTCCTCTACATAGATTTAGTGATGCGAAAAAAATGTTAAAAAAATACATTTTAAATACCGATGTGTTTTCAAATACAGTACCTACTTACGATATGTTGGCACAAGATATTTATGCAGGTGGTACACTTCCGGAAAAATATAACGAATATAAAATAAAAAATAACATTTTTATTGATGATGTACTTTTTCAAGAATCATTACACCAAGTAAACAATTTAGTATCTGCAGAGGAAACAATTGACAAAATTTATGGTGGAATGTCAATGCTGGATGTGGAATCTGTATTTGTAGTTTATCACAATACACCAATAATTCGTCAAAGTATGCGATTTGAAGATTTCTATTTTCTCGATTCATATTTCTCTAATAATTTATTATTTGATATTCATACACAAAGAAGAATTATAGCATCATTAAATCGTCTGGCACTAAGACAATGTGAAGATAAAATTATTAATTTTCCAAATATTCTTTATAGTGCGAAAAATCTTCCTGAGGAAGTTTATAACAAAATTTTAACACTCGAAAGAGGTAAATTTATGATATTTGGTTCACATTATTCATTTCAATCAAATGAAGAAGCTGTTGTAAAATATTCTCCAACCACTGCCTCTAATGAAAAATTATTATTATATCAATTGGAATTTAAAAATCCAACTGGAATTGCATATATTGATTCTAATTATCAATTTAAAACTGTACAATACTATGTTCCTGATGAACTAAAAATGAAGATAAGTGGAATAATTACAAAAACTATTGAAGGAAAAGAATTAAAGGTCATAATATTAAAAGATGATACACTGTCGAAAGAGAAACGTATCGTTAAATTAGTATATAAACTAAATGAATTATTTTCAACCAATACAAAGTTTTACGAAAATATCTAAACTCTCAATTATTTTTATTTTTTCTAATTTTAATTTATATTATGTATATGTAATGTAATTAATATTAATGATTAATTAATTAATATAATATTATAGTAATTAATATTAAATTTTGTAATAGTAATAAAAAAAATTAAATAATAAAAATAATAAATAATTATTAATATAAATATATTGCATAAGAAATATTTACTTTTAATTAAATAAAGTGATACTAAGAACCCAAGTGGAAAATTTATGTATCCGCATATGTCAACTTTTGCTACTTGAAAAAAATTCTAATATCAATTATATGAAATTGTTTTATATACAAATATTTAAAAAAAAAAAATTTTTGAAACTAACTTTTGCTACACGTGTAGAAATACATTTTAATTATATATTTATTTATTGATAAAGTTCTATGAAAAAATGTTAATTGAACAATTGAACATACAAATAAAAATGAAACTGTTGTTTAGAAAGATGTCTAATTATTTATTATCAAATAATTTTTTTTCTAATTCTATGTAACTAGTCACAAAATGCTAAAAATAAAAAGAAAAAAAAGGTTTAAATTTATATACAAATTACATTTTCAAACAAATTTTTTCTGTCAAACTTGAAATAGAACCATGAAATAAGGTAAGAATTAGTTCACATTCAATTGAATTTAATTATAATAGAAAATTACGGTTTTTTTATGTTTTACTGCAAATATAATACATTTAAAGTTCTATACGTATTAATTAGTTAATGAATTTATTAAAATTATTATTAATTATTAATTATTTAAAAATTATTTCTAATTTATGTTTTAAAAATGTATAATTAGATTCCCACTTGGAAAGATTCCCCGGAAAGTACCCCCTGGAGGTTCTATGATAATTCCGTCGGAATTCCATAGGAGTTCCAAAGAATTTCTGATGGGATTCTGATGGGATTCCTACGGAGTTCCGATTAATTTTTTTCAAAATTTTTAGAGTCTTAATTCCGTTGGAATTTCTTCGGAAATTCTTTAGAACTCCAATGGAATTTTAACGGAATTACGTTGGCAGTTCCGGCGGAATTCTGATAGAACCTCTAGGAGGCACTTTCCGGGGAATCTTTCCAAGTGGGTTATTTCAAATTTTTTCTAACTTTCTTAAGTTTATTATAATTTCTATATATAGAAGTAAAATATAAATTTTACTATTTTTCAGATCTGATAATTAAGCATCTAAAGTTTAAAAAAGTGCCGAGTTTCTGAAGATATAATAAAAAAAAAAAACTAGACACCAGAGTGTCATTTAATAAAATGGAGAAACTAACAATTTCAGCTCAACATACATCAAATTTTCAATTTCTATCTGTTTGTCACTACATTAACAGTTTCGGTATTTTTTTTTACAACCAAAATTTAATTACATTAGACCAGCGAAATCAAACTGTCCCTATACTAAATACTTATTTTCAATATCTAAATAATTCTCAAAATGAAAACGAGGCAAAACTTCAGCTTCTAAAAAAAGTATTAAAAGGAAGTGATCTCTATGGTGGTGGTGAAAATGAAACACTTGACAAAAAATACGTTGAAGAAACATATCAGTACATCATTAGCACGGCTCTATTTTCACACTATGGAAACATAAATGGATATTTGGCAAAAATAATTAACACAGCGGATGATATAACTTATTCAGCGCTTAAGAAAAATGTATTTCAACATTTGTCACGAAATTATACAACCAAAGATTATTGTTCACCTAAAAATGATAATTACAAAATTAGTTCGTTAGCAATTGAAAAAATTTTCCAAAATAATATTTGGTCAATTTTCCCTGAACCAGAAAAAGACACAAGTATAATGGACGTGGATTATATATACGCAATGGTTGGTTTAAAAATTAGTCGCTCTGTATCAAGAGAAACATTAAATATTTCGTATCACGATTATATTTTAATTGCTCGTGAGTTAGATTTACAGGAAAATTACACAAATGAAACATATGAAATGATTTTAACATTTTACTCAACATCGGCACTATTTTTCTATGCCTATAACGAAAAGGAAATATTTAGAGAAAATAAAAATTTTCAAACTAATGAATTTTGGATAAAAGCTTATGAAACATTATTTTTACACATTAATTCTAAAATGCATCAATTAACCGAAGAAATATTTGCCAATAATCTTCATTACAAACTTGAAAAAGAAATATCTGAACTAAAAACTCGAACATTCATTGCAACAAATATACTTTGGAAATATTGTAATTATTCTAATTATGATGATGTTTCAAAATTTTTTGTTGCACTGTATAAAACGTGCCAATGGATTGCAAAACGAATATTTTATTTTAAATGCAAAAGAGACAATCTTCCCATTTTGGAAAATGTCTATGAAGGACAATTTAAAAATGTAAAAAAAATATACAATCAAATTGAAGTGAATTTAATTAGTAATTTCTTAGTAGACAATAATTTAGTCGAAAAAATAAATTCAAATGTAACTATTATATCTGCATCGGTACTTTACAATCCTATTAGATTTTACAATTGTCCGAATATAAAACAAAAATTAAACAATGATATATATGTTCTTTTTCAAATAGAAGAAAATAATAAAAAAGAATTTTATGCAATTAAACAGGAGAAAACTGGAATGACTCTACTTGTAAATAGTGGAAATGAACAAAATTTTTCTCAAGCTATTACTAATTTAACATCGTTTCCAATAGATAATGGTGAATATTCTACAATTCTGAAAAAGGCTAATGAAGATTACAAAGTTTTTATTAAAAGGTTTGCCGACATAAAGACAAAAGAGTTTGTTAAAAATCTCATAGAGAACTATAGAAATGAAACTGCAGGCGAGCATATAATTCATTTTGCAAAATCACTTATACCATTTTACAGTTGTATTGAAAGTATAAAAGAAAACGATGAAAGAGGAGCTACGATCAGTTGTATGTTCGATGTTTTGAGTCTGATACCAATTGCAGGTGTAACGGCAAAATACGGAGAAAAATTAACCGAGACCTTAGTATCATCACTAAGCAAAAAATATTTAATTATTCCTTCGTTTGCAAAAACTGGAGTGAAAACCCTAATGCAAATTTCAAAAATAGCTGCCAGAACTGTAGCAGAAGAAATTCTAACCAAAAGCTTCTTAAAAGACCTATCAGTTGCAACTCTACGAACCATAGATCCTGGATTTGAACTCACCTTCCAGCTTAGCAGATTTGGTATCCGAACTATTTCGAATTCATATCGTTTTGCTTCTAAAATCTTTCTAAATCCTTCTATAATTAAAAGTTTTCAATCACTAGAATCCATTGTAAAAAGTCTGGAAAATACAAAATTCCCAACCTATAAAGGACTCTTACCAAAAATTCTACACGAAGAAAATAATTATCAAGTCGTTAGATTCTATTATCCCGGTGGTGAGAATACATTTGGACCTACATGTCTATCATCATATGGAACAATTGCAGAATTAAGAACAATTGAAGGTAATCAATTTCAAGTTCCCGTTGTTCCAATAATAGATGACGTTAACAAAATTTCCCCTCGACAATTTAGTACCGAAAATGGCAAAATTTCCTATCGACAATTTAGTCCCGAGAGTGGTAAAATTTCTACTGTTAAACTCGAAATGACACGAAACGATCTTCTTCGAAAAATTATGCCCTATCTTAATTTAGACACAGATGTGAAAATAACACGTAATTATCAAGTTTATCACAATACAATTGAATGGCACAAAACACCAACAAAAGAAGCAAAACCAGAGGGAAATTTAAATCAACAACAAAATCCATTGATGGCTCTTAATTCTGATACATCACTAGAAAGGGTGCCAAGTGTCAATATTCCTAGAACTCCAACTCAACGGGGAAATTTACCAGTGGAGGAAAAATTAACAAAAACTATTGCAGAAGGAAGTTTGCCATCTGATAATATTCCTACAACTTCGAAAGTTTCTGTACAAATTGTACCAATTTCTAAAAATTTAGTTGAAATTGTAAAAGGAAATTTGCTAACTAATGATATTGTTCGAGAATTTAAGCCTGTTATTAATCCAATTGCAGATAGAAAAAGAGGTTATAATAACATATTATCAAGTCATCAAAATCCAATTGATAAGACACCAATGAAAAAGATAAAACCTGAAAATTTGCCTGCAGTATCAGATTCTTCTATTATTTTACGAGGAAGCAAACCGATTGATAATATTCCTGAAACATTAAAAATTTCCCAAAAATTCTTTAATCAAAATAATTTCCACAATACCCTTGCTACATTATTAATGAAGTTTAAACACGAGGGATTATTTGCCTTAAGCAAACAAAGAGGATTAATGATAGATCTTCGAAAGAGTGTCGAAATCATATCACGTGCTCAAATAATTAAAGATTTTTATAAACAACCAATTGAAATATGGTTTAGTCCAACATTTACAAGTCAATCTGCTATTAATACTTTAAAAAATTTAAAAGGAAAAAATTTTTATTTCAATGATATTACCTATTTAACAACAGATAATTCTTTAACGAAAACATCAAAAATTTCTCTAAACACAGAAGTTCGTTATCACATGACATTTAATTCTTACAATGGACTTGTTGATCTAGCTGAATTTGATATTCAATTTAAAAATCAATATATTGTATTTCCAGAAGTTAATTTTTATGTAGCTGATGTTAAATATTTTAGTGAAGATGGTATTTTACAATTGGATTTAATACAAAGGCCAATTGCAAAAAAAAATTGGATAAAATTAAGAGAAAGAAAATCAATGTTACTTGGCAATGAAGAAATAATACAAAATGAAAGAAGTAAAAGTATTGAGAATGCTGCTTATTTTCTATCAATAAATATACCTCTACATCGATTTAGTGATTCGAAAAGAATATTAAAACAATATATTTTAAATAATGGTGTGATTAAAAATTCAGTACCAACTTATGATAAATTAGCATATGATATTTATGCAGGTCGTAAACTTTCTCAAGAATATGAAAATTATAAAATAATAAATAACATTTTCATTGATGATGTACTTTTTCAAAAATCATTATATCAAGAAAAAAATTTAGAATCTGCAAAACAAACAATTAATAAATTATATGGTACTATGAATATACAAAATGTTGAATCATTATTTGAAATTTATCAAAAAACATCGGCAATTCATCAAAATTTATTATTTAAAGATTATTATGGTATTAATTTATATATTAATGATTTTTCAAAAATATCCGATATACATGTACATAGACGACTTCTTGCTTCATTATATAGATTGGCATTAAGACAATGTGAAGAGAAAATGATAAGTAATTCAATAACTCTCTATTCGGCAATAAATATTCCCATTGATATATTTAGAAGACTTTTAACATTAAAAGAAGGTAGTGTCATTAAATTGGCACGAATGACGCCATGTTATACAAATGAAAAACATTTAATTAAAAATTGGCCAAAAGCTAAATCAGACGAAAGATTATTATTGTATCAATTTGAAATGAATAATCAAGCTGGAATAATTGACGTTAATAATATTCTTTCAAATTCAATTCAATATGTTATTCCTAGTGAAATAGAATTTAAAAAAGGTATTTTAATTATGAAAACAATTGAAGATAAAGAAGTTAATCTTATGAAACTTCACGATGATGAAGAAACATCAATAGAGGCACGTATGGTGAAATTAATTAATTCAATGAATAAATTGTTATCAACTGAAACTGAATTTTACATTAATAACAATAAAATTATTCAATAATTTATTTTTTAATATTTCTACTTAAATTGTAGGTATATTTATTATTTCTTTCAAAAAAGAACAATTTTAATATGTTAGAAAAATATTTTTTTTTAAAAATATAGTGATAAAATGTATAATAATTTTAAGAATAATAAATTATTGTCATTCTGTTAATGAAATATAATAAAATCCTTTATAACATTAGAACCGAATCGTCAATTATCTTAAAATTAGAGAAAAAAATTATGTTAAGCATCACTTTTTTTCTAATTTAATTTTAAAATTTTACTGAAAAATCTATTCAAAAATTTTAGAGATTAATAATAAAAAAAAAAAAAAAAAAAAAAAAAAAAAACAGCAGAGGGATGGTGACGGTAAGAAAAGCGATGTTACCCTTGAGATGGATACGCATAATAATTTCACTTATTGCATATCCGGTGGGTAGGAAAGATAAACAATCTGTCCTGGAGAATGTTATATTTTTAGATTTATTAATAGTTTCGCAGAAAAGTTAATAGCCATAATGGCAGTAGGGCCTTTATATATATATATATATATACATGATCCATGAATGGAAAAATTCGCGAAAAGCAAACGTCTCGAGAGCAGAGTTTATCCATTGCAGAGTTTATATATAACTATTTTGTGAAGAGAATTTGAAAATTTGTTTGTGTGTTTCAAAAAATTTTTTCGGTTATCAATTTTCCCCGATGACTGACAAGATTGAAAATATTATTTCTCTCTCGTTGTTATTATTCGACTAACATAAAATTCTCTCTCTTTATCTTCTCTTTAACCACCTACCCCCCATCCCCCCCACCCCCTTTTCCATTGTATATACTGTTCTTTAATAGCATTCTTAGGACTTTATATCATGTTATCTCAAGATATTTACACTAAGCAAACATACCCGAAAAATATAAGAAAAAATTTCTTTTTTTTTAAAAATCACTGTTTCAGAAAAAAAAAAAAATTATAAAAAAAGATAAATTGTATTAAATTTTTACGTAAAATAGATGAAATTTTACGTAAAAAAAAACATTTGTTTTCGTTAATTTCGTATAATATTGTACTTTTCGTTAACTACGTAAAAAGTAATAATTTACGTAATAAACAAATTATACCGTAATTTACGTAAGATGCGCATTACATCGTTATTTACGTTAAATTCGCTTTATCCCGTAATTTACGTTAAAAACGCATCATATGGTAAACCTCCGACCGTATGAAGCGTTATTTTCTGTAATTTAGGATAATAACGTTTGGAATATTACAATAACTTACGTATGATTCCACAATTTTACATTAATTTACCTAAAATACCGTAACTTTACGTATAATACCGTAGTTTTATTTTATTTTGCGTATAATACCATAGTTTTACGCTAATGTAGTATAATACCGTAGTTTTACGTTAGTTTACGTATAATTTCGTAATTTAACATAAATTTACGTATAATACCGTAATTTTACGTTAATTACGTATATTCTTGTAGGTCACGTATTCGGCGTATTTTACGTTAATTAACGTGTAATACTGTAGTTTTAGATTAATTTGCGTATAATACCGTAGTTTTATGTCAATTTGCGTATAATACCGTAGTTTTGTTATTTTGCGTATAATACCGTAGTTTTACGCTAATGTAGTATAATACCGTAGTTTTACGTTAGTTTACGTCTAATTCCATAATTTTACGTATAATTACGTAATTTAACATAAAATTACGTATAATACCGTAATTTTACGTTAATTACGTAAATTCTTGTAGGTCAGGTATTTGGCGTATTTTACGTTAATTAACGTGTAATACTTTAGTTTTACGTTAATTTGCGTATAATACAGAAGTTGTAGATGAATTTGCGTATAATACCGTAGTTTTACGTTAATTTGCGTATAATACCGTAGTTTTACGTTAATATAGTGTAATTCTGTAGTTTTACGTTAATTTTCGTATAATACCGTAGTTTTACGTTAGTTTACGTATAATTCCATAATTTTACGTATAATTTCGTAATTTAACGTAAATTTACGTACAAAACCGTAATTTTACGTATAATTTCGTAATTTAACATAAATTTACGTATAATACCGTAATTTTACGTTTATTACGTATATTCTTGTTGGTCACGTATTTTAAGTTAATTAAAGTGTAATTCTATAGTTTTACGTTAATTTTCGTATAATACCGTAGTTTTACGTTAATTTGCGTATAATACCGTAGTTTTACGTTAGTTTACGTCTAATTCCATAATTTTACGTATAATTTCGTAATTTAACATAAAATTACGTATAATACCGTAATTTTACGTTTATTACGTATATTCTGGTAGGTCACGTATTTGGCGTATTGTACGTTAATTTACGTATAATAGCGTTACGTTAATTACGTATATTCTTGTAGGTCACGTATTTGTCGTATTTTACGTTAATGACGCAAAAAAGATAGTAATAATAAAGTAATATGTAAAAAAAAGTTATTTAGAAAAAAAAATCAAATTTTTTTGCCAATTCTCATTCATGAAAATTAGAATACGTTTAATTTAAATATAAATGACCGAGGGCCGTTCCTTGACATTGGAAGTGAAACGCCTGAACATTGTGAGACTTATATACATATATATATATATGTTGGTGAAAAAATTACAGCCTACAATATCCTTGTCTCGGTTCCGTATACGAGTCATCCCATTCATTCTGCGACATGATCCCAATGAAAGTGGGAGGAACTCAAAAATTTTACTTGCATTTGCGTTCGCGCAACTCTCCCACATGCCGTAACGATGGGGTTTTATTTTCTTTCTTTCCATTTTTTTTTTTTTTTTTTTTTTTTTTTTTTCTACGTTTTTTGGGGCCCCGCTCTATCGATGATCCCTTCTATGGCAACAAGACCCAGAGTTATATTTCTTCACATCATTCTGTCTTTTAAGACGTGGGCGCGAATTGATAGCCTCGCCAATATTTTTATATATATATATATAATATATTTCAACAGGAATATAACGAAACGTCACAAAATGATATATTAATTTTTCAAATAATTTTATAATTTTACAAAATTTTATTTTTATTAATAAAATGAAAATCGAGGAAATTTTTTTTTTTTTTATAAGAAAAACTAAAAAATTTTTCAATAACATTAAATTTTTTTTTTAGAAAATTAATTTTTGATTTTTCTTAAAGTAAAAGAATTAATTTTTAAAAGAAAAAAAAAGGAATTTTTTTAAATGTAAAAAATGTTAAATGTTTTTTTTTCTTTGTATCGAGACGATTTTTAATTAAATTTATTATGTAAAAATTTTGGTAAGAAATTGTATAAATGAAAAAAATGATTCATTTTTTTTAATTCATGAAAATCTCTATAATCTTTCATCTCTTAAAGCCTCATGTTTACAAAAATGAATAATTTTTTTTTTTAAATATTATTATTATCAAAAAATTTTAATTCGCCACAAAAAAATAACTATAATTAATACATTTAGATTAAAAATTAAAAATATATATATATATATATATATATGTTTCTTTTTTTCACTTTGAGAATGAAATAAAAAAAAAATTAAATTAAAAGTTACACAACAATAGAAATTTTACAATATAATTATTATAAACCATGGAATGCTTCCAAATATTATTTTTACCCAAATTTCCAGCACACAAGCAACAAATTAAAAAAAAAAAATAATAATAATTGTAAAACAAAAAGTAAAATCTAATAATTATTTAAAAGAAAATAGAACACACAGATTTTTTTTTCATTTTATCACTAATATCAACTTAAATTTTACATTAAGTGATAAGTTATAATTAAAAAAAAAAAAAAAAAAAAATTGATTAGAAAACTAAGGCTTTTATGGGACAAAGAAAATTAGTCAAATTTAAAAACTATTTACGATTATGCTTTTTAATTGCATTTTTTTTCTTGTTATTAATAATACCTTTTGGTACCAAATTTATCAAAAACAAAAAGAAATTAAGAAACAAAAATTTTCAAATTAAAAAGCACTTCTAAATAGAAAAAAAATTCCTTCTGAAAAATATTTTGTATAGATCTTCAAAAATTTTGTTAAAAAAAAATTTTTCCAAATTGAAAACATTCGCTATTAATAAATTGTCTATTTTGTTTTCAACTTAAAAAAAAATTATTAAACAAAATTTTTCAATAAAAATGAAAATATATTTTAATACAATTTTTCACAAGTTTTTTTTTTTTCTTTTTTTGGCAGAAAAAATAAATTCATCTACTTAGGATAAATTATTTTGGACGCATAATTATGTTCTAAAAATCATTAGTTTAAAATTTACAATTCTATGGAATTTCATTTTTTATAATTATTTTTGTGCCGAATTTTTTATTTCTTCAAATTCCTGTATATTGCAGAATTTTCAACAAAACAATTTTTTCTATATTACAGAATTTAATTATATAACCGAAAATTCACTTTACAGAATTTTTATTTATTCGAATTTTTATTTGCTCAAATTTTCATTTAACATAATAGGGCATTTTAAAGAATTTTTATTGGGGAGAATTTCATTTTATTCTTTCAGACGAATTTTTTCATTTCTTCGAATTATTATTTGATAATAATTTCCATAAAAAAACAATTTTTCTGCAGAATTTTTAACTTAACCGAAAAATTATTTAACAGAATTTCTTAATTGATAGAATTTTCATTTGTCCGAAATTGCAAATGACCGAAACAATAATCGATTTTGGCGCGATTTTTAAATTATCAACCAATCAAAAAAATTATCCATAAAATTGTGATTGGTTGATAATTTAAAAATCGCGCCAAAATCGATTATTGCTTCGGTCATTTGCAATTTCGGACAAATGAAAATTGAAATCAATTAAGGAATTCTGTTAAATGATTTTTCGGTAAAAAATTCTGCAGAAATATCGGTTTTTAAGGAAATTATCCCACTTGGAAAGATTCCCCGGAATGTGACCCCTGGAGGTTCTATCAGATTTCCGCCGGAACTTCCAACGTAATTCCGTCGGAATACCATCGGAATTCCAAAGAATTTCCGATTGGATTCCAACAAAGTTCCGACGGAATTCCGATTAATTTTTTTAAAAAAATTTTAGAGTTCTAATTCCGTCGGAATTCCGTCGGAAATTCTTTGGAATTCGAGCAAATAAAAATTCGAACAAATAAAAATTCTGTGATGTGAATTTTCGGTTATAAGAAAAATTCTTGTAATACAGAAAATCGTTTTGAAAATTCTTGCAAAATACTAATTCGAACAAATAAAAATTCGACTCAAAAATAAAATTATGACAAATGAAATTCCATAAAATGAAAATTTTAACTGATTTTAAGAACATAATCATGCGTCTCAATTATTTTAAGAAAAAAAAATAATAATTTCTTTTTCAACTTTCTATTTGATAGAACTTTTTTTTTTTGAAATTCAGCCTCAAATTAAGAGAGATGAGAAAAAATAAACCTATTAAATTAGCAAAACACCGCATTTTTTTGGGGGGGGGGGCAAATAAATGGTTTTTAATTTTCAAAAAATATTTAATTAGAAAAAAAAATTTAATTTAAAAGAAATTTTTTTAATTTCTAAAACAATATTTTTTATATTTAAAAATTTTTTATTAAAGAATTTAAAAATTTTAAAGAAATAAAAATAAGTCTATTTTTTTCTGAAAATTCTCTCTATAAATTCTTAGAATACAAGAAGAGAAGAAAAACTAAAAAAAAAAAAGGGCGCATGAGTTTTCCATAAAAAATTATTAATTAATAATTTGAATTTTGATTTCAAAGTATTTTATCAGAAATAATTATTATTTAGACAAATTTTCAAATTTCGAATTACAATTTTACAGATTTTCTTTTTTTATCGAATTTTTACATAAAAAAATTTTTACCTACCGAATTTTCATTTGTCCGAAATTACAATTGGCCGAACAAACAGATCGAAAGTTTTCAGCGCAATTTTTCAAAATTGACCAATTAGAAATTATTCAAAAAAATCATGATTGGAATTTTCAAAAATGGCGCCAAAATCTTTTTTTATCTGTTTGTTCGGTCATTTATAATTTCGGACAAATGAAAATGCGGCGTTTTAAAAATCCGCACAATTAAAAATTCTTAAATATAAAAATTCAGACAAATTTGAAATTCGGTAAATTAAAATTTCAGTCATTTAAAAATTCAAATAACATAAAATTCAATTGAATAAAAATTTTGTAAAATTAAAAATTCCCCTAAATTAAATTTTTTTTTAAATAAAAACTTCTGTAAAAAAAAATGATTGTAAAATAAAAATTCTGTCAAAAATTCGGTAACTAAAATTTTTCATCAACGAGATAATCATGCGCCCAAAAAAACAAAAAAAAAAAAAAAAAAAAGAGAGAAGTCTTTATTCCGAAAAAGTGACGCCTCAGTGAGTGTCGTCACAATCTCAGGCAAAAAAGACACAAGACAAAATACATAGACTATATATATATATATATATAAAGCCACAATTACAGTATATTTCACAAAATTGTTGAACATTCATACATAATTATTCGAGCTTTCGCATTCCATAGAAAGGCGTGTGTTCGATCAACGATATGAGACGTGACGCCTTATTTTATTTATTTTTTTTAATTTTTATTTCGATTTTTTTTTCAGTTTCGTTCACAATGTGGATGAAGGGAAAAAAAATCAAAAAAAAAAAAAAAAGAAAAGAAAAGAAAAAAAGAAGTATTTAAAGTATAGAAATTAAAATTTTCAACTATTTAAAAAAAAGTACTAATTATAAGAAAAAAAAAATTCTTTTTAAAAAATAGAAAAACGTTTAAAATTTCTAAAAAAAAAAAAGAGTAAACTTTCTCTCTACTTTCGAGTTTTTTCTCTTTTTTAAAAAAATAAAAATTCTTTAAAAACCAAAAAAATTGTTTTCATTCAAATTTTTTTTAAATCAAGAAAGAAAGTGCTTAAAAAAATACAAGACTAAAAAAAGATACTGGACAATGGTTTTCTTAATAAAATTACATTTTTATCATATTTTCTCTCTCTTTCACTCTTTTACTTTTTTACTTTTTCTATCTCCATTTTTTTTATTTCTTTACTTTATTTCCCCTTTTTTTCATCTTCTTCAATAATTGTATAATAATGTACAATATGCAGCTACATTATGCAATATAATCAGCATTTCCAACACATTCAAACTTTCAAACTGACAACATTGCGATTAATAATAATAATAATAATATTTTTTTTCAAATTTTTTTTTATTCTTTTTAAATTATTCTTCTCTCCCAGAATTTTTTTTTTTAAATCACTTTTATTTAAATTAGAAAAAAAGGGGGATGTCGGCTGATAAAAAAAATTAATTAAAAAAAAAATCAAATAGTTTTAAAGAAGAAAAAAAATTTTTCTACTTTTTTTTAATACATTATCTCTCTTTCTAAAATAAAAAAAAAAATTCCCCCCCCCTAACCCCAAAGTGTCTTTCTCTCTCTTTCTCTCTCTCTCTCGCGCTCTTTTTCTCGTGGTAATTCTCTGTGTAAAAAGTGTAACTATGACGCTAATATAATAATTATAATAATAATAATAATATTAATAATAATAATAATAATAATAATAATAATTAATAAGAAGTCTGCACGAGGCAATTTTATAGTCCAGTGTGTGAGCGATTTTTTTTTCGCAGTCACTCAATTGATTTTTTTTTTTTTATTATTTACCCCCCTCCCCCCTTCTCTACCCCCTTTTACCACTCGTCCATTTTTGCTCTCTCGCCCTCGCCCAAAAACTTTTTTTTTTTTTCACTAAAATTCCATTTCCTTTTTTTTTTCAATAGTTGGTATATTTTGTTGTTGTTATTTCTATTATTATTCATTTTTTGGTTGAAAAACATTGATCGTCTCGTTTTACAAAATACAAAAAGAGTCCGATTTTTGCAGTAACGTTTTGCAAAAATCCTACGTCTTATTATTATTGTTTTATTTATTTACTTTTTAAATGGGAGAGGGCGCAGGGCGCGCGCGCGCGAGTAGCGATCGTAGTTTTTTTTTTTAATTTTATTATTATTTTCTTGTCTGTATTTTTTTTTTTTTAATGATGATGATGTTGATGGTTGTTTAATTATTTATTTTTTTGTTGTTGGTGGTATTTTTTTTTTTAATATAGCAACTGAATGTTGTCGGAATAACGCCTCGATTAGCGATTGGCATTTTTCAATTGATTAGAAAGCCAATCGAGACCTTCATAAAGGCCATCACCGCTTGTCGCGCATGTCGCTTGTATATACCAATTACGATTGCGAAGCGAATGCAGACCCAATTTGTCAGTGATTTCTGCGGCGTTCATTGCATTTGGCAAATCCTGTTAACAAATTTGTTTTTTAATTTTTTTTGTTTTTTTTTCATTAATTTAAGAAAAATTTTTCAATAATACTACTTTGGTAACGTAACAATAGATTTTTTTGAATTTAAATTTATTTAAAAAAAAAAAATGATAACCGTTTGGATCAAGAGACGAACTTAACCTTAAAATTCAAGATTTAAAGGCAAGGTTTTAGATTAAACATAACCTTAAAATTCAGTTAAAAGAACCTAATCTAAAAAATCAATGTCAATGCTCAAAATTTAGATTTTTAAAATTCAAGGTCAAACATGTCAAGGGGTGAACATAACCTTAAAGGTTTTAAAATTTACCCCTATTAGTTTTTTTTTTAATTTTAAGATATCAAACAACCATATTCTCTTTTTCCAATCATCCTTAAATCTTCTTTCCCCCAAACTAAATATTCAGTAGTTTGGACTTAAACCTTCAATAAATGTTCAGTGAAGTTTTGGTGCTGTGCAGGAATGCATCAAACAACCATATTCTCTTTTTCCAATCATTCTTAAATCTTCTTTCTCCCTTTTTCCCCCCAAATAACAAAATTCTCACACCTCTTCCACTCCTCTTTTCCTATCCTCATCATCTTCGTTTTTTCCACATTCAATCACAAATCCTTCTGTTTTATTTAACTTAATTCAAAATTTAATGCTGTGAAATTAAAATAACTTCACAAGTCAAATGTCAAGGAAATGAACATAACCTCAAAATTTAGACCATTGAAATTTAAAGCCAAGGGTACTTAACCTCAAAATTTAAGGTTAAATTCATCCCTGTAAATTTCGTCTAACTTTTCGTCCATATATTAATACATCAAACAACCATACTCTCTTTTTCCAATCATCTTTGAATCTTCATTCCCTTTTTTCAAAATTTGTCAAATTAGCTTAAAAATTCAAGGGCATAAGGGGAACATAACCTGAAAATTCAAGGCTATAAAGTTAAGATAAATAAATTCAACATGAAATATCAAGGAACGAACATAACCTTAAAATTCAAGGTCAAATATTTCAAAGGGAGGAGATAACTTTAAACATTTAATTTACATGGAGGACATTTTAATATTTAATCTTTGATAAAGATTGCAACTAAATATTCTGTAGTTTGGACTTAAAACTTTAATAAATGTTCAGTAAAGTTTTGGCATTGTGTAGAAATATATCAAACAACCATATTCTCTTTTTCCAATCATCCTTAAATCTTCTTTCCCCCTTTTTCTCCCAAACTAAATATTCCGTAATTTGGACTTGAACCTTTAATAAATGTTCAGTCAAGTTTCGGTACTGTGTAGAAATATATCAAACAACCATATTCTCTTTTTCCAATCATCCTTAAATCTTCTTTCCCCCTTTTTTCCCCCCAAATAACAAAATTCTCACACCTCTTCCACTCCTCTTTTCCTATCCTCATCATCTTCGTTTTTTCCACATTCAATCACAAATCCTTCTCTGTTTTAATTTACTAATAAAATTCTTCGTTCATTAATAATAATATTACAGCGTAAATTCAATTTTTTTAATGAAATTAGTAATTAAAAAAGAGTAGGAGGTTCAGGGACATATAAACCTTGAATTTCGTACCTTAAAAAGAAAATTTTATTTTATTATTTAAAAAAAAATACTATAGCTTCTCAAATTGTAAATTACCTATTGTTTACGATACCAAAAAAAATATTTATCAAAGAAAAATTAAAGAATTCAATAATTACCTGTTTATTAGCAAATATAAGCAAAACAGCATCTCTAAGTTCATCCTCGGCTAACATTCTCATTAATTCCTCGCGAGCTTCTCCGATACGTTCTCTATCGTTACTGTCCACTACGAATATCAGTCCCTAAAAAAAAGAAATTCCAAAAATTAATCGTTATCAAAAATTTAAATCACAAAGACGGTAAATATTTTTCAAGTCATTTCAAGATAATTTATAGGATTTTATTTAAATAGAAATATGTAATACAAAATATTTTTCTAAAATTACTATTTTATTAAAAATCCATTAAATATTAATTGCTTAAATTTTCATAAAACAGAATAGTCATTTAAAAGAATTTATTTTACAGAAAAAAATATTACAAATAATTCTTTTTTAGACAAATTTTCATTTATTTGAATTTACATTTTACAGAACTTTTAAAATAACGAATTTTTATATTACAGAACTTTCATTTGTTCGAATAAATATCTGGTGGAAAAATTTAGAAGCAAAAATTTAAAATTAATCAATCATAGTTTTTTTTGAATAACTTCTGATTGGTCAATTTTCAAATTTGCGTCCCAATTTTTCTGCCAAATATTTATTTCGTCAAACGAAAGTTCTGTGAAATAAAAAATCCAGCATTTTAAGAATTCTCTAAAATGTAAATTCAAACATGAAAATTCGACTAGAAAAGAATTCTTTCTGTAAAATAAATTCTTTTAAATGAAAATTCCATCTAATAAAATTACTTTAAATGAAAATTCCATTTAATAAAATTTTCTATTAAATAAAAATTTCAACTAATAAATTTAATGACATAATCGCTGCTAACAAAGAGGAAAAAAAAGGGAAAAATCACAAAATGAAATTGCAAAATTCTCACCTGTGTATTTTGGAAATAATGTCGCCAGAGTGGCCTGATTTTGTCCTGACCACCAACATCCCAAACCGTGAAACTAATATTTTTATACTCAACTGTCTCTACATTGAAACCTGTAAAGAAAAAAAAAGTGTTAGTAAAAAATTCCAAATTTTCTTTCTTTTATTTCATTTTTTTTTTGTTTTTATTTTTTCACATACCTATAGTTGGGATAGTTGTGACTATTTCGCCTAATTTTAATTTGTACAAAATTGTCGTTTTACCAGCTGCATCAAGTCCTACCATTAAAATCCTCATCTCTTTTTTACCAAAGAGACCTTTAAACAACGACGTGAACACATTCCCCATTTTCGGTGGCTGGTTATGTAAAAGACCTAAAAAGAAATTTTTTATATAAATTTAAATTTCGTTAAATGAAAAAACAATTTTTTTGTTTATTTTTTCATTTTTAAATGCAATTCTAATTTATTACTTTAAAAATAAAATTTTCAAATGTATCAATTAAACATTAAAGTGATTCTAAATTAATTTTACTCTCTAAATTTTAATTAGTGAGAATTCGTTTACTAATTTAAATTAGAAATTTTCGCTAATTTTTATGAAAAAAAAAATACTATTTGATATAGTAATATTTTTTTGTTACTAAAGTTTTAGTAAAAAAATAACTAAAAATTAGTGGAAAATTTTCAGTAATTTAAATTAGTTAACGAATTATCACTAATTCAAATTTATACAGTAAAAAAATTCCAAAAATTGAATTTAATTTTAAATAGTTAAATTATTGATTTTCAGTATTTAAATCAAAAGAAGTACAAGCGTTGATGAATGAAAGTAAATTTTATAAAAAATAAAAAAAAAATCAATTTATATAAAAAGAAAAAATCAATTATCATTACTTAATTAAATTTTTACTTTAAACAGATCAATTTATTAAATTAAATACAAAGAAATATTTTAAATTTTAAAGTAATTTATTAAAACCTATTTTAATTTATTAAAACTTTTTATTACATTATATTGAATTACTCTAATTTATTAAATTTCTTTTTTTTAAAGTAAATTTATTATTAAAATACAGAATAACTTATGAAATAATTGATCGAAATTTTTTCTACTTAAAAAAAAGGGTGGGGGGGGGTGAATAAATAGTTAATTTACCGTATTGGTTAATTTCACTTATATGTATGGGAATAATAAAAAAAAAGATAAACTGTTGTATCGATTGAATTCTAGAAATAAATTTTATTACAAAACTGTATTTGTAAAATTGATATTCACGTTTAAAGAATCTTTTTATTTTAAGGTACAATCAAGAGGGGAGGAATCATTTTCTTTTTTTTTTTTTTTAATTTAAAATTTTAAAAATTAAAAAAAGTTTTTTCTGATTTTTAATTCAAATAATCGACTACTGGATGATTATCAAAATAAATATTTATTTGTATCAAATAATTTATTATTATTAGTATTATTATTATTACTATTATTACTATTAGTACTATTTTTATTATTATTATAATTATTATTATTATTATTACTATTTTTATTATTATTATAATTATTATTATTATTATATTATTATTTCCATTTAATTTTTAATCCTCTCCTTTAAATAATTGATAAAAAAAAATTTTAGCTTTATTTTTGTTGATTTTCAAAAATTTACTTTCTTTTTGGCAAAAAAAAAATAGATTCTTTTTTTTAATCATTATTCTTGCTATTGAACTTACATTTTTATTTGCTAGTTATTTTCTTATTATGATAAGATTCAAAATTAGGTCAAACGGTTTTGTCAATAACAATAATAATATTGATAATGTTAACAGTCACAGTTGCATTGGATATAATAATAATAGTAATTATTATTGTTATTATTATTATTATTATTATTATTTTTATTATTATTATTTTATTATAATTATAGTTATATAATAATAATAATAATAATAATAATAATAATAATAATAATAATAATACATAGAAAAAAAAATTTATTTGATTTAAATAATCGTTTATTTGATTAACAAATAAATATTTACTTCAACTAAATAATTTTTATTTATATTAAATTATATTTGAATCAATAATTTCTGTATTTGAAGCAAATTTCATTTAATTGATGCAAATAATAATTATTTAATATAAAAATAAATATTTATTTGATAATAATAATCAGGATGTCTACTAAAAATTTGAATTAAAATTCCAGGACTTTTTCAGGATTTTTCAGGACAAATTTTCTTATTTTTTCAGGACATTAAATTGAATGACCTTAAGGAATAAAGAAAAATTTTTAGTTTAACTATATTGTTTTCAGAAATTATTAAAATTAATTAATTAATTAATTAATTAATTACTTAAGTAAATTTTCATTTTACTTATTTAATGAATTTTTTTTTTTTTTTTTTTTTTTTTTTTGAACTTGATTTGACAAAATTATAAATTTTTGAAAATTTAAAAGCAAAATATAAAAAAAAAATTCAAGGACAAAAATTAAAATTCCAGGACTTTCAAGGACATTCCAGAATATTTTTTCAAATTCCAGGACATTTCCAGGACTAGTAGTAGACACCCTGATAATAGTCAAGTAAAGGATTATTTGAATCAAATAAATTTTTTTTTTCTTTGTGTAATACTAAATTTATAAATATATTTATAATTTAATATAAATATATAAATATAGTGTAATATAATATAATATAATATAATATAATATAATATAACTGAAATAAAAAAATTATTAATTATTTTTTTAGGTTATAATTTAAAATTCCGATTATTTCGGTCATTTTATTATTATTATTATTATTATTATTATTAGTAGTATTAAAAAATTTAATTTGAAGTTTCAATATTTAATTTAAAAATAAAATTTCACCCCTAAATATTATTTTTCCTTTACAAGAAAAAAAAAACCCGGAAAACTTAAAATAAACGAGATTTTAATAGAAGAAAAAAAAAATTAAAACTAATTGTTTAAGGCAAGTGACGGGGGAGGGGTAAAAAGGGGGACACAATCATTGGGAGAGCGAGAGAGAGAGAAAAAAAAAGAAAATTTCCCTCTATGAATCACCAAGAGTGTATGCGTGTGTGACGAAAAAAAAGAAATTATTTTCTAAATTTCATTGGCTCCTCAAAAAGAAAATGAACACGAGATGCATATGTACAAACGACAAACGTACATGTGACACGAGGACAAGAACGCAATGACCTTACGCAAGTCGTTTAGGACAGCCACGCTATCGGGCCAGATGGACGCAAAAAAAAAAAAAAAAAGAAAAAAAAAAAATGGAAAAAAATTAAATAGAGAGCGAAAGCGATTTTGGAAAAATAATGCGAAAAAAAGGCAAACAACGAAACAGAGAAATAGGGAAAAGAAAAAGAAATAAAAAGAAAAAAGAAAGAGAGAGAAAAAAAGATCGAAAGAGAACGAAATATTATCACAAAGCGCGCATCGTCTCATATTTCATCTGTCAAAAAAAAAAAAAAAAAACGAAAAAAAAGAAACTTCTAATCACGTCACTAATCGACAAAAAAGAAAAACCGACAAATTACAAAAAAAAATAGGTGAAAAAAAAACCCTCTAAGCGTGGCTTCCTTCAAAAACCGTTTGGCACTTTGTGATGTTATCGATTGTCGCGTCATTCGAAATTTTCTGCCGATACACGAGTTTTTTTTTTTTTTTTTTTCATTTCACCTCCCATAGTAGCAAAATGAAACCCACACACAATTTTACCAGAAAAATTAAAAAATTATAAATTTCCAAAAACTCACAAAATTTGTTATTTTCTATTTTAACTATGAAAAATAAAACTGTCACCTCATTAAATCGACCTACTCCCCGAGATATACCAATACTATTACTAAAAATTTTCTCTCTGCTTTCAACACACAAAAACACTTGGTTAACACTTTTTCTTTTTTTTTTCCTTCTTTTTTCTTTCTTTTTTTTTCTTTTTTTTTTAATGAAAATTAAAAGAAGAAAAATTGCACTTGTTATTTTTTTCAAATTGAACTTAAATTATGAAAGAATTAATAAACAAAAAATTACTTACGTTTCAGTAAAAAAGATTATTGTTTTCACAAGAAACGATAAAACATAAAACCAGCACTCCCGAAAAGTACCGCAAGTTAAAATGGCGGACGTGGAAAGGATTCATGCTGTGTGCCACGTATAGGGCACGAACAACGGCTATGATTGGTTAATAAAGTATCACGTGACATGCCAAATTGCCAAGCCAATTGTGTATGCAAGGTTGGGAAGTATTGAATAAATATAGGTGGGGGGGGGGGAAGAGCGCGCGCGCTCGCTAAGTCTAAAGGTGCTTTCATAACTAGTTGGACAAATTTTTTTTTTTAAATTTACTTCCGTCACACTTTAGATGTTTTAGCATTTTCTTCATTTCTATATTAATTTAATCAATAAAAAACCAAAACTATTGTATTTAATTACAACCTGTATAATAATAAAAATAAAAATAATAATAATAATAATAATAATAATAATAATAATAATAAAAATAATAATAATCATACTAATAATAATTATAATAATCATAATAATAAAAATATTTTTGACAGTTAAGGTGCTTTTACACCTCTAGTATTTTGGTCAAGCAATTGGGAACGGTGGTCTAGTAACAATCTAGTAACTTTGACCCATTCTCTACCTCCATTTTGTTTTTTCTACTCTTTCTAACCTATTAATTGAAGAGAGACAAAGAAAGAAAATGGAGGGAGAGAATGGGTCCCCACCAGATGGCGTATTGCAGTTTAGCCGATCCCAATTGGCTGGATTGGATTTTTACGGTTGTATCACTGAATTTGATTGGCTCTAACAAAATTCAATTTTCACGGTGAAAATCTAATATTTGTCAGAGCCAATCAAATTCAGTGATACAACCGTGAAAATCCAATCCAGCCGATTGCTTGACCAAAATACTGGAGGTATAAAAGCACCTTTACTGTATGCAATATCCAAAAAAAAATGTAAATTTAATAAAAAGTTTTAATATATAATTATAGTAAAAATAAAATTAATTATAAACTAAAAATCCAACTAAATTTATACAATTGGCTATAAATTTAGTTGGATTTTAGTATTTCCGGTATAACATTTTGAAAAGTCGTGACACTTCTATAATAATTTTATTAGTTTATGGCGTATGGTGTAAATGTCAATACACAATAGTTTCGCGTTAAGGCCTAAGCAAAATAGAAACGTAACCGAAATCGTAATCGCAAACGCAACCGTAAGAATAAATTAGAGAAGAACAAACAATATGTCTATCCTTCTCTAACTCATTCTTCCGGTTTCGATTCCGGTTACAATTTCGGTTACGTTTCTATTCTCCGTTGGCCCTTATCACTTGTGCGTTGGCCTTTACACTATACGCCACGAACTAATAAAATTATTATAGAAGTATTACGACTATTTAAAATGTTATCAAACCGAAATGTTGTTTTTCCATTGTCCCCACTCGCCAATTATCATTATTCTCGTCAACTACCGCACCGTGCTCTAGTAAAAATTTAGTAACTTTTAATTTTAACAATAAAATCACTAAATTTTTACTAGAGCAGGGTGCGGTGACGAGAATTATGAAAAATGGCGAGTGGAGACAATGGAAAACAACCGGAAGGTAATATTTTATACAATTACTTACTCGTAGTACTTACCTTCTTTTTTTTATCTTCCTTTTCGATCACAAAAAATCACTTAATCACCAAAAAAACACAATTCACTGTACAATTATTTGAAAAAAAAACCCGCTTTTTACATTTTTAGAAATGTTAAGGTGCACTCACACTTTTTTGGCTGACAGCAAGTTACCATGGCAACGCGTGAGAGTGAGTGCGACAAAAAATTTGAATATTTAAATTTTCTGTCTCACTCACACCCGTGCGTTGCCATGGTAGCCGGCAGGCAGACAAACAAAATGGTGTGCGTGCGCCATTAAATGAAAAATTATTTGAAAAACATTATGTAGTTTTAAAGGTGAAATCACATGAAGGCGTAAAGCGTCAAATTTTGTAACTAGACTACGAGTGCGAAAAGGATAAATATATCTCCTTCGTACTCAAGATCTAGTTACAAAAATTGACGCTTTACGGCACCGTGTGATTTCACCTTTTTAAGGAGTTGAAAAATGTTTTCTAAAACGTGTTAGGGTCCGTCCTCAAATTACTAACTTCTCCCCCACCTTTTCTACCTGATGCTTCGCAATCGAGTTATCCAATAAGGCTTAAACGGAACATAACCTTTTATTTCAAAAACCTAAAGTCTCATTCTAATTTTTTTTTTTAAAAAGCCCAAAAGTTCAGATGTTTCACTTCCTTTCAAAATAATTATTATTATATTTTTATTAAAAAAAAACTCACCGATTGATGATTTTTATGTACAAAAGACGACTGCTTTCATGTTCCAAACCTTCTGCCTTAAATACAAAAATAAAAAAAAATTAATATTAAGTAATACAAAAAAAAGCTATTTAAATTTAAATTTTGTTCAATTTTTCTATTAAGCATAGTTTTACTATTAATTTATTTAAAAAATATTAATTAAAAGTTAATGCAAAACATTTCCATTGTTAAACGAGCTTAATACAAATCATGAGAGTAATTGAAATGGTGATATCTGTTTATCTCTTTCACTCTCGTGAAACCTTTAAGGTACGGTCACACTATCTCATGCTTACATATATGTAAAGGTCGTTCATACCAATAATATTTCGATGAAATCTGCTAAAAAAATATTTATTACTTTCTAGTAACTTTCTAATTATACGTAAATTTTCTAGAAACTTACTAGAAACTAACTAAATAACAAACCAAAAGTCACATAATAAATGTACAGTGCATGTAAAAATTCAAGTGACTGTTGGATTTATTTCAATAAATAAAAATGGTGTGAAGGTACCTTTATACTTTTTTCTAATAGATTAAAAGAACATTACGTCACATTTCGGATCTTTTTATGAATTATTAGATATTTTACTCGAATATAATTGATTTTCTACTAGAGTTTACTATTATTATTATTCTTATGTGAATTCACCTTAAAGGTGCAAACCATACGTCCCGAAATAATAAAATTATTATAGAAGTGTCACGACTTTTTGAAATGCCGTTAAACTCTCTATAATAATTTTATTAGTTCGTGGCGTATGGTTGGCACCTTCAAGGTGAATTCACAGGAAAATAATAATAATATACTTTAGTACAAATAAAATTATTATGGAAGTATAGCAAACATTTCAAAATATTGTCAAACCGGAAGGGCAATATTTAAGCAATTAGTTTTGTATTTTAATTGTTATTTTTCATGATTTTTACGTATGTTACCTACCCATCCTTGACTATTATTGAAAGTTGGTTTCCATTGTCTCCACTCTCCATTTGTCAATAATTCTCGTCAACTACCACACCCTGCTCTAGTGAAAATTTAGTAACTTTTAATTTTAACAATAAAATCACTAAATTTTCACTAAAGCAGGATGCGATAGTTGACGAGAATTATGACGAACAACGAGTGGTGATAATGGAAACTAACCTTGAGGCGGAATATATTTTTTTAAACATCAAAATCAAAAAAATTAATTTAAAAAAAGAATAATTATAATTTTAAAAAAAGCAGTGGTAATTACTTACAATAATTTGTATCCTCCTGTGCACGAGCTCCATCCCGGAGACAATCAACAATAACACTGGCACTCACTCGCAATTAAAAAAATATATTTATTAATACAAAACTAATTTTTACTTTTTAAACTATTAAAACAAAAACACTTTTGAGAGAAAAAATTGAAATTTTTTATTACACACGATTTAAAAAAAAAAAATAAAAACACGAGCACTCACGAGGAACAACTTTCGACCTGCAATTCGATTCCGCGAATATATACTATATAAAAAGAAAAACTCGGAACATTTCTGAAAATTTTTTTTCTTGTGCACGCGATGATAAATGGTATTAATTTTTATTGATTATATTAATTGGACACGTAAGGCGAAATAAAATTTAAAAAAAAAAAACACGTCGCTTAAAATTGGACACACACGATGTTCACTCTCCGATGGTTGGCAACGAACTGACGCTTGCATGGCTCCCCACTACTGACGATTCCGTTCACAGAGTGCGCGGGCAAATTTTTTCTTGCTTCTGATTGGCTCGTGCATCAACTTCCACATTTGCCAACAAAATGGCGGTCGATGTAAACTGAATAAATATGTGCATCTAAATAAAAAAATAATAAAAATAAAATAAATAAATTTACTACATATAATAATAATAATAATAGTAATCTAAATTTTTTAAGCTTATGACAAAAAACAATATATTTAATTATTAATTATTAAAAAAAATACTGTTTAAATATATAGTTAATACAATTTTCTTTTTTAATTATTATTATTATTTTAAAATTATTATTATAATTACCCCTTTTCATTATGAAATTGTATAAATTCTAAAATCATATTTACTTGCATTAAAATTATTAATAAATTCATTTAAAATTTTTTAATTATTATAAATAAATGTATTAACTAATAAAAAAAATTTAAGGTGAAATCACAAAGGCGTAAAACAAAAAATCATGTGTTCAAAAGAAAATTTCACCCTAAACCGTAAAACGTATCACGTAAGAATGAGAGAGAAAAAGATAGAAATAATATCTATCCTTTTCTATCTCATGTTACAGTTATCGATTTACGTAAATTTACGTTTTACGATTTCAAATATCCGAATTATAATATTTTTAAAATTCAATTATGCGCAGAGCAAATAATTACAAACAATAATAATAATAATAAATAATAATAATGATAAATAATAATAATAAATATATAATAATCATACGAATAATAGATTTAAAAAATTTTTTTTTCTTAAAATAAATAATAATTTTAAAACTCGATGAAAAATAATAATAATAAATATAATTTTAATGGTTTTTTTTCATTTTAATAATAATTTTAATTATTATATTTTATTAATATTTTAAATAATATAAATAATAAAATATATAAATAATATAAAATAATATAAATATAAAATAATATAAATATAAAATAATAATATAAATAATAAAATATAAAATATTTTAATAATGAAATAAATAAATAATTTAATAATAATATTTTTAATTAATATTTTAATTAATAATTATTTTAATTATTGATTTCAAATTAAAAAAAAAATGTTAAATCAATAATTTAATTGATTTCAAAAAAAAATGTTATACTATCATTATTATAATATTATAATTAAATAATATTAGTATTAAAAATTAATAATTTTATTTAAAATATTCAAATTTAAAAATTTTATTTCCATTCCAATTTTCTTGTATCGATTTTCTTTCCATTGACCTCGTGACCTTTATCGTTTGAGATTTTACAATCTCGGAAAATTCTTTGGAAATTTATCTCAATTAAAAATTTTATTTGTTATGATATTTTAAATTGTTGTAATAAATAAATATAATTTAATACCAAATAAAATAAAAAAAAATATTGTTTTTATTTCCACCAAAAAATACAATTTTTTAACAAACAAAAAAATTATTTTATTTATTTATTTTATTATTATTATTATTTTTTTATTATTTTATTTATTCTTTCGATAAATTTGAATGTTTCGAATAAAATTTTATATTTCGAAAATAAATATTTAAATAAATAATATTAGTAATATTTTTTATAAATATTTATTTATATTATTGATTTTACAAAAAAAAAAATGTTTTAGACAAAAGTTATTGTGCTCACAGGGGGACATCCAGTGGTAAATTTGAATTTGTCCTAAATGACCTAATTTAGGTCATTTGAAGGTCAACTCATTTTTTTTTTAAATGGAACCACCTACTTTTTATGCCGGAAATCGATAAAGCAGGAAATTCCACGTCGAAATCGTTGATGCAACGTTTTTTTCGATAGATCGACCTATTTAGGACAAATAGGTCATTTAATTATTATTGTATTTGGGAAAACAACAGTTTAAAACTAATTAATTTTACAAAAACATGTTTCAGTCCAAAGTTGTTGTTCCTAAAAGGAGAATATTCAGTGATGACCTTAAATTTGTCCTAAATGACCTGAATTAGGTCATTTTAATTTCAATTCATTTTTTTTTAAACCATCTACTTTTCATGTTACAAATCGGAAGAGCAGGAAATTCCACGCGTTGAAATCGTCCAAGTCCTTTTTTCTATACGGGTCGACCTATTTAGGTCAAAAATAGGTCATAATCAATTTCACCTACAAGGCCTTAGTTGGGTCTAGTGTTTTTTACATAAAAATTATAATGACGATTCCTTGCATAAAAACTTGATATTTCTTCATGAAAAATTATTTGACTATAGATCTAACCAAGGCCTTGAAGGTGAAATTAATTATGACCTATTTGACCTGAATAGGTCGATCTGTCGAAAAAAGTACTTGGACGATTTCAACGCGTGGAATTTCCTGCTCTTCCGATTTGTAACATTAAAAGTAGATGGTTTAAAAAAAAATGAGTTGAAATTAAAATGACCTAATTCAGGTCATTTAGGACAAATTTAAGGTCATCACTGAATATTCCCCTTTTAGCCACAACAACTTTTGACTGAAACATGTTTTTGTAAAATGAATTAGTTTTAAACTGTTATTTCCCCAAATACAATAATAATTAAATGACCTATTTGTCCGAAAATAGGTCGATCTATCGAAAAAACGTTGCATCAACAATTTCGACGTGGAATTTCCGGCATAAAAAGTAGGTGGTTCCATTTAAAAAAAAAAAAAAAAAAAAAAATTAGTTGACCTTGAAATGACCTAAATTAGGTCATTTTTTGCAATTTTTTTACGAAAAAAACCGTATTCTTTCCTTTCTAGCTCGTAGCCATCAAATCCAATCGGTCTCGCTATATTTTTTCTGTAATCTACACGTAAAAATACGTATGTGTACTAAATGGCAGTTCTTCATATAATACAAAAATGTAGAAGTTAAGGGGGGGGGGGAGGGGGAACACAAAGCTGGGACGAACGCAAGAATCTTTTCATATGGCTTTTTCAATGTCCTTCTCTTTTATCTGTAATTAATTTGGCCATTCCAACAAGAAATACTAGAAACTATTTGCCATTTCGAGTGACTTTTCATAGAACTAATTATGAAAATAATGAATTAGAAGGTTTCGTATGAATAAAACGATAACATTCGGACCATTGTTGTTTTAATAAAGGTTTACTTCAACGTTTCGAAATCTAAATGATTTCCTCTTCAGGGAGTCAAATAAGAAACATATGTCAAGTCATAGAAATAATGGTCAATTGCGATGATTATATAAATAATGAATTAATTAATAGGATTAGTAGAGAGGCTAATACAGTTTCTGATCAAGTTAACTTTTTTTGATATAAATTTACAAAGATTCACCTCAGAATTGCGTATAGATTAGTGTTAAGCATAGAAAGTATTGAGCCAACCTAATTGTTAGTTACTGTATTTTTAAGTATAATTGTAATTTTTTCTTATAAATACTATTGTATGAAAGGGCATGTCCCGTTTATTTGTTAAATAAAAATAATAAAAATACGGAACCCTAAAAAAAAAAAAGATAAATTAGGGAAATTTTAATTTATATAACAAAATTATATAAGGCATAGAACAATAATTGTACCTAGATCAACATTTTTATTGGAACATTATTTTTTTTTTTTAATTTAATTACATAATATCTATTGAGAGAGTGAAAAGAGAGAGAATTTTTTATTTATTTTCTTTTTTTTTTTTAGACATTATATCCAGGTAAATGACGTTTACCAATGCATTCGCCAATAAAGAACCAGCAATAAACTTCAATGCAAACGAGAGTGTTTAGCCATGCTTCTTTAATTGTAAGTTCTCGATAGGCTCCTGTTTTTGCGCTGTGAATTATTTTTTTAACACTCGCTGCAATTTGTGGAATTTCACTTAATTTTGGTGGTACCAATTCAACTTTTGCATAACGAACAGCGGTATTTATTTTTGGTTTCGCTGCAGTCAAAAGACCTAAGAAAAATAAAAAGCCAAAAAAAAAATTAATGCATGGAAAAAATAATTTAATTAAAAAATTATTTTTTAATATTACAAAAATATATTTTTCATAGAAACGCAAAAAAAATTTAATTTAAAAAAAAAAAAATAAACAACTCGAATTAAAAAAAAAATTTTAAATCGAAATAAAGAAATTAAATTAAATTAATTAAAATTTTCAAATCTATTTATAAATTAAATAAATTTAGAAATTTATTATTTTTTTTAATTAACAATTAATAATTAATTAATTAATTTTTTATTAACATTTTTAATTTTCAAAATAGCAAAAGCTGTTTTAAAAATTTATCAATAATTCTTTATTTAAATAAAAAAAAAAAAACCCCCCTACTTAAATTCTTTACTAATAAATGGAAAAAAATATATAAATAAAAATTATAAATAAATTAATTAACTTAAATTATAAAAAGAAATAAAATTATTTTACTAAATTTTAATAATTTAATTTATTTTAATTTTCATAATTAAAAATATTCGAAAATTTTTAAAATAAATACAATTTTAACGTAAATTAAATTAAAACGAATATAAAATAAAAAATAAAATAAAATAAGAAAAAAAAAATTTATTTACGGAAGCATTTTAGTTATTATTTTAAAATTAAAGAAAAAAATTATTTACTTTTAACATTAAAAAAAAAAAAAATAATAATAATTAACTAAAACATCAAATTTGAAAACCAAAAATACCTCTAAAATTGTTTCGAAGTATTTCCAATTTTTTTTTTTTTTAACAAAAAAAATTTTTTTTTTCGTTTTTTTAACAAAAATTATTTTTTAATTGAAAAAAATTTTACCCCCCTTTATAATAATTGAATTCTTTTTTTTTTTTAAATTAATTAGAAATAGTAATTATAATAACAATAATTGTACAAATTGAAAAAAAAATACGAGAAGAAAACATCGATAACATAACCTCAAAATTTTACCAAACCCCCTTTTATAATAACTGAATTTTTTTTCAATATTAATTATAAATAGTCAATTAAAATTACAGTAATTATACAATTAAAGAAAAAAAAAAAGAAAATACGTGAAGAAAACATCGATAACATAACCTCAAAATTTTTACGAAAGAATTTAAATGCCTTATATAAAAAACAATGAATATTTATTTTTTTTTTTAAAAACATTTGAAAATTATTGCACTAAATTTTAATCTAGTAATAATTTATCAATTAATAAATATAAATAAAGAAATAGAAAAAAGGAAAAAAAAAAAATTCAATGAAAAAAATTATTATGTAATAGAACAAAATGCGTGAATTGAATTACCAAATTTTGATAATTTTGCCATTTATTTAATAATTTTTAAAAAATAAATTGTAAATTAACTTACTTGTAATTAACGGAGACGTTTTTACTGCTAATTTAGACATTTTCTTTCTGCTTTTTCGAAAATAATTCTCACTCTAGTGTCAAAGGACGAAAAAAAAATGGATTTCTCTCTCAACAGTCCAATTCCGTCGCGTTTACAATTTTCCAAAAGAAACGCAAAAAAAAGGGAAAAGTATTTCCCAAAACGGTAATTGTAGCAATGCGCATGCGTCGTAATGTTAACTCGAACCTCCGTAATATAAATATTCAATACCCAAACCAGAGTTGGGAACAGTAATTTTTCCCTCGGTAGAAAATAGCATAAACGTAAAAAAACGTATAATACTGTATGTATTAAAAATTATTTTACCTATAATACTCTATTTTACGCAAAATACTGTATATTTTACAGTTAAAAATTATATTTTAATATTCTCATGTTTTAGAATCTTTTTTAAATTTCCGCGGTGAAAAAATTACGCATGCGCAGTACTTGTAACAAGGCAAAAAAAAAAAAAAAATTGTGTCAGGATTTGGAAAATTTATTATAAACGCAAAACCAACCCGTTCCAATTTCAATTGTTATCAGTTTTTTTTTTTTTTTTAATATATATTAAAAAAAGGGAAAAAAATGGCGGACAGTGAAAAGGAGGAGGCTCATAATCTCGTAAGTAATTTGTCTATTTATTTTATCTAATCGCACCTCAAAGAGATAAAATATCTTTATCTCTCAATAAACAAATTCCAAGTCACTTTAACCAAAATCATTTTCGTGACGATTAATTCCGCTTGTGTGTGTGTTTGACAGTTGTTAGGTTAGGGAAGAATCTATCTCAAAAGTGTCACTTTTTTTTTGGGCAAAAAAAAAAATTATTTTCTTTTAAATAAATATTTTGTCCCCCTCTCTCCCCCTTTTTTTTACTCTATTTCGCGATGTTTGATTGTGATAGTTTCGATTCATTGGTAAGAAAATTGAAATAAAAATTACCTTCTTTTTTGTATTGTCAAAAAAAAAAAAAAAAAAAAAAAAAACAATGAAAATTTTATTGTCTTTTTTGTACGATTCAACGCAGTATTGAATCGAATTTCTTGTGTGAGAAAAAAAAAAATTTTTTTGTGCGCGAAATTACGTGTGTTTATTATTATAAAAAACAAAAAAATATTTTATTTTGTGTTTTATATTAATTTCAAAAATATATTTTAATTTTTTTTTTATTCAAATTGAAATTTCGTAAGTATAGAAAATTTTTTTCTTTTGAGATATTTAATAAAAATTTCTATTATCGATAATAATAAATAAAAAAAAAAAAAAAAAAAAACAGGTGTTATAATATAAAAATTATTGATCTGTCAAAAAAAGATTGATTGATAATGTTATTTTGATTTTTTCACGGATAAGAAAATTGTTTTCTATATTTGTTTTTTTTTTTTTTAAATTACCTTTAGAAATTAATTAACACAGTGACAAAAATAATTAATTAGAAATTTATTTCTTTATTAATAATAATTATATTAATTAATTATATTAATATTGTTATTAAATAAATAATAATAATAATAATAATAACAATTACTAAACATTTTAAATAATAATAATAATAATAATAATAATAATAATAATAACAGTTAATAAACATATTTAATATAATTTTAATTAATTTCTTTTTACTTTTTGTTTCTAAATAAAAAAAAAAAATTTATTGTATTTTTAATAATATTTTTTAATATTTTTAATCATTTTTAATAATAATAACGTTAATTATATTAAATTTTTTATATGTTATTTTTTATAATATTATTATTGTTATAATTATACATTATTTATTTATTTATATTATTAATTATATTTATATTGTTAATTATATTTATATTATTAACTATATTTATATTATTATTTAATTTATATACATATTATTATTATTATTATTATTATATTATTATAAATTTGTTCAATTCTTTTTCAATTGTCAATTGTTCGCAATTATTTAAATTTCTTTTGCCAAAAAAAATTTTTTTTTTAAATTAATTAATTAATTTTTTTTATTAATTTTTCTTTAATTTATTTCTTTATTAATTTGTTATAATTATTAATTATTTATTTATTAATTTTATAATAATTTTATTATTATAATAAATTTTATTTAATATTTTATTTATTTTTATTTTTTATTCAATTATTTATTATATCGATTATTCATATAATTGTTTATTTTTTTATTTATTTATTTAAATTGTATACACGGGTTTACAAAATTTTACCTTTTATAATAATAATAATAATAATAATAATTTAATAGTAATAATTATTTATATAATAATATAATTATTTATTTATTTATAATTTAAATTATTAATAAATTATTAATAATATTTATAGTAATAATTAATAATATAATATTATTTATATAATAATAATTATAATAATAATTATAATTATTTATTTATTTATTTATAATTTAAATTATTTTTTCTTTATTTGTAAGCGATTTCAACCTTTCATATTATTATTATTATTATTATTATTATTATTATTTTCCTCCGCATTTCGATGAGGAAAAATTATGTAATTTAATATATTTGTTTGTTTAATTTTTTTTTTTTTTTTTAATTGCATCTAATTAATGAGTTCATGTTCTATTTTTATAGCAAATGGAATTCGAATGGGTTCTTCATGAAGAAGTACATTCGTCACTTTCACATCTTCGGAATATTTTGATGGTAGGTGTTTTTTTTTTTTTTTTATTTTCTAATTTATTATTAATTATTAATATATATTATTTATTATTTTATTAATTTTAATTAAGGGGAATTATTTAATTCTAATTTATTATTTTATTAATTTTAATTAAGGGGAATTATTTAATTCTAATTTATTATTATTATTTTTAATTATTATTATTAATTTATTATTTTATCATGTAATTTTAATTAAAGGTAAATTATTAATTAATTAATTTATTTATTTATTTGATGATAAGAACAATTTAATTGAATCCTCGACCACTGCTAGACAGGGAGAGTAAAGAAAAATTAATTATTATCATTTATTTAAATTACATTAAAATTTTTAATTTAAAATTAATTTTTTGAAGAAAAAAAAATAAAAATTTTTTGTCATGAATAAATTATGGATATGATTTTTTGTATTTCAACAATATTTAATTTTTTTTTTTTTTGTGAAAAAAAAAAGGAAGAAGAGTTAAAGTAAAATTTTTTGTTTCAAAAATAATAAATGACTTTTCTTGTTAATTAATTAATAAATAAAGAAAAAAAAAATTATTTTTTTCTAATAATAATAATAATAATAATAATAAAAAATTATTTAGGAATGTGCGCAACGATTTCCAATGGCACTTTTTGGAAATGATCAACAAAATAAAACTGATCGATTTGTTTTTGCTGCTCCTCACGATTTTGTGAAATGCGTCGTTGTTCTTACTGGCGATAGCATCACAAATGCCGTATGTATTTAATTGACAAAAAAAAAGAAAAAATCAAATAAAAAAAATACCTTGGGATTTATATTTTTTAATCCCATTTATTGATTTTGTTTTTCGTTATTTTTTGACGAGGAAAATTTTTTAAATGCATTTTTTTTTCTAAACTCTAATTATTTATTTATTTTTATTTATTTATTTTTTTTTTTCATTTTTAGGAAGTAAATTTTAAAGTACAACGTCAACAAAATGTGAATATGAGAACAAGTATACAAAATGATCATCCATGGAAATTACAACAAATTCAGGATGCCGCTAATCATTTACAACAGGCAATTGCACATATTGATAATGTTGATCGTCATTATTCATTTAAAACATCCGATGAAGTTATGCATGTTTTAGGAAATATTTTAGGTTGCCTACAACGAAGTCGAACAAGTCTCATTGTACCAAGAAAAAAAAATCTCGACGATCTCATCAAAAGTCGTAATATGGTAAATTATTTCTTCTTTTTTTTTTTGTTTTAAAATATATTTACGGATAAAAGAAGAAGATAATTGTAATTTATTTATTTCAAACATATATAATAATAATAATAATAATAATAATAATAGTAATAATAGTAATAATAATTATTATAATAATAATTTATAATAATTTCCATAATTATCTTCTTTCACAAAATTTTTTTTCGAAAGCAAAGTATTTTTTTTTTTTTTCAAAAAAATTTAATAATGTAAAAAAAAAAGATTTTGGAAACATTCTTCCAAAATAAATAAATTTCTTCTCCTCTCCCCCCCCCCAAAAAAAAAAAAAAATATATAGTATTTAAATTTTCAAAATTTTTCAAAAATAAATAAAGTAGGTAGAAATTTTTCAAAATTTGAAGAAAATTTCACTGAAAAATAATTATAATTAAATTAATTATTTCAGTAAATAAATAATTTCGATAATTAAATTAATTATTCCAGTAAATAAATAATTTCGATAATTAAATTAATTATTCCAGTAAATTATAATTCCACTAAATAAATAATTCCGATAATTAAATTAATTATTCCAGTAAATTAATTGTTGCAATAAATTAATTATTCCAGTAAATTAATTGTTGCAATAAATTAATTATTCCAGTAAATAAATAATTTCGATAATTAAATTAATTATTCCAGTAAATTAATTATTCCACTAAATAAATAATTCCGATAATTAAATTAATTATTCCAGTAAATTAATTGTTGCAATAAATTAATTATTCCAGTAAATAAATAATTTCGATAATTAAATTAATTATTCCAGTAAATAAATAATTTCGATAATTAAATTAATTATTCCAGTAAATTAATTATTCCACTAAATAAATAATTCCGATAATTAAATTAATTATTCCAGTAAATTAATTGTTGCAATAAATTAATTATTCCAGTAAATTAATTGTTGCAATAAATTAATTATTTCAGTAAATTAATTGTTGCAATAAATTAATTATTCCAGTAAATAAATAATTCCGATAATTAAATTAATTATTCAAGTAAATTAATTGTTGCAATAAATTAATTATTACGATAAATAAATAATTTCGCTAAATAAATAAATAATACAATTTTTCTCTGTTTATAAATTTATTTGAAATAATTATTCTTTCAGAAATCATTGAATCCAAATTTGCCGGAAAATTTGGCAATTAGTTTCTACATTCAAAGTTATAAATTGGTGCTTGCTGTTTATCAATTGGAAAATGCACATGGCAGTGTTAAATATGAAACACAACAAGCCGAATGCAGTGTTCCCTGGCTTAATGAAGCACTCGTTCTATTGACAATAGCTCTACAATTGTGTCAAAGACTCAAGGACAAGGTTTTCAAAAATTTTATTTTACATAGAAAAAAAAAAGAAAATGAAATTCATATTTTTCTTTTTTCCTTAAAATTTATTTTACAAGAAAAAATTTATATTTATTTATTTCCTAAAAATTTTATTTATTTATTTATTTATTTATTTATAAATGGAACAACAAAATTTGATTATTTTTCGAAAAACTTATTTTATAAAAAAAAAAATTATATTATTTTTCGAAAAATTTATTTCATAAAAAAAAAATTATATTTTTTTTCCTAAAATTTTATTTTACAAAAAAATATAATTTTTGACTTATTAAAAAAAAATTTTCAAAATATTTTATAACGTAAAATTATCTTTGAAAATATCTTTCAAAATAAAATTCAAATATTCATTATGTGGAAATTGTATTTTCCATTCGAATTGTTTAAATTTATTTTATTGTTATTAATTTTTTTTTTTTTAATATCATTTTACTAGTATTTTTTTTTTGACAAATTTTCATTTTTCAAATTAGTATTTGACAGAATTTTTTTTTTAAACGAATTTTTACTTAACAAAATTTTTAGGTAATTAATTTTTTTACTATTATTATTATTATTATTGTTTATTTATCTATTTATTTATTTATTTATTTATAATAATACACGGGCTGACACAAAAAAAAATTATTATTATTATTATTATTATTAATATTGATTTTATTTATTAATTTATTATTAGTTTTTAATTTTTAATTTATTTTTTTAATTTATTAATTTTTGTTTATTTTTATTTACTATTTATTTATTTATTCATTTACACTGAATAATTTAATAATTTTTACAAAAATTCAATTTAAAAAGAAAAAAAAAAAAATTAATAAAAAATTTTTTTTCTTCTTTTAGATTTGCGTTTTTTCGCAATACAAAGACTTCACGGTGGGATCGCGAGTTCCATCAGCAATGGGATGGTAACAAAATAATTATTCGATAATTCAAGAAAAATTCCAAATGAGTAAAAAGAAAAATGCGAAGAGTACTTTGCCAATAACGTGCCTAGTCTAGAATTTTTTTTTTTTTAAATTAATTATTGTTATTAGGTATTATTATTATACTCTAAGTCTTAATAATAATTTATTATATTATTTGTTTTTTTTGTTTGTAAATGTATCTCAGGTGTTCGTCCCTTCGTTTGTTTTTGTATAGAATAATAATTAAAAATTTAGCAAATGAATTTTAAATGAAAAAAAAAAAACGAACACAAAAATTTTCAACAAAATGAAACAAAAAACAAAAAAAAAAATTGAGTGTCTACATATTTTAATATATGTAATAATCATTGCCATTGTTTATATTGCGAAAAAAATTATTATTAATATTAATAATATTATTAATTATTAATATAATAATAATATTATTATTATTATTATTATTATTATTATTATTATTATTATTATTATTATTATTATCATTATTTAGAAGAGAAAAAAACCAATTTTATAGAAATAATGTTAACAAAGGTAAAAAAAAAATCTTTTTCCTTCGTTTTTCAAATACTCTTTTTTCATTGAAAAATTATTTTTTTTTTCCACATTTTGCAAAAATGGAAAAAAATTTTTTTTAACTAATTTCAAATTAGAAAATTATTTTTTAAAAATTTGTGCATTTTAAAAGAAGAAAACAAATGAAAAATATTTAAGAGTTTCAAATATTGCAAACATTTTTTTTTTTTTATTTCTTTTACTTAAAAAAAATTTTTTTTTTAATTTTTGCAATATTTCTCAACAATTTTATAATTATGTATTTATATTTTTTTTTAGATTTTTTTTTCTAAGTTTTGCAATAGAATTTTCCCCATCACAATTTTTCCCCTTAAAAAATATTTATAATAATTTTATATTTTATAAATTTTATTTATTTATTTATTTATTCTTTTTCTTTTTTAATTTAATTTATATTTTATATATTTAGAATAATTTTTAATATGAAAATATATTTTTACTGCTGAGAATTAAGAGAGAAATAGAAAAAAAAAAAAAAAAGAAAGAGTTCTTTTTTTTTTGGAAAACGTTGGAAAAGGACAATTTTTTCAAAAAAGAAACAATGTTAATGAAAAAAAGAAAGAAAAGAAAATGAATGAATTATTTTATTATATTTCGAGGGAAATTATTTTGTGACTAATTTACAGATACTAAATTTTATTTTTTTTCTCTACTTGTTTTATCAATTTATTTTTTGTAAATATTTTTCTATTTTCTATTTTTCATTACTAAAATTTTATTTATATTTTCTATTTTACAAAACTAAAAACTAAAAATAAAATCCTATTGAATAGAAAAAGAGAAAATATGAAAAAAAAAAAAAAAAAAAATTCAAATAGTAACAATAATTTGTCCCGTCAATGTAATAAATAAATAACATAAATTCCGTATATATTTTTTATCTATTTAACAAAAATTCTTCGAATCGAAATACAATAAAATAATCCAATTACTAAAAAAAAAAAAAAAGAAAATTGTCGAATTAATCGTTTTTGCGCATATTGTAAGTATTTATCATCTTTAACACACACACACATATATATATAAAATATTGTTAATCGATTATTATTATTATTGTTATAGCGAGTGTCGTTTTATTAAATTACAAAAAAAATACCTACAATTAATTATAAATTAACAAAAAAAAAAAATTAGCGTCAATTACTTTTGTGAGTATAAGACGAAAAAAAAATCAATTTGTGATGTAAACGCGGTGGAAATAGAAAAAAAAAAAAAAAAAAAGAATTGTTCTTCACGAAATATTTTGAAAATAATGAATTTTCCCTCCCTCCTTCAAAAAATAATTCAGTACTTATCGGACGAGTTTTTTCTCCCTTTCAATAAAAAAAAAAAAAAAAAAAAAAAAAAAAAATTGGGACGAATTAAAAAAAAATCTAGTTATTCTCTATGCGTATATATAAATATATATATATTTAGAAATATTGTAAAAAAAAAAAAAATTTGCGTGAAAAATTTATTGTCCAATTTTACGGATTTTTAATGATTTTTCTTCGAAAATTTTTAATGAAGCTTTTTACTATTATTGTATTAATTTTTATTAATATTATATTATTATTAATTATAATTATTATTTTACTATTATTATTTTTTATTATTATTATTATTAAAATAATTTTTATTATTTTCAAATGATTGTTATTATTTTTTTTTTTTAACAGGGTGTCCAGTGGACCTTGAAATACCTTGAAAAGTCCTTGAATTTTTTTTTTTTTGAACCTTAAAATATTCCTGGAATTTTTATTTATTATAATTTTTTTTTTATCCGAATTTTCGAACTAAAATTTCACAAATTTTATTTTATACGAATTTTTTTTTACATAAAAAAATTTTAAGTTATCGTATGTTTTTCAAGAATTTTTATTTTTGTATTTTTTTTTTTTTTCTTTTACATGATTTTTAATTTAAAGGACAATTTAATTTAAACGAATTTTTAATTTAACTAAATTCGCATTTAATCAAATTTTAATTTTTAAAAAAAAAGAATTCGCATTTAATCAAATTTTAATTGAAAAAAAAAATCGCATTTAATCGAATTTTAATTTCAAAAAAAAAAAAAAAAAATTCTCATTTAATCGAATTTTTAAATTTGACAAAAAAAAAATTCCAATTCACCGAATTTCAAATTTTTGTCCGAATTTTTAATTATATGCAAATTTTTAAAGGCACCGAGTTTCTTTTTCATTTCTCCAAATAAACAATCGACAGAAAAATTTTGGGTGTAAAAAAAAATTTTTTAAATTAACCAATTAGAAATTATCAAAAAAAAAAAAAAAAAAAAAATTGTGATTGGTTAATTTTTGAAAAATTGCGCCAATTTTTTTCTTAATTAATTACTTTGTTCCGTCATTTTTCTAATTTCAGACAAATGGAAATTCGCAGAATTAAAAATTCTTACATTAAAAATTTAATAATTATAAATAAAAAATATTTTTCATAGAAAAAAAAAAAATTATTATCGACCTTAAATTTTTTTTTCTCCAAAATTTCTGGACACCCTAAATTTAGGTATACAAAAAAAAAATTGTGTTCTCTATTGGTTTGTATTTTGAAAAAATATGAACGTCTTTTTTACAATGTATCTCATTCTCTAGTCTTTAAAAAAAAAAAAACAAGAAAAAAATTTTATCCATAAAAATGTTTCAAGACCCCGACAATAATAATAGTAATTATTATTATTAGTTATTATATAAATATTATAATGTTGTCGCACGAAATATCAATGTTAATATTATTATTATTATTATTATTATTATTAGAATAAAAAAAATTTTCTCATTGACGAAACAAGAAAAAAAATTATTTTTCCCTTGTTCCTCCCACTTGGAAAGATTCCCCGGAAAGTGCCCCCTGAAGATTCTATCGGCATTCCGCCGGAACTTCCAACGTAATTCCGTCGGAGTTCCAAAGAAGTTTTGCAAAAATGGACCAACATAAAAGTTAAAGCTAACTAAATTCCTGACAATTTGCAAAAAAGAACAATGTAATAGCATTAATAGTTTCCGAGATACGGTTGCTCTAGAAATAACTTATTGCCATAGCAACTATTGTCATAGTAACTATTGCCATAGTAACTATTGCCATACTAAGTTACTTTTTGCCATAGTAACTATTGCCATATGAAGTTACTTTTTGCCATAGTAACTATTACCATACTAAGTAACTGTTGCCATAGTAAATATTGACATAGTAACTTTTGCCATAGTAACTGTTACCATACTAAGTAACTGTTGCTATATTAACTGTTGCCATAGTAACTATTGCCATACTAAGTTACTTTTTGCCATAGTAACTATTACCATACTAAGTAACTATTGCCATAGTAACTATTGCCATAGTAACTGTTGCCATACTAAGTAACTGTTGCCATACTAAGTAACTGTTGCCATACTAAGTAACTTTTGCCATAGTAAGTAACTGTTGCCATAGTAACTTTTGCCATAGTAACTGTTGCCATACTAAGTAACTGTTGCTATATTAACTGTTGCCATAGTAACTATTGCCATAGTAACTATTGCCATAGTAACTATTGCCATACTAAGTTACTTTTTGCCATAGTAATTATTACCATACTAAGTAACTATTGCCATAGTAACTATTGCCATAGTAACTGTTGCCATACTAAGTAACTGTTGCCATACTAAGTAACTGTTGCCATACTAAGTAACTTTTGCCATAGTAAGTAACTGTTGCCATAGTAACTTTTGCCATAGTAACTGTTGCCATACTAAGTAACTGTTGCCATACTAAGTAACTGTTGCCATACTAAGTAACTTTTGCCATAGTAAGTAACTGTTGCCATAGTAACTTTTGCCATAGTAACTGTTGCCATACTAAGTAACTGTTGCCATACTAAGTAACTGTTGCCATACTAAGTAACTTTTGCCATAGTAAGTAACTTTTGCCATAGTAAGTAACTGTTGCCATAGTAACTATTGCCATAGTAACTATTGCCATAGTAACTATTGCCATACTAAGTTACTTTTTGCCATAGTAATTATTACCATACTAAGTAACTATTGCCATAGTAACTATTGCCATAGTAACTGTTGCCATACTAAGTAACTGTTGCCATACTAAGTAACTGTTGCCATACTAAGTAACTTTTGCCATAGTAAGTAACTGTTGCCATAGTAACTATTGCCATAGTAACTATTGCCATAGTAACTATTGCCATACTAAGTTACTTTTTGCCATAGTAATTATTACCATACTAAGTAACTATTGCCATAGTAACTATTGCCATAGTAACTGTTGCCATACTAAGTAACTGTTGCCATACTAAGTAACTGTTGCCATACTAAGTAACTTTTGCCATAGTAAGTAACTGTTGCCATAGTAACTTTTGCCATAGTAACTGTTGCCATACTAAGTAACTGTTGCCATACTAAGTAACTGTTGCCATACTAAGTAACTTTTGCCATAGTAAGTAACTGTTGCCATAGTAACTTTTGCCATAGTAACTGTTGCCATACTAAGTAACTGTTGCTATATTAACTGTTGCCATAGTAACTATTGCCATACTAAGTTACTTTTTGCCATAGTAACTATTACCATACTAAGTAACTATTGCCATAGTAACTATTGCCATAGTAACTATTGCCATACTAAGTTACTTTTTGCCATAGTAATTATTACCATACTATAATATAATAATGGCAATAGTAACTATTGCCATAGTAACTATTGCCATAGTAACTGTTGCCATACTAAGTAACTGTTGCCATACTAAGTAACTGTTGCCATACTAAGTAACTTTTGCCATAGTAAGTAACTGTTGCCATAGTAACTTTTGCCATAGTAACTGTTGCCATACTAAGTAACTGTTGCCATAGTAACTATTGCCATAGTAACTATTGCCATAGTAACTATTGCCATACTAAGTTACTTTTTGCCATAGTAATTATTACCATACTAAGTAACTATTGCCATAGTAACTATTGCCATAGTAACTGTTGCCATACTAAGTAACTGTTGCCATACTAAGTAACTGTTGCCATACTAAGTAACTTTTGCCATAGTAAGTAACTGTTGCCATAGTAACTTTTGCCATAGTAACTGTTGCCATACTAAGTAACTGTTGCTATATTAACTGTTGCCATAGTAACTATTGCCATACTAAGTTACTTTTTGCCATAGTAATTATTACCATACTATAATATAATAATGGCAATAGTAACTATTGCCATAGTAACTATTGCCATAGTAACTGTTGCCATACTAAGTAACTGTTGCCATACTAAGTAACTGTTGCCATACTAAGTAACTTTTGCCATAGTAAGTAACTGTTGCCATAGTAACTTTTGCCATAGTAACTGTTGCCATACTAAGTAACTGTTGCTATATTAACTGTTGCCATAGTAACTATTGCCATAGTAACTATTGCCATAGTAACTATTGCCATACTAAGTTACTTTTTGCCATAGTAATTATTACCATACTAAGTAACTATTGCCATAGTAACTATTGCCATAGTAACTGTTGCCATACTAAGTAACTGTTGCCATACTAAGTAACTGTTGCCATACTAAGTAACTTTTGCCATAGTAAGTAACTGTTGCCATAGTAACTTTTGCCATAGTAACTGTTGCCATACTAAGTAACTGTTGCTATATTAACTGTTGCCATAGTAACTATTGCCATACTAAGTTACTTTTTGCCATAGTAACTATTACCATACTAAGTAACTATTGCCATAGTAACTATTGCCATAGTAACTGTTGCCATACTAAGTAACTGTTGCCATACTAAGTAACTTTTGCCATAGTAACTGTTGACATAGTAACTGTTGCCATAGTAACTATTGCCATAGTATCGGTTACCATGTACGACTGACGGACGGACGCCAAAGCGAAACTATAAAGCTTTCGGCCCTGGGCCACGAAATCCTAAAAATGTATTTTTTAAGGAAGCTATATATATATATCGGTCAATTTTTGAGTTCATTTTTTTTATCAAATTACTCAGAATTTTATACACTTTTTTTTTTTATAATAACTATTTTTATTCTAAAATATCATAAAAGGCGGCAATTTGAAAAAAAAACTGATTTTATACAACTATTTCATAAAAAAAATTTTAGATTCCAGTAGTAGTTGGAAGTACCAAATTTAGGTACATTATTTTTATCCCAAAAAGAAGGGTTTATGCAAAAAAAAAAATTGAGGCATCTAAAAATGCTAACTTGACTGGACTAGAGGCGGTTTTTGTTTTTTTTTTTTTGAAAATTAAGTCAACAATTTTCACTGAGAATTCATTGAAATTTTTTTTCTAAAACTGCGAAAAAAAACTAATAACAAAAAAAAAATATTATTTTTTAATTTAATGACAGAAGAAAATGGTCTCTAAATTCATATACCGGATTTTAATTCCAATGGTGGATTCGTTGGCTTCAAACTTTCCATTATTGTTATCTATTATAAATTAAAATAAACGGAATAAATAAATATAATAATTGTTCCTCAAGTGATTAAAATAAACTGTTTGCCCCTACTGGATGGTAGAGAAATATAGAAAACTTATCATTTTTTTAATATCTTTTTATCACTGATAATTATTGTATATTGATTAGAATAGAGATAGAAAGGCAATAGATGATTATACATATAGACCGGAACATAAAAGTTATATAATTTTTCTATTTATTTTCTATCTCAGTGATAAAAAGATAATAAAAAAAGTTATAAATAAATAAATGCGCGATAATCTCAGAGATGAAAAAAAAATATATATATATATATATATAAAAATTTGTTAAGTTTTCTATTTCTTTACTATAATCAGCAGGGGCAAAACAGTTTATACTTTAATCATTTGAGGCACAATTATTATATTTATTTATTCGTTTATTTTATTTATTATATAGGATAAAAAGATGGAAAGTTTATTATTTGTTTTTAGTTTGTTTTTTTTTCCGCAGCTATAGAAAAAAATTTCGCTAAATTCTTAGTAAAAAATTGTTGTCTCACCTGATTTTTTCAAAAAATTGCCTCGCTTCTGCACAGAAAAAATGAAAAAGTAATTTTTACTACTTTCATAGTAAAATGGGATCTGTCCGAAGTTTCTGCGCATCTCTGGCAACTTTTACTCAAAAAATAGTAAAATTTACTATTTTTGTAATAATTTTTACTATTTCTGGAGTAAATTTTACTATTTCTGGAGCAAATTTTACTATTTTTGGAGTAAAAGTTGCCATAGATGCGCAGAAACTTCGGACAGATCCCATTTTACTATGAAAGTAGTAAAAATTACTTTATTCATTTTTCTATTTTTCTCCATGTGAGTAAAATTATATATATAAACTGAAAAAAATATTGCCGAGAAATTCAACTATACCATTGGGTAGTTGACTAGAAAGTAGTTAAAATAACTACTTTTTTTAGTTAATCTAATCATGTTGATGTAGTTAATGTAACTATTTTTAAGAAGTTAATAAGTAATAGTTGATTTTACGTAAATATGTAGTTAAAGTACAACTATACAGGTCGGTAGTAAAATTAACTTTCCTAAGGTAGTAAAAACAAGTGGAATTGTAGTCAACTCAAAATTTCAAGAGTAGTAAATCCAACTACTATTCATTATATGAAATGTAGTGAAAGGAATTATTTTCTTTAATTAATATAACTGCTTTTTGAGTAGTAAATTTTGTTATTAATTTCTATGATTTTATAGGCTTCAATAAAATTCTTATTGTAGAATTAACAAGTCGTCTGTTATTAAAACTATACTACTTTAAGTAGTAGATTTTTACTATTTTCATTAATTCGATAAACTTAAAGAAGATTTTTAATGTAGAATTTACAAATCGTTTCCAGTTAAAACTACTACTTTAAGTATAGTAGATTTTACTACTCAAAGTGGTACAATAGGCTTTAAGAATACATTTTTGTTGTAGAATTAACAAATCCATTGTGATTAAAACTATTACTTTAAGTAGTAATTTTTTACTATTTTAATTAATTCAATAAGCTGGAAAAACGTTTTTAATGTAAAATTTACAAAATTGTTTCCAATTAAAACTTTTACGACTTTCAGTAGTAGCTTTTACTACTTAAAGTGGTTCAATAGGCTTTAAGAATAACATTTATGTTGTAGAATTAAAAAATCCTTTACAAATTAAAACTATCACTTTAAGTAGTAGATTTTACTGCACTATGCAATTAAACAACTTATAATATAATTAAAAGATGAAAAATTTACAAGTCAAAACTTAAAAAGAATAGTTATAGCAACTAATAAAAGTAGTAAAAATGACTACTTTAAATAGTTAAATTACCAATTGAACAAGCAGAAAGTAGTCTTCGAGTAGTTTGCAGACTGTCGTAGCGAGAGCGTGCGTGGTTAGTCGGTTAAGGTATCGGATTGCGAGCGTGTTAGGGTCGAGGGTTCAATTCCCGTCGGTTAGAAATTTTCTCTGTTAGTTACATAATCGTTAGGGCATAAAATAAACGTCAGTATATAGGAGAGAGGATGAAAAAGTCAATTCTACTGATAATAAACAATTATAAATAAAAAATAATTTTATTTTCCTATTTTAAGTAGTAAAATCTACTATATACTTAAAGTAATAGTTTTAATTGCAAAAGATTTATTAATTCTACAAAAAAAAATGTTCTTAAAGCCCTATTGAACCACTTTCAGTAGTAAAGTTTACTATACTTAAATTAGTAGTTTTAATTGCAAAATATTTATTAAATGTACCAAAAAAATGTTCTTAAATGGTAGTGAAATATTTGAAATTTTTTTTTTCAAGACAAAAATTTTTTTTTCTTTTTTGTTATTTTTTTTTTTTTTTTTGAAATATTAAATAAATTTTTTTCTATTCAATTTGAATCTCGAGACGGAAATTAATGAAAACTTAAATCACGTGATAATAAATATCGCGAGTGTTGGCAATTTCATTAAATTGTGACGTAAATGTTTGTTACATTTATCACAAACAGTTTACTATTATCACTTGAGGCGATTGAACACAATTTTATTATTATTATTTTTTATTAAGAAAATAAAAAAGAGAAAGATTTATTTATTATTTTTGCAAAAAAAAAAAAAAAATTAATAAATATTTTAATTTATTTTAATTAACAAGTAAGTTGATAATATTAATTTATAATATTATTATTATTATTGTTATTGTAAATAATTATTTAAATTATTTAAAGAAATTTTTTTCTTTTCAACAATTGGAAAATAAAAATTTTAAAAAAAAAATTGTATTTTAATGAGTTTTTCCAGATGTGATAAAAGAAAAATAGTTAATATTCAAAATTTGGTAAATTTTTGAACACTTTTTTTTTTTTTTTTTTTTTTTTTTTTTTTTTTTTTTTTTTTTTTTTTTTTTTTTTTTGAATTAAAAATAAAGAAAAAATTTTTTAATTATTAGACAATTTTAAAATAATACTATTGATAAAATATATTTATAACTATTACTCGTAAATTTCAATAATAATGATAATAATTGTGATAAGATAAATTTTCTCACTTCCTTGTTATTAGGTAAGGATTAGAAATTTTTATTTTATTTTTTTTTTTTTTTATTAATTATAGCAATAAAACTTTAATCTATAAAAAAGTTTTTTTTATTATAAAAAAATTTATAAGAAAATATTTTACAAACAGGAAAAGTAATTTATTTATATGTAAATTTTTTATTTTAAAAAACCAATTTAAAATTAATTAATTTTTTTTTTACGAAATAAAAATAAGTAATTTTGGTTTTTTTTCGCAAAAAAAAAATTTTATATTTCTATGGGAAAAATTTGTTTTTTGAATTTTATTTTAAAATTTTTTCCGATTATTTTTTTTTTTTTTTTTTTGTTTAAATTATTAAATTTATTTTTTTAATTATTATTATTATTATTTTTTATTTAAATTATTATTATTATTATTATTATTATTATTTTATTAAAAAAAAAGAAATCATTTTTTTTTTTTGAAAAAATTTATTTAATTATTTATATTTTATTTTATTTTATTATAGATAGCAATGGAAAGTTTAGAGCCAACGAAGATAAAAATAGAAAAAAAAAATTTACACGTTCCACCATTGGACGAATTAAAATCTGGTATAAAAAAAAAAATGAAAAATTTTTTAAAATAAATTTTTTTCTCTCATTGAATTAAAAAATAATAAATTTTTTTTTGTTATTAGTTTTTTCCGCAGCTTTAGAAAAAAATTTCGCTGAATTCTCCGTGGAAATTGTTGACTCACCCGATTTTCAAAAACCGCCATTTACACTCGCCGCTTCTGGTAAATTATAATTTTTTTGTTTTTGTTTTTTTTTTTTTTTTCATGTTATTAGAATATTTATTTTTTATTTATTAATATATTAAATTCAAAAATATATTTAACGACAATAATAAAAGTACAAAAAAATTATTTATTTAAATTAATAATAATTTTTAATAAATAAAAATTATTTTTCATTTTATTAAATTATTTTTTATTTATTTTAAATAAAAATTAATTTTTATTCTAAATAAATAAAATTATTTTATTTATTTAAAAAAATACAATCATTGCTAATAATAATAATATATTAATTAACAATTAAATTAATTTTACTAATTTACTGTATTAGATCAAAAATAAATTTAAAAAAAAAACTTCTATTAAATTTTTATAGGTTTAGGTGGAAAACCAACAATTTTGGAAGTTGGAGGACCAGCTTATTTATTACCATTGGTCCAAAAGGAAAAAGTTTATGATATTAAAAAATTGGCACCATTTTTAAATCACGGTGATAAATCTTTTGTCATTGGAGCCGGAGCTGGACCATGGCCCTATATTAATACAAATTGCGAGGTTGGCAGAAGAAAAAAAAAAAAGAATTTTAATTATTCAAATTAATTTCTAGTTTCGAATTTTGCAACAAAAAAATAATCTAATTTTTAATTCTTTTTCTTTTTTTTTCAAAAAAAAATTTTTTTTTTTTTGTCATAAAGAAAAGTTTTTAAATTAAAAAATTGTGTTTTATTAAAAAAATAATTTTTTAAATTAAAATAATTGTTTTTTATTTTTAAAAATAATATTTTTTAATTAAGAAATAATTTTTTAAATTAAAATAATTGTTTTTTATTTTTAAAAATAATATTTTTTATTTTAAAAATAATATTTTTTAATTAAAGAAATAATTTTTTAAATTAAAATAATTGTTTTTTATTTTTAAAAATAATATTTTTTAATTAAGAAATAATTTTTTGAATTATAAAAATTGTTTTTTTTTTATAATTTTTAATTCAAAAAAATTACTTTTTTTATTTTTATTCTATTTAAGAAAAAAAAAATTATTATTATATTTTAAAATTTTAAACAAAAAAAAAAATATATTTTTTCCCAATAGATGATGATGAATGTTGTTTTGAACACACCGAAATCGTCGGAAAGTACAAAAATTTCATTTGTCGATAAAAATAATGGAGAATGCATTTTAAAAACATTGCCAGCAAATGAAACACGTTTTGCATTATTGGCAAATTTATTTTTATGCCAGGGACAATTGGGAAAAGTAATTCGTGTTTTTGCAAAAAAACGAATTGGAAATGATGATTTTATTGCGACAATGCAAAAATCATTGGCAAATTATTATCCCGACAAACTTGTTGGTAATTAATTATTTTTATATTTATATTTATTTTTATTTTTTTATTTTTTATTTTTATTTTTTTTTCAGCAAAAAAATAAACCTGTTTTGATTATTTAAATAAATAGAGAAAAATTTTTTGGCTTAATTAAAAAAATATATATATTATTTAAACAACTGAATAATTTATTAATTAAAAAATTAGTTATTTAAATAATTTATTAATTTATTAATAAAAAATTAATTATTTAAATAACTTAATAATTTATTTTAAAAAAATTAATTATTTAAATAACTTAAAAGTTTAGTACTTAAAAAATTAGTTATTTAAATAACTTAATAATTTATTAATTAAAAAAGAGTTATTTAAATAATTTAATAATTAATTAATTAAAAAATTTATATTATTTAAATAATTAATTATCTGGCACTTAATTGTGAAATTAAAAAATTGTACCAAAAAAAAATTAAAAAAACGAATAATTAATTTTTTTTGAATTATAATTTTTATAGAATAATAAAAAATTTAAAAAAATTATTAAATTTTGATTTTTTTTTCTCTATTTTTGTAGGTTTAGGTGGGACATTTTTACTCAAAGAAGGAAAAGCCAAACAACACGTGATGCAGGATTTTTCAAAAATCCCTTTAAAAACAGAAGAGGATCTTAATAATTGGTTGAAATTCTATAATATGTCAGCACCATTAATTGCCGTTGGAACTTTTGTTTCCGCCGAAACTGTAAGTTATATATTTTTTTTTTTTCAAAATTCTTCTTTTAAATTTCAAAAAAAAAAAATATATATATAAATTTGTTTTAGTATTAAAAAATTTTTCAATTACATTTTTGTTTGTTTTTTCCTTTATTTATTAAAAAAAAAAAAAAAAAACATTTCCTTATTTATTAATTAAAAAAAAAAAAAAATTTTCTATTTTATTTTAAAAAAAAATAGTTTCTTCCATTTTGGTTTTTTATTTTACAAAATTAAATTTCTTTTATAATTTATTATATTTTTAATTAATTTTTTTTTGTAATTAATTTCATTTCATTTATTAATAAAAATTTGAAAAAATAAATAATTTAAAAAAATTTGTAAAAAAAATAAATTATTTTAAAAAATTTGAAAAAATAAATAATTTTAAAAAATTGAAAAAATAAATTATTTAAAAAAATTGAAAAAAATAAATTATTTTAAAAAAATTTTTTTAAAAATAAAAATTATATTTAAAAAAAAAAAATTGATAAAAAAAATAATTTTAAAAAATTATTGTTTCTTCTTCTTTTTTTAAATACAGAATTTAGATTTGAGAGTACAGCATTTTCACAGTTTTTCAAATCACGGCGAAGGTGGACATTATCATAATGATACAACGCCTGATATTGTCGAATATTTAGGATATTTCACGCCCGGAGAAATTTTATATCGCGTCGATCAACCACCAAATGCATCGAATTTTGGAAAGGATTAATTTCAACGAAAAAAACAAAACAAAAAATTTCTTTCTTTACAAACAACAAGAAAAAAATTTAAAAAAAGGTACTTTACTTTTTTTATTCTCTTTCAAAATTCTTTTTTAGTAAAAAAAGAAAAATTTACGATTGTTTATATTTTAAATTTAATGGATAAAAAATAAAATTTCAAAAAATTATTTTCCAAAAAAAAAAACGAAATTCTATTTTTTTTTATTCTCTCTATATACCAAACACAATTTACATTTGTTGTAATTTTTTATTTTTTTTTTTTTTCAATTATTATACAATTTATATATTTTCTTTTATTTAATTTTCCTCTAGTAATTAATAAAAGAACAAGGCAATAATAATAATAATAATAATAATAATAATAATAATAAGTAAAAATTTTAAAATTAATTAATTAATAAAATTAAATTAATTTATTTCCACTTTAAAAAAATGAAAAAAATTGAAATTAAATTTGCGAATAAAATTTCTGTATTTTCATTGGTTTATCAATTCGAAATAAATTTTCGACTGGCGTAAAAAATGCCAAATATTCCACAATTTCGGGTGTTGTATCCTGAATATAATGACCACCTTCTTTATGATCGGAGAATGTGTGAAATAAATAATTAACTTCGGCATCCTAAAAGAAAAAAAATTTTTTTTTTTTTCGAAAAATAGAGAACAAAAATAATAATTATTAATTAAAAATAAAATAATTATTAAATTAATAACAATTATTAATTAACAATAAATTAATAATAATTAATTATCAATCAATTAACTATAAATTAATAATAATTAATTAACTATAAATTAATAATAATTAATTAACAATTAATTAATAATAATTAATTAACAATTAATTAATAATAATTAATTAACAATTAATTAATTATAATTATTATTAATTAACAATAAATTAATAAAATTTGAAAATTTTTTTCAATCGCAAATTAAATCGAAAAAAAAAAATTAAAACCCACAGAATTAATTGATTGAAAAGTTCCAACTTGCGTTAATGGACTTTTTGCTTCATAAGTGACAAACCATGAGGAATCTTTTGCATAAATATTCACTGGTTTCTCCGAATAATCGCGTGGTAATTGAATCATTACTTTGCCCTCAATTACAACAAAAACACCACCTAAAACTAAATTTTAAAAAACAGAAACAAATTTTTTTGAAAATTTTTCACTCTTTTTTTTTTTTTTTTTTTTAATTTATCACAAAAAAAAAAGTTTCTCTCTTTTTTAAATATTGAAGAAACGCACTTCTTTTTTCCCAAATTTATTTATTTTTTTTTTTAATGAATAATTTTAATTCGTTAAAAAAGAAAAATTAAATAAATTCAAAATTTTTTCCTCAATTTAAAAGAATAAAGTGAAAATAAAAAATTTTTAATTAAAAAAAAAAAAAAAAAATTATCCCAAAAAATATTTAGCAAAAAAAAAAAAAATTTTTCCAATTTAAAGAAAATGAAAAAAATTTTATTTTTTAAAAAAAAAGAAAAAATTTGTTTACAATTTTAAAAAAGGGTAAAAGGTAAAATTTTTTTTTTTACCAACAATTTTGTCTGGATAACGTTTAGCTAATGCTTTTTGCATTGCAATGACAAATTCATCTTGACCTAAACGTTTTTTCACATGAATTCGTAAAGTTTTGCCCATTTTGCCATGTGAAAATAATAAATTTGCCGCAAGTCCAAAACGTGTTTCATTTGCTGGTAAATTTTGATAAATAAATTTTTCACTATTTTTCTCGTCTTTCAAAAATGTTATTATTGAACCGGCTGATTCGATTTTTCCATCCAAAATCATATTATAAGTCAACTAAAAAATTTAATTGAAAATTTTTCTTCTATTTATTTTTATTTTTATTTAAATATATTTTATATTCTATTTAAATAAAAATATTCTTGTATTAAATATTATTAATAATTGTAATAAATAAAATTATTTATTATAAATTATTAAACAAAAAAAAATTATTATTTTTTCCAAAAATTAAAAAGAAAATTTTAATATTTTTGATATTTTTAATATTTTTAATATTTTAATATTTTAATGCCTATTGTTATTAAAATAAAAAAATTTGTTTTAATTTAATTTTATAATTATAAATAAATAATTTATTAATTATTTATATTAAATTATTTATAAAAAAAATTTTTTTTAATTTTGTTTTTTAACTTTTTAATATTGTTTTTTCTATTTTTTAACTTTTTAGTTTTTTATTATTTATTATTTAAACAAAAATAAACTTTCACCTTTGATTTGGTTTTAATAAATGGCCAGGGACCAAAAGAAGCGCCAATAACAAATGTTTCATTATTATTATTATTATTATTAAATTCAAGACGTTTTGCAATTGTTTTAACATCATAGAGTTTTTCTAATTTTGGAAATGGAAACATATTGTCCAATCCACCAACATGTGCAGCAGTTGTTTTTCCACAAAAACCTTGAAAATTTGTTATTATAATTTTTCTTTTCTTTTCTTTTCTTGCCTTATTTTCTCATAAATTTTAAATTTTTTCATATAATTCAAAAATAGAAAGAAAAATTTTTTTTTTTTTTACCCTCAGCTTTTAAATTAAATGGAGATTTTCTCAAATCGGGTGAATCAACAATTTCCACTGAAACTTGAGCGAAATTTTTCACTAAAGCCTCGTAAAGAACTAAAAATTAAAAAAAAAAAATTTAATTTAGTTTTTAAATTTTAAATTAGATAATAAAAAAAAAAAATTTTTTTAAATTAATTTCTTAAATATTTAATATAATATACTGAAAGTCTATTTCAACCATTTTTGAGTTCTTCTAATGATGGTACGAAAATTTCTTTTTTTTCAAAATTCAACTTCATTGAATCCAACACGAAGGATTTCTATGAAAAAAATTTATTTTATCAATTTATTATTATTATTATTATTATTATATTAATTAATTTATTTATTTTAAGTTTCAATTTTTAACAAAAATTGTTATTTTAAAAAAAATTATTATTATTATTATTTATTTTTTTTAAATTAAAAAATATAATATTTTCTTTTTTTTATAATTCACAATTTTTTTCTCTCTCTCTCTCTCTCTTTCTCGAGCAAAAAAAAAAATAATATTTTTTGAAAAAAATTTTACACACTTTTGGAGTGTCCATTTTTTTTTTGCACACTTTAATAACAATTACTGTTAATTACTGTTAAATTTTGTAATTTCTTTTGTGTTCTTTTAATGGAAAGAAAAAAAAAAAAAAACTTTTTTTCTTCACTAATACGAATGTTAAAAAGTGATATTAAAAATTTTTTTTTTTTCTTTTGTATAACTAGATAACGATAATTTTTTTTAAATAAACATAAGTAATTAACAATTATAATGAACAAAATAAATAAATATTACTTAAAAAAAAAAAAAATTATTATTTATATTTTACAATTAGAATTGCTAATTTTAGTAATAGAAAATTTTATTTTTTAATATCTATATCTTTTTTTTTTTTTTGCTCAATTTTATTATTTTGTTCTTTATCATAGCTTTTAATTAACATTAGATTAATTCTTTATTTATTAAAAAAAATAATAATTAATTAATTAAAAAGATAATTTTCAAAAAAAAAATAAATTATTAATATTAATTAATTTTAATAATTTACTTCATTTGGAAATTATTTTTTTTACCTTTTTATAAAAAAAATTTTTTTCAATAAAAATATTTGTTAATAATAATAATTTATAACAATAATAATAATAATAATAATAATAATAATAATAATAATAATAATAATAATAATCCCGACAATTTAAATTTTTTCGAAAACTTTACTCCGCGATTTGTCACTGCCCTGCGAGAATTGTTATTTAATTTTGAGGACAGCACAGCGTAACTAATTACTTTTTCTTTTTTATTATAATTTTCTTTCTTTTTTCTTATCATAATAGTACTTTATACGAAAAGGCGTTTTTTCTTTTTGTAAGCCCGTTGATACTTAAATAAATAAATAAATAAATAAATAAATAATAATAAAAAATAAAAAAATAATAAAAATAAATATAATAATAATAATAGTAATAATAATAATAATAAAATAATAATAATAAGAAGAAAATAATAATAATAATAATAATAAATACTAATGAATAAGAAAAAGTAATAAAAAAATTAAATCGGTAAATAAAAATAAAATATAAATAAAAAAATAAATAAATAATTAATAAATAATTAAAATACTTTTTTGTGATGAAAAATTATTTTTTAAAGGAAATAAATGACAATATTAAATTGAAAAACTAAAGCACGCGAATTGTCTTTCTATATTGAACGTCATTAATCTTATTTATTATTTAATCCCTATTCTCAATTAGCATATATTTCTTTCAAGACAACAGATGCGTAACAAACATCAATCATTTGAGTTCATTTTGTAAAATTCATCAAATTTTGTACAAGTTTCACTTTTTTTTTTGTTTTCAATAAAAAAAAAATAATTAATTCCGTTTGTGAAAAATAAAATTCGAAAAAAAATTCGAAAAATGAAATTTGCTATTGAAGCTACAAATTCATACGACAGTATTCCACCTGTTTATCTTTATACGGAACAATTTAACAATAATTTACCAATTTATCACGAGGGTACAAAATGGTTTGGAATTTTTTTGGCATTTCTCTCAGGTACATTTTTTACATTAAGCTCAGCATTAGTTAAAGCAATAAGAAATGTTGATCCAATGATATTACTTGGTATACGAGCATGTTTTCAAATGACATTAATGCTCATTTGTGGATGGCGTGAAACAAATATATTTGGACCCAAGGGACAACGCCTTTTAATTCATTTTCAGGTGAGTATTTCACAAAAAAGCAAAAAAAAAAAAAAATAAAAATATATTTTAAATTATTTTTAATAATAAAAAAAAAAAAAAAAAAACAAATTTTTATTCATTCTCAATTTCATTGAAATTTAAAACATAAATCGTCCTATCTTGATGAAATTTTTATAAAATTAAATGAGATTTAGTGTAAATTACGTATTTGAATCCATAAAAGCTGATAAAATAATTAAAAATTCAAAAAAAAAAAAAAAAAATAATTATTTTTTAATAAAACTTGAGACGGCTTTTTAACTTCAGCAACAAAAAAAAAATATGCTGGGAACTTTTGAATTGAAAGAACTTCCAATGAGAGATTTGTTTAGGGGCCATCTATAAATTACGTAACACGATTTTATTGGAATTTTGAACCACCACCACCCCCCCCCTCCCCCTATGTAACGCATCGTAATAAAATCATTTACCCCCCCCCTCCTATCCTCGTTACGTAATTTTTCAAAATAGTTTTATTTTTTGTTTTTCTAAACAAATTTGTTTATTATTTTTGACTGTAATATTAATATCGCACAATATTAATAAAAGAATTAAAAATTAAATATATACAAAACTTGAAGATAAATAATTTAGTGAACAATTAGAATAATTATAACATTGATTTTTTAATACTAATTTTACAATTTAGAATTGTAATCAATAATACTGATATAACTTTATAGCTATAATCTCATTTTTATATTACTAAATAAAGCTATATGATCTGATTGCTTAAATTCATAAATAACGTTTTAATCAATTGAATGATTGCAATCTTCTGCTTTTGAACCAATATCAGGTTTTATTTTGCATAAATAAAAATAATATCACACTAGTCATTTAAATCATCAACAACAATAAATAATAATAAGTAAGAAGAAAAATCACCGACAGCAAGATTAACGATTCCGAAAAGATATCGAAATAATCGATTATACCAAAAATCGATTCTTAAAACGATTCGATTCTATAGCGAGTTTTGTTAAATGGCAGCTAGGAGCGGTTTTTTAAAAAAAAAAAAATTAATGATAAAAATATTACGTAACAATGAAGATTAACCCCCACCTCCACCATGTAACAAATGATAACATTTTCTCGAACCCCCCCCCCCCTCCCCCTAAACGTGTTACATAATTTATGGATGGCCCCTTTATTAGTATATAAAGAAGTTTTCTGTAAAATATTAAACCATTTAACGGTTATGATTTTGTTTAAATGCATATCGATTTTTGCTCTTCCAAAGAAAACCGACTTTCACAAAAAATTAAATCAAATATTTAACTATTTTTTATTCTTATTTTTAAATCTGATTTAAAATTATGATAAAAAAATAATTCTCATAGTAGAAAAATAATTAATCTTGCAGTTTATGAGACATTTTGATTGAAGTCAGGGCTCAGTTGCTTGGGAAGAGTTGTCATGGTAATGTATAAAAGTGAGAGAAATAAAAGCATGCTTTGTTTCTCTCACTCTTATACGTTACCATGACGACCGATTGGTTTCCATTGTTCCCACTAGCAAAAATCCCCATTTTGTCATCATTCTCGTCAACTACCGCACCCTGCTTTAGTAAAAATTTAGTAACTTTTAATTTTGACAACTAAATTTTTACTAGAGCAGGGTGCGGTAGTTGACGAGAATGATGGAAATGAGACAATGGAAACCAAAATAAACCCGCCTCAAGCAACTGAATTGTGAACGTACCTTTATCAGGGACAAAATTTTTATTATTTTTTTCCCCCTCTTTTTTCAGGGATTTGTTGGAGGAATAACTCTTGCTCTTTTGTACTACAGTTTTCGAAAATTACCCCTCGGCGATGCAACGACAATTATTTTCAGCTCACCAGTTATTGTCATTGCACTTTCATTTATTTTTTTACGTGAACCATGTGGTGTTCTGAGAATTGCCGTTATAACTGCTCTATTAACTGGAGTCATTCTAGTATCAAGGCCACCTTTTATCTTTGAGGTAAGATAAAAATAAAACCAAAAGGAAAGGCGTAATACATCAAATTTTGTAACTAGACCATGAGTGCAAAAAGGACAAACATGTTTGTCCTTGTCCTATTCATTATCTAGTTACAAAATTTAAATTCCATTGTCCCCACTCGTCAACTACCGTACCCTGCTCTAGTGAAAATTTAGTAATTTTTAATTTTAACAATAGTCATTAAATTTTCACTAGAGCATGGTGCGGTAGTTGAGGAGAATTATGACAAAACTGAGGACAATGGAAATCAACCCTAAGGCTAAAATCGCAAAGCGTCGGATTTTATAACTAAACCACAAGTGCAAAAAGGATAAACAATCAAATTTTTTTTCTATTTCCTTCACAGACGAGCAAAATTGAAAATTACGATCTAATGGGCTATGTATGCGCACTTTTGGCAACATTATTCACAGCATTAAATATTGTTGTAATGAGAAAATGTGTTGAAATTCATTATGCTGTAATTGTTTTTAATTTATCAGCATGGACATTAATTTCAGCGTCAACATTTTATTTAATAAATTCAGAAGGTCATATTAATTTTCACTTACCTCACGATTGGTTTACGTGGGGACAAATTATTCTTGTTGTCATAACAGGACTCTCTGGACAAGTTTTAGTTGCGAAGGCATTGAAAATAGAGGGCGCTGGTAAAGTTTCTGTGACACGTTCACTTGACATTATACTCGCTTATATTTGTCAAATTTATTTCTTCGACGAAGTACCAACATTGTCCAATTTATCCGGTGCATTGCTCATTTTAATATCGGTGATTTGCATGGGATTCGAGAGAGAAATCTATGGGGTTTGTGATTTTATTCCTTGAATTATGCGTGAGAGAGAGAGAGAGACAGACAGAAAGAAAGAAAGAAATTGTGTTAAAAAAAAGAGAATTAGTGAAAATGTATTTATAGAAATGGTAAAAGAAAAATAAATAATTTTCACAATATAATATTTGTTTTTTATTTTTCTTACCTTGTATAATAAGATAGCTATGGCAACCGTTGCTATGGAAACTAGCTATGGCAACTGTTGCTATGGAAACAGTAGCTATGGCAACCGTTGCTATGGAAACTAGCTATGGCAACCGTTGCTATGGAAACAGTAGCTATGGCAACCGTTGCTATGGAAACTAGCTATGGCAACCCTTGCTATGGATACAGTAGGTATGGCAACCCTTGCTATGGATACAGTAGCTATGGCAACCGTTACTATGGAATCTGTAGCTATGGCAACCGTTGCTATGGAAACTGTAACTATGGCAATTGTTACTTGGATAATGCAGCCATAGTTAGTTTCCATAGCAACGGTATCCTAGCAACAGTTGCCGTAGTTAGTTTCCATAGCAACGGTATCCTAGCAACAATTGCCGTAGTTACAGTTTCCATAGCAACGGTATCCTAGCAACAGTTACCATAGCGTAAGAAAAGGACAAAAAATTGTAGTCATTTACTACCACAACTGTACAAATTGCAAGTTGTTGTAAAAGTACCTTAATTTAACGTTTATACGTTTTCTACGTAAATTAAGTCGAAAACTTTGGGTCACGTCTCACTAGCTAACAGTGGTTGGTATGATTAAGGTCCATACACAATAAATTCGTGAAAAGTAAAACATGAGTTAGAGTGAAACAGAGATATATTTCTGTTCTCTTCTATCTCAAGCATCGCGTTCGCAAAACTATTGTGCATTGGCCCTAATCGTTTCCATGAAAAATGTTGCTATGGTAACTATAGCTATGACAACCGTTGCTAGGGTAACTATAGCCATGGCAACCGTTGCTAGGGTAACTATAGCCATGGCAACCATTGCCAATGGTAACCGTTACTATGAAAATCGTTATTGTAACGATTACTGCAGCAAATTTAGGAAAAACACCAATAATAAATACTTTACACTGAAAAAAGAATAAACAAAAATAATATTATAAAAAATATTTATCATAGAAAAATAAATCAAATTTAAAAATATACATATTTTCTAATTGCACAAAGAATTAAAACTTAATTTAAAAAGCAAAGAAAGGTTATGTTTATGATTGTTTTGATATTAAAATTGAAAATTTCTTTTTTTTTTTGTATGTAAAACACAAATAAAAAATTGATTATTTTCAATAGAATGAAAATTTTTATATATTGGTTTTTAATTTTTGTCTATTTTTATTTCAATCATAAACATAACCTATATTTGTTTGCTTCTTATGGCGTTTGTTTATAAATTTTTTGATTATACTCGAAACTGAAAGCCAATATAAATTGGTGAAAGACAATTTTCGAGTATACTCAAAATTTATGAACAAACACCTTAAAAAGCAAACAAATATAGGTTATGTTTATGATTGAAATAAAAATAGACAGAAATAAAAAAACCAATATATATATATAAATTTTCATTTCATTGAAAATATTCAATTTTTTTTTTTTTTTGATTTTATATAGAATTTTAAAAAAGGGATTTTCAATTTTAAGATTCTAATCATAAACATAACCTATAATTTCTTTGATTTTTTTCATGAAATAAATTTTTCTTTGAATTAATAAAATTCATTGACTTAATGTATCTAATAATTATTTTATTCAAAGAAAAATACAGACTAAGTTTATTATTAATATTATTTTTTTTTCTAACAGTAAATTGCGCCACCGTATCATATCAATATAATAATATGTACAATGTACTACATTCTCATGAACGCAATTCCCCTGTTTTCGAGGAAAGTCCAAATTCTTATACATATACAAGTAATAATAATGAACGAATGTTTTATCTTTTTTTTTTTTTTTTTTTTTTAGATAATTCATTCTAATTATTTTATTTTTAAACATAGAAGCTAAATATATATATTTTTTTATTTATATATATATATATATTTTTTGTGTATATGTAAGTGTATGTGTGTGATAAAGAGACATTATTTTCAGAAAGATTAAAAGACTTTTTTTCATTTCCATGCAACACATCATTTTTTTTTTTTTTTTTTTCTTTTTTTAATATATATATTTATAATTAAAAGACTAAAGACCTTAGAATTTAAACTTATCAAGAGATTAAACAGCAACCTTTATATTATACTTTTTTGTTTTTTTTTCTTTTCATATTTTTTTACCTTTACTTACAAATTTTGGAATCTTTATTTTTTTTTATTTTAATAAATGATTCAATAAAACGAATCATATTTTTTCTCTACATTCTTCCAGTTTTTTTTTTTTTTTTTTTTTTTTATTAAAAATTATTTAAAGATTCGTATTGTATTGTATTTTTTTTTTTTTTTTTTTTAATACAAATTTGTGATTATGTGCCATATTTAAATTAGCCTGCTCTATTGTAGACATTTTGCCAAATACAAATATTAATTTTTTTTTTTTTTTTTTTACTTTTTTAAAAAACATCTAGAGATGAGAATTTTCTTTTTTTTGGAGAAAAAAAACTCATCGAAATATATTTACAGTTCATTTTTTATTCTTCTGTAATTTGTCGTTTTTTTTTAATTTATTTTTTTCTCTTTCTTTTTTTTTTTGGTATAGTAATTCTAAAAGAATTACGTTTTCCAAAAAAAAAAATTGACGATTTTTATTTTATTTAAATAAATTTTGTTTTTGAAGAGAAAAAAAAAGAATGTACAACACATAGGATAGTTTAAAAAAAAAAAAAATTAATTCACGGCATCGCCTCATTTTTCTTTTTCTATTTAAAAAAAAAAGGGACAAAACTTTTTCGAGAATAAAATCATTTTCAATTCAAATTCACAAAGACAATGAAATTTTAACAAAAATACTTTTTTTTATTTTCTTTTTGTCAAAAAAAAAAAAAAAAAAAAAATTTGTTTGTTCTTTTTTTACTTTTTATCGGAGGTTTTTTTGAAATTGCTTCTATGGGGATTTTTGTTTTTACAGTTTAGTACATTTTTTTTTTTTTGGGAAAATTTTGATTATTATTATTATAAATTTCAAAATTTCAAGAGATGCAATGATGAAAATAAGAAAGTTAGAGAGAAAGAGAAAGAAAAACAATTTTTAAAATGAAAAACAAGAAAAATTAACAGCAATTAACACTTTGCAATTATTGAAATAATTTTTTAAATATAAACTTTGACAATAAATAAGACAAAAAAAAAAAGAAAAAGAAAATGAAAACCAAAAAACAAATAATAAAAAAAAAATTTGTCAATTTTCAATAAATTATTTAAATTGATTGAATTATTTCAAAAATTAAAATAAAAAATGTGTCTTCTTTCATTTTTTTTTTTCTTTTCAATGAAATTAAGAAAACAAAAAAAAATTAAATAAATATATTAAAATTATTAATTTATTGAAAATTAAAAGAAATTCATTTAGAGAAACAATATAGTGAAAAATTTTATTTCATTAATGAAATATCAAAGAATATTCAATTTAATATTTAAAAAAAAAAAAAAAATTGAGAGAAATAACAAAAATAAAATTGGTTTTTTAAATTTAAATTTAAAAAAAAAATGCAAAATGCGTCGCGAAATTTCTCTTTTTTCAATTATCTCAGAGAAAAAAAATTTTTTAATCTATCGTCAAAAACCGTGGAAAAAAATTCTTTTCAATTAATTAAAGAGACAAAATACTGAACACGAGAGACAACACAATTATAATTATAATAATAATAATAATTATTATTATTATTATTATTATTATATATAAGAGAAGAAGGAAAAAAGATTTTCGTGGAGAAAAATGTAGGAGGAAAAAAAAAGTGAAATAATTTCCCTGATAATTGAAATTTTTGAGCTTTTTTTTTTCTTCTTTTTTCATTCTAATTTTTGGATTAGACTTTTTTTTGAAATTCCAATTGAATCATTAATTTCTTTTTTCTATTTTTGTATAAAAAAAAAACCATTTTTATATATGAAAAATTTTCAAAATAAAAAAACAACAACAAAAAAATATTAATTTTTTCTTTAGAAAAATCGTAAGAAAATTTTTAATTATTTTCAAAATTAGCTTTAAAAAAAAGAAAACAATTTAAATTTTTCGAAAAGCTGAGGAAAATTTCTAGAAATTTATTTAAATTTTTTAAATTTTAGAAAATAAAATTGTTTTTTTTTTTTTTTTTTAATAAATAATCCGTGCAAGAAAAAAATATTTTCTCACCTTTTAATAAATCCAATTCTAAGAGTGAGAAGAAAAAAATCTGTTTTTGTTTTTGAATTTTTTTAATCGCGGAAAAAAGCTTCGAAATTTCTTTCTTTTTTTTCTTCAGTTTTCACGAGGCGAAAAATTTTATCGTCTCATGATAATTTTTCTCCCTATAAAAAGAAAGCAAAAAAAAAAAAAAAGAAAAAAAAAAAAAAAAACAATTATCATACAGAAATATATTTTACTTTTTTTTTTTTTTGGAGAAAATCATTTTTTATAGAAAAATTAAGAAAATAATTAAATTAGAAAATAATAATAAAAGGAAAGAAAAATTTTCTATTTTCACAATTTTCTGTACTTTTCTTCTATTTTCCCTTTTTTTCTACTATTTTCCGTTTTTTTAAATGTAGAAATTGAAATAATTTTTTTTTTTTAAATACAAAAAAAAGAAATAGAAAAAATTTCCTTTTTTCAAATTTTCTATTTTTGTCCCATTTCGTAATTATTTTTCACCAATTTCAGTTTTCTTTTCCCCTATTTTTTCGTTTTCAAAATTTTCCATTCTTTTCTTTCTTTTTTTCTATTAAATTTTTTTTGAAACTTTTTTCCATTTTTTTTTCTCTCTCTCTCTCTCTATCTCTCTTTAAATTTTAATTTTTTAAAAAATTTTCCATTCATTTCTCTTTTTTTTCTATTTAAACCTTTTTTTTTTTGTCCCCAATTTTTCTATTCTTTTCTTCCATTTTTCCCTCTATTTTTTATCTCAAAAAAAAAAAAAGAAAAGAAAATGAAAACAAATTTTTTGTTAATTTTCTATTCATTGCTTTCTTCCTTCGATTTTTTTACCTCAAAAAATTTGTTCTTATCTACTTTTTTAATCTCAAAACGAGAAAATAAAAAAAGAAAAGAAAAGAAAAAACGAATAATTTGTTTTAATTTTCTATTCTTCTTTTTATTTCTTTCTTTGATTTTTTTATTATCTACTTTTTAGCTCAAAAATAGAAAATTTTAATGAAGAATTTTTTTTTTCCTAATTTTTTCTATTCTTTTCTTCAATTTTTTCCGTCGAAAGAATTTTTTTTTCCTAATTTTTTCTATTATTTTCTTCAATTTTTTCCGTCGAAAGAATTTTTTTTCCCCTAATTTTTCTATTCTTTTTTTTTCAATTTTTTCCTTCGATTTTTTTGTTATCTATTTTTTATCTCAAAAAAAAAAAAAAAAAAGAAAAAGAAACGGAAACGAAAGAAAAAGAATATTTTTTTCTAAATTTCAATTCTTTTCTCCTAATTTTTTGTAATTTACTTATTACTTGAAAAAAAAATAAAAGGAAGAAGAAAAAGAATCATTTTCCAATATTTTTCAATTTTTTCCGTCGAAAGAATTTTTTTTCCCCTAATTTTTCTATTCTTTTTTTTTCAATTTTTTCCTTCGATTTTTTTGTTATCTATTTTTTATCTCAAAAAAAAAAAAAAAAAAAAGAAAAAGAAACGGAAACGAAAGAAAAAGAATATTTTTTTCTAAATTTCAATTCTTTTCTCCTAATTTTTTGTAATTTACTTATTACTTGAAAAAAAAATAAAAGGAAGAAGAAAAAGAATCATTTTCCAATATTTTTCAATTTTTTCCGTCGAAAGAATTTTTTTTTTCAAAATAATTTTGAAATTAAAAATTGAACAATTTCAAAAATAGAAAATTTTAATAAAAGAAAAGAAAGAGAAAAATAATCTATTTTTTTAATCTACATTTTAAATCATAAAATTGAAAAAAGAGAAAAGAAACAGAAAATAAAAAAAAAAATCAAAGAGAAAAGAGGAAAAAAAAGAGAAAAAGCAAAAATAGAAAAAAAGACAGAAAAAAAAAATTGTGCCTTTTGTTGAAAAAATTAAATATAAACTTTATATATATATGTATATATTAAATATTGAATATAAAAAGAAGAAAAAAAAATTCAATTTACTGATCGATTCCAGTTTTTGTGTTTCAAAATTTTTTTCCTATTTATTGGCGACGCCGCATTGTCATCATCATCATCATTCTCCTCCTTCTTCTTCTTCCTCTTCTTCTTCTTCTTTCTTGAATTTCTTCTTTTCTTCCCTCACAATTCACAAATCAAATATGTATCGGCACATGAACAAGTAATTCCGCATGACTCGGAAATACCGCCGAACACATTTCGCATGTATGCTCCAAACTTTCCAATGAATCGGGAATTATTGTTTCCGCCGTTTCATCATTTGGCGCTATTAAATTATGCGCAGCAACAACACGTTGCGGCGTTGATTCAACTTTAACATTTATTTTCACATTCTCTTTATTATTTAATGTTTCCGTTTCTATTTCATCTGCCGTTACTTCTGTTGTTGTTGTTGTTGTTATTTCCGTCGTTATTTCTTTATCAAGATCCGGAAGTATTGATTCCTCAGTTGCAACAACATTCGCCTCAAATGCAACTTCCATTTCACTACCGTCAACAATTTGTTCATTTATTATTTCCTCTTCTATTTGTCCAATTTCTTCTGTTACAATATCCGTTGTTGTTGTATTTAAATCATCATCAATTTCCTCCCTTGGCTCTTGTTTAATAACAATTCCTTTTGGCTTTCTTCCACGTTTATTAACAATTTTTTTCTTTATATTCTTATCATCGTGATTGAAATTTTGATTTTGTACCTGATTTTGATTTTGATTTCTCAATCCCGGTTCTAATTTCACATTAATTATTGGTTTACAAATATTCTGATTCTCCTCGTCTTCTTCTTCTTCTTCTTCTTCCGGTATTTCTGGTGAGGAAACATTTTTCTCCTCCTCCTTTTCTTCTTCACCAACTGGAAATGTCGCCGGTGTTATTTGATTTTTATTCTCAACATGATAGCTAACATTTTTCGTTCTTGGTCTATTTCTTTCGCCACCGGGAAATATTCCCAATTTATGTCCTTCGTTTATTAATTTTGGTGTTCTTGTTATCATTGTCTTTGTTTTTTGTCCCTTTTTCACACCCTCAGTACCAATTTCCACTGGTACACGTGTTTTTTGTGTATGTATCATTTTTGAACGTCCCATTGTTGAATTTAATGGCGGCTCAATTTTTTTCTCCTCACGTTTCATTTTTTTTTTACCAACTTTAGGCGTTTTTATTGGTGAAACTTTGGTGATTGTTGTTGCAACTATATTTGTATTAACATTTTGTAATGATGTCTCAAATGTTTTAAGAACATTTTGATAATTTTCATCATTTGAACGATTTTGTTGCTGTTGAGATTGTTGTTGTTGTTGTTGTTGAGATTGTTGTGGTGCTTTTGTTTTGCGAGCAACTTTTCGTTTTGCATTATCATCGGAATCTGATTGTCCATCCATAATATCATAACTTTCGGATACACGTTGAACAGTTGTATTTTCATGGCTTTTAACTTTACGTCGACGTTTATATTTTCTTGGTCCCGATTGTGGTTGTCTTCTTAGCGCTGTATTTTCATCGCAATGCTGAATAATATGAACAACAATTTCGTCTGATGTTGCGTATGTTTCGCCGCATACTTTACATAAATATGGTGTCATACTGCCGTGACATTTTGGATCGGGACCGGAATGATGGGCTCGCACGTGTTCACGAAGAACCACCTATTTTCAAAAAAAAATTGAAGAAAATTAAATTTCAAAAAGAAAAACTTAATTTTTTTTATTTAGCAGCAAATTATTATTTTTTTTTTCTTTACTAGTTATTAGCATTTTCTTTTTTTTTTTTTTTTTGTGACGACAGGGATTTTAGAGGCAAAAATAAATATAGATTATGTTTTGAAATGTTTAATTTTATAATTGAAAATACACAAAGGAGATTAAATAATTGATAGAAATAAAAAATTATTTATTATTGTTTGATAAAAAAAAAAAAAATTTGATAAAAAAAAAAATAAAATTGATTTTTACAAAAGTAAAAAAGAAACTTTTAATTAAGATAAAAATTATTAAATTACCGTAAACATAACATTTAATTAATTTCTTTGCTTCTAAAATCCCTTTCTTTTCAGATCGAGTCACAAATAAATAATATTAACAGACCTTGGATCGATTAAGACGCAAAAAAAAAAAAAAAAAAAAAAAAAAAAAAAAAAGTTTTTTTAGATTTAAATTCTTGAAAAGAGACGATTTTTTTTTTATTTTAATTTAATTTAATAAATTAATAAGTATTTTACTTTAAATAAAAATTAATGTTATTGTTTCATTAAAATTTAAAGAAAAAAATAATTTTTTTTTTGACAAATTATAATTAAAATTTGGAAAAATAATTAAATTTTTCGAATTTCTATTGAAAATTTTGAAAAATAATTGAATTTCAGAAAATTTTCAATTAAAAATTTTTAAAATAATTGAAATTGGAAAAGTTTAATTTACAATTTTTAGAAATAATTGAATTTTAATTGATTTTGAATTGTAATTTTGAAAAATAATAAATAATTAAATTTCAATAAAAATTTTCGAACATAATTGAATTTTTATTGATTTTGAATTGTAATTTTCGAAAATAATTGAATTTCAATTGAAATTTTTTAAAATAATTAAATTTTAGTTGATTTTGAATTAAAAATTTTGAAAATAATAGAATTTATAATAAAAATTTTAAAAATTAATTGAATTTTTCGTTATTATTGAAATTTTAAAAAATAATTGAATTTGGAAAAGTTTAATTTAGAATTTTTAGAAATAATTAAATTTTAATTAATTCTTAATTGTAATTTTGGAATATAATTGATGTTTAGTTAATTTTAAATTAAAAATTTCGAAAATAATCAAATTTTAATTAATTTTGAATCAAAATTCTCAAAAATAATTGAATTTTAGTTGATTTTGAGATGAAAATTTTGATAATTGAATTTCAATTGAAATTTTGCATTGAAAATTTTGATAAATAATTTTGAATTGAAATGGAAAATAATTAAATTTTAGTTAATTTTGAATTGAAAATTTTGATAATAATTGAATTTTAATTTGATTTTAAATTGTAATTTTGTAAAATAATTGAATTTTAGTTGGTTTTTAATTGAAAGTTTGGAAAATAATTGAATTTTAGTTAATTTTGAATTAAAAATTTGGAAAATAATTGAATTTCAAAATATTTTTAATTGAAATTTTTAATATAATTGAATTTGAAAGAGTTTAATTTAGAATTTTAAAAAATAATTAAATTTTAATGAAATTTTCAAAATTAATTGAATTTTAATTGATTTTGAATTAAAAATTTTGAAAATAACAGAATTTATAATGAAAATTTTAAAAATTAATTGAATTTTTCGGTTTTTATTGAAATTTTAAAAAATAATTAAATTTGGAAAAGTTGAATTTAGAATTTTTAGAAATAATTGAATTTTAATTGATTTTGAATTGTAATTTTAGAAAATAATTAAATTTTAGTTGATTTTAAATTGAAAATTTGGAAAATAATTAAATTTTAATTAAAATTTTTAAACATATGATTGAATTTTTATTAATTTTGAATTGTAATTTTCGAAAATAATTGAATTTTAATTGAAATTTTTGAAAATAATTAAATTTTAGTTGATTTTGAATTAAAATTTTTTAAAATAATTAAATTTCAAAAGATTTTTTATTAAAATTTTTAAAATAATTGAATTTGAATGAGTTTAATTTAGAATTTTTAGAAATAATTGAATTTTAATTGAAAATTTGAAAAATAATTTAATTTTTGTCTAATTTTCATTAAGATTTTTATATTAAAAAAAAGTTTCTGATCAATTATAATTAAAATTTTGGAAAAATAATTTAATTTTTCAGTTTTGTATTGAAATTTTGGAAAGTAATGAATTTTTTCATATTGATAATAAATAAATTTTTTAGAACTTTTTGGAATTTTGGGCAATTCTATGAAAATAATTTTATTTTTGTCCGTTTTTATAAAAAAAAAAAATATTTTTTGTTTTAATAATTTCCATTAAAATATTTAAATATTGAATTTTTTGCTAAATTGAATTAAAACTTTTTAAAATAATTGAATTTTTTGATAGATTTGAATTGGCAAATTCCAATAAAAAATTGTCGTTAAGATTTTTCTAAAAAAAAAAAGAAAAATAAGTTTTCTACAAATTATAATTAAAATATTGAAAAATAATTGAATTTTTGGAATTTTTTATTGAAAAATTTGGATAATCATTGAATTTTTGTCTAATTTTCATTAAAAATTTTATATGAAAAAAGTTTTTTTTTTTTTTTTTAAATTATAATCAAAATTTTGATAAATAATTGAATTTTTCTGTTTTTATTGAAATTTTGGAAAATAATTGAATTTTTTAGGCTTTTATTGAAATTTTGGAAAATTAATGAATTGAGAATAAATAAATTTTTAGAAATAATTAAATTTTTTAATGATTTCTTTTAATGAAAAATTTATTAAATATTGCAGACAAAAAAAAGAATTTGATATTTTTTTAAATTAAAAAATGTTATCAGATAATTGAATTTTTAAAGAATATTATAAAAATAAAAAAAAAATAAAAAAATAATAATAATAATTGAATTTCCGGAGAGAGTTATAATTGAAATTATTAAATTTCAAAAAAAGAAATTTAGATGAAAAATTTTAAAAATAATTCTAAATTTTAGATGCTTTTAAACTGAAATTTTTAAAAATAATTGAATTTCAAAATATTTTCTTCAATTTCAGACAATAATTATAATAATAGAATTTTTAATTATTAATTTTAGTGATTTATTTTATCAAAATAATTTTAGATAACAATATTATTTAAAAGTAATTCAATTTTCCAAAATTTACAATTCAGATTTTTGAAATTAATCAAAATTCAAGTGATAATTTGAATTGAATTTTTTTCTTTTTTTAGTGATTTCTGTTTATTAGAAATTATAGATGAAAATTGAATTTCATATGTTTTTAATTCAAAAATACTTTCAAATAATTGAATTTTCAAAAAATTTCATTAAAATTATTTTTTAAAAAAACTAATTTAGAGAAAAATTTTAGTTAAAAATTTGTTAAATAATAAAAATAAAGAAGATCTGCATTTTATATTTAAAGAAAAGGCGTATTTTGTTTAAAAATTTTGTCAAAAAATCCAAGGCCTATATTAACTGCTACTAAATAAATAATATTTTTACTTTTAGTATCAAAAATACTGAAGCAACTTTGTCCCATTTATTATTAAATAAATAAATAAATAAATACCTAAATAATAAATTAATTAATCAATGTAATTTTAAAAAAATTATAAATATAAATAAATTATTATAAATATATTTTTTGTAAAACTGAACATATTAGAAATATTTTTTTTTGTAATTTATAAATTATTATAAATAATAAATTATTATAAATTATTATAAATAATAAATTATTATAAATATTTTTTTGTAAATTATAAATTATTCTAAATATTTTTTTGTAAATTATAAATTTATATTAATTTCTTTTTGTAAATTATAAAAAAGAAAGAAATTGATTAAATTAAAAAAAAAAAAAAAAAAAAAAACAGTGACTTACTCTTTGATTGAATGCACGTGGACAAATAGTGCATCCGTATGGTTTTTCGCCTGTATGAATACGTTCATGTTTACGCAATGTTCCACCATCGGCAAATGCCTTCCAACAAAAACGACATGAATATGGTCGTTCGCCAGTATGAATGCGAATATGTATTTGCTGTGAGCTACGACTGCCAAATGTTTTTCCACATTCACGACATGGAAATGAACGTCCACCAAGTTCTTTATTATGCGAATGTCGATGGCTCATCAATGTTCGACCATCGGCAAATTCCTCGCCGCATTCGTCGCATGCGACATTTTTATTACGATGCGACAACATGTGTCTAGAAAAAAAAATTCATAAAAAATTAATTTTGTTCATTCAAAAGAAATTAAAAAAAAAAAAAAACTATTTTTAATAAATAAAAATTTTATTTTGCAATAAAAAAAAATAATTTTTTTAATTCAATTATTATTATTATTTAAAGAAAAAAAAAAAATTTTTTTTGACAAATTATAATTAAAATTTTGAAAAATAATTAAATTTTTCGAATTTCTATTGAAAATTTTGAAAAATAATTGAATTTCAGAAAATTTTCAATTAAAATTTTTAAAATAATTGAATTTCGAAAAGTTTAAATTTAGAATTTTTAGAAATAATTGTATTTTAATTGATTTTGAATTTTAATTTTGAAAAATAATAATAATAATAATAATAATAATAATAATAATAATAATAATAAATAATTAAATTTCAATTAAAATTTTCGAACATAATTGAATATTTATTTATTTTGAATTGTAATTTTCGTAAATAATTGAATTTCAATTGAAATATTTGAAAATAATTAAATTTTAGTTGATTTTGAATTAGAAAATTTTGAAAATAACAGAATTTATATTGAAAATATTAAAAATTAATAGAATTTTTCGGTTTTTATTGAAATTTTGAAAAATAATTGAATTTTTCGAATTTCTATTGGAAATTTTGAAAAATAATTGAATTTCAGAAAATTTTCAATTAAAAATTTTTAAAATAATTGAATTTCGAAAAGTTTAATTAAAAATTTTCGAACATAATTGACTTTTGATTGATTTTGAATTGCAATTTTGAAAAATAATAAATAATAATAATAAATTATTAAATTTCAATTAAAATTTTCGAACATAATTGAATTTTTATTGATTTTGAATTATAATTTTCGTAAATAATTGAATTTCAATTGAAATTTTTGAAAATAATTAAATTTTAGTTGATTTTGAATTAAAAATTTTGAAAAATAACAGAATTTATATTGAAAATTTTAAAAATTAATTAAATTTTTCGGTTTTTATTGAAATTTTGAAAAATAATTGAATTTTTCAAATTTCTATTGAAAATTTTGAAAAATAATTGAATTTCAGAAAATTTTCAATTAAAATTTTTAAAATAATTGAATTTCGAAAAGTTTAAATTTAGAATTTTTAGAAATAATTGAATTTTAATTGATTTTCAATTTTAATTTTGAAAAATAAGAATAATAATAATAAATAATTAAAGTTCAATTAAAATTTTCGAACATAATTGAATTTTTATTGATTTTGAATTGTAATTTTCGTAAACAATTGAATTTCAATTGAAATTTTTGAAAATAATTAAATTTTAGTTGATTTTGAATTAAAAATTTTGGAAAATAACAGAATTTATATTGAAAATTTTAAAAATTAATTAAATTTTTCGGTTTTTATTGAAATTTTGAAAAATAATTGAATTTCGAAAAGTTTAAATTTAGAATTTTTAGAAATAATTGAATTTTAATTGATTTTGAATTGTAATTATAGAAAATAATTGAATTTTAGTTGATTTTAAATTGAAAATTTTGAAAAAAAAACTGAATTTCTATTGAAAATTTGAAAAAATAATTCAATTTTTGTCTAAGTTTCATTAAGATTTTTACATTAAAAAAAGTTGTTGACCAATTATAATTAAAATTTTAAAAATTAATTGAATTTTTCAGTTTTTATTGAAATTTTGAAAAATAATTGAATTTGGAAAAGTTTAATTTAGAATTTTTAGAAATAATTGAATTGTAATTTTTTTTTTTTTTTATTACGATGCGACAACATGTGTCTAGAAAAAAAAAAAGTAATAAAGAAAAAAATTAATTTTTATTCAAAAGAAATTTTCAAAAAAAAAAAAAAAAACTATTTTTAATAAATAAAAATTTTATTTTGCAATTTTAAAAAATTAATCTTTTTAATTCGATTATTATTATTACTTTTTTTATTCTAAAATTCAAAGAATTAAATAAAAATGTGAAAAAATATTAGAAAAAACTCACCTTCGTAATCGTGCCTTGCTGTGAAATCGTTTTCCACATTTGGTGCAATTACAATTTTTATCTGAATTATGAATCCATGCATGTTTCAATAAACTTCTTTTGTCCTTGCATGTTTTACCGCAGAGATTGCATGTATTTGGTGGCGCATCATCGGCATGATTTTGTCGCACATGTTCAGCAACATCGGCATCGTCACGACAACGTTCACCGCACAATAAACAACGACGATTATGTGAACGTGCATGAAGTTCAGCGTGCGCCAATAATGCCAATGCCTCTTCAAACCATTCACCACAAACTGTGCAAACATGCTGTTGACTCGATCCCTCCATGAGATCCATTTCTTGTTTCACATGAGTTCTAAATTGGAAAAAAAGAAAAAAATAAATTTTTTTTAAAAATATAAAAAAAATCTCTTACTTAAATAAATAGAAGCGCATGAATTTACCCGAAAAAAATATAATAATAATAATAATAATAATAATAATAATAATAATAATAATAATAATAATAATAATAATAATAATAATAATAATAATAATAATTAGGTATAATTTTAAATTATTTTATTAGAAATAACTAGCAAAATTAAACGCGCGCAATCGCGCCAAATTGAGTATTTAATTGTTTGTTATAAAGAAATTAAAGATTAATATATTATCAATAATAATTTAATTTATTAGAATATTACTACACATTAAATAATAATAATGAAAATTATACGCTTACAGGCCTCGGATTATACTTTTTTCAAAAAAATACGACTTTTATCGACTTATTTTAATAAAATGCGACATTTTTTTTTTATATTTGAAAAAAAAATGTAAATAAAATACATTTTTTTTTTTTTTTAGTATAAAATGTAGATCTTCTTCAGATCTTCTTCAATTCAATTATTTAACAAATTTTCAACTAAAATGATTCTTCACTAAATTAATTATTTTTAATTATTTTAATGAAATACATCACAAATTCAAATTATATCAAAATTATTTTTCAATTAAATTTTTTTATGAAATTTAACAATATTGTTTATAATTAAAAAAAAATATCCCAATAAAATTGAATTATTTTTTGAAAAATTTCAATTTAAAATAAACTAAAATTCAATTATTACACGAAATTTTAATTCAAAATCAATTAAAAATCAAATAATTATCAAAAATTTTCAATTTAAAATTTAATTATTGAATAAATAATTGAATTTCATTTGAAATTTTTGTAAAATAATTGAATATTAATTGACTTTGAATTAAAAATTTTTGAAAATAATTGAATTTTAATTGGTTTTGAATTGAAATTTTTCAAAATAATTGAATATTAAATAATTTTGAGAGGAAAATTTTGATAATAATTGAATTTCAAATGAAATTTTGCATTAAAAATTTTGATAATTAATTTTGAATTGAAATTTTGTATAATAATTGAATTTCAATAGAAATTTTGCATTGAAAATTTTGAATTGACATTTTGGATAATAATTGAATTTTAGTTGATTTAGAATTAAAATTTTGGAAAATAATTGAATTTTAATTGGTTTTTAATTGGAATTTTGGAAAATAATTTAATTTTAATTAATTTTGAATTGAAAATTTGGAAAATAATAAAGTTTTAGTTGATTTTGAATTGAAAATTTTGAAAATAATTGAATTTCAATTGAAGTTTTTGAAAATTGAATTTCAGTTAATTTTGAATTGAAAATTTTGATAATAATTGAATTTCAATTTCAATTTTGCACTGAAAATTTTGATAATTAATTATTAATTGAAATTTTTGAAAATAATTGAATTTTAGTAGATTTTGAATTAAAAATTTGAAAAATAATTGAATTTTAAAATATTTTTAATTAAAATTTTTAAAATAATTGAATTTGAAAGAGTTTAATTTAGAATTTTAAGAAATAATTGAATTTTAATGAAATTTTTGAAATTAATTGAATTTTAAATGATTTTAAATTGAAAATTTTTAAAATAACTAAATTTCTATTGAAAATTTGAAAAATAATTTAATTTCAGAAGATTTTTAATTAAAATTTTTAAAATAATTGAATTTGGAAAAGTTTAATTGAGAATTTTTAGAAATAATTAAATTGTAATTGATTTTGAATTGTAATTTTGGAAAATAATTGAATTTAAATTGAAGTTTTTGAAAAAAATTTATTTTTAGTTAATTTTGCTTTGAAAATTTTGATAATTAATTTTGAATTTAAATTTTGGAAAATAATTGAATTTTAGTTTGTTTTTAATTGAATGTTTGGAAAATAATTGAATTTTAGTTAATTTTGAATTAAAAATTTGAAAAATAATTAAATTTCAAAATATTTTTAATTAAAATTTTTAAAATAATTGAATTTGAAAGAGTTTAATTTAGAATTTTAAGAAATAATTGAATTTTAATGAAATTTTTGAAATTACCTAATTGAATTTTAAATGATTTTAAATTGAAAATTTTTAAAATAACTAAATTTCTATTGAAAATTTGAAAAATAATTTAATTTCAGAAGATTTTTAATTAAAATTTTTAAAATAATTGAATTTGGAAAAGTTTAATTGAAATTTTTTAGAAATAATTAAATTGTAATTGATTTTGAATTGTAATTTTGGAAAATAATTGAATTTAAATTAAAGTTTTTGAAAAAAATTTATTTTTAGTTAATTTTGAATTTAAATTTTGGAAAATAATTGAATTTTAGTTGGTTTTTAATTGAATGTTTGGAAAATAATTGAATTTTAGTTAATTTTGAATTGAAAATTTAAAAAATAATTAAATTTCAAAATATTTTTAATTAAAATTTTTAAATTAATTTAATTTCAAAGAGTTTAATTTAGAATTTTAAGAAATAATTGAATTTTAATAAAATTTTCGAAATTAATTGAATTTTAATTAATTTAAATTAAAAATTTTTAAAATAACTAAATTTCTATTGAAAATTTGAAAAATAATTTAATTTCAGAAGATTTTTAATTAAAATTTTGAAAATAATTGAATTTCATTTGAATTTTAGTTAATTTTGAATTGAAAATTTTGATAATAATTGAATTTTAATTAATTTTGAATTGTAATTTTGGAAAATAATTGAATTTTAATTGAAATTTAGGAAAATAATTGAATTTCAGTTGGTTTTTAATTAAAAGTTTGGATAATAATTGAATATTAGTTAATTTTGAATTGAAAATTTGGAAAATAATTGAGTTTTAGTTGATTTTGAATGGAAAATTTTGATAATAATTAAATTTTAAAAGATTGTATTAAATTTCAAACAGTAATTATAATAAAAGAAATTTTGTTATAATTTCTGTTAATGAAACATTTATTAGAAATCACATCAAAAAAAAAATTGAATTCCAAAAAGTTTTTAATGGAAAAATTGCTTTCAGATAATTGAATTTTCAAAGAATATAAAAATCATTAAAAATAATTAAAATTTTTTTGCAAATAATTAAATTTCAAATGATTTTGAATTAAAATTTTTTTTGCTAATTTCATTTGCTAATTTTTGTTTTTTAAATTATAAACAATTATTAAATTTCATAAAAAATGTTAATTGAAAAATAGTTTAAAATATTTGAATTTGATGAAGAATTTCATTAAAATTATTGAAAAATAATTATGTTAGTGAAAAATTGTTGTTAAAAATTTATTAAATAATTGAAATAAAGAAGATATGAAGAAGATTTGCATTGTATACTAAAAAATAAACGTATTTTGTTTAAAAAATGTAAAAAAAAAGTCGAAAAATTCATATAATCCGAGGCCTAAAATTCAATTAGCTCGAAAAAAATTATAACTATTACTCTTTCAAAATTTAATTATTTCTATAATTTTTAACTTCAATTATACTTTTTGAATTAACCATATCGGTTTAATGTATTTTTTTCTGTTTCTAAATAGAAATTATTATTATTATTTTTGGATTAATTTTTCAAAATAGGGTATTTTTGCCCTTATATCATATCGGATTAATGTATTTTTTTCTGTTTCAATACAAGTAAATTTTATTACTGTTATTTTTGAATTAATTTGACAAAATAAGTATTTTTTGCCACTAGATCATATTGGATTAATGTATTTTTTCCTGTTTCAAAATGGAAATCATTATTATTATTATTGGATTAATTTTACAAAATAAGTATTTTCAACTATCAATTTCTTTTTGAATTATTTCTAATAACTGTAAAATAAAAATTCTGTTAATCAAAAAAAAAAAAAATATACTAATTCAAACTTAGAGAATAAATAAAAAATAAATTTCCAGATAGAAAAAAAGAAACTTACTTCCGGTGACGTTTAAGAAGATCCAAACGATGAAATGGCACGCCGCATGTGTCGCAGAAAAATTCACCAAAACGATCATCGCCCGTATAATTAGTTTCGGTATTTTCAATTTCATCAGTTGTAATTTCAATTGTTGCATTATGTTTATTTTTCACATGTTCACGTAATGCATTTAAATCCCAATACATTTCACCGCAATTTGAACATTCTAATGGACTATCGCCACCGTGTATTCGTGAATGTGATGCCAATGCTTTTTCACGTGCAAATGCAACCCCACAATGTTGACAGACATATGGTTTTGTTGGATCAGTTATTGGCCAACGTGGTGGTTCATTAATAATTGTCATTTGATCGGTCCAACGCGATGAACTTGATGCTTGTAAATTATTACCACGATTTGAATTACTACGACTTGCAACTTCCATTAAACGTATATCCTCGGCAACATAATTATATGATTTATTCATTAATTTACCAACAACTTCTTTACCCTCATCAATTGTGCCCGATGTATTTGTTGTTGATGTTGTTGATGTCATTATCATTGAACGTTTATTTGCTGTTGTTGTATTATTTTTACGTCTACGTGGAGTATTTGATTGCACCTTCTTTCGTCGACCTTTGAAAATAAAGAGAGAAAAAAAAAAAAATATATATATATATTTCCCCTTATTCAAATCTATATTTATATTTCTATTGTATACTAGCGTTGTTTTTGTGATTTATATAAATCAATTTTTTAAAATAGTAAAATTTTTATATAACCGAAAATTCTCATCAAAGATTACATTTTATATAGAATTACATCGTTTAAGAGAGAAAGAATACAAATTTAGGGGAAAAAAGGGAAAATTAATATGGAATGACCTCAAAAAAAAATCCAAAAAACAGTTGTAACTTCCAAAGAAATTACCGGATTGTTATAAAACTTAGTAACTGTGTTCTTTGCAATGAATAACCACATTTAAAGTAGAAAATTACAAATTTAGAAAAAAAAAGCGAAAATTAATATGGAATGACCCCAAAAAAATTCAAAAAAGCATTTATAACTTTCAAACAAATTACCGGATTGTTATTAAATTTAGTAACTGTGTTTTTTGCAGTGAATAACGTCATTTAAAGTAGAAAATTCCAAATTTAGGGAAAAAAAGCGAAAATTGATATGGAATGTCCCCAAAAAATTCCAAAAAAACAGTTATAACTTCCAAAGAAATTACCGGATTGTTATAAACCTTAGTAACTATTATCAATGCAATGAATAACGTTATTTAAAATAGAAAAATACAAATTTAGGAAAAAAAAAGCGAAAATTAATATGGAATGACCCCAAAAAAAATCCAAAAAACGGTTATAACTTCGAAAGAACTGAATGGATCGTTATAAAAATTTGTAATTATATTTTTTGCAATAAATAACATACTTTAAAGGCGAAAAATCACAAATATCAAAAAAAAGGATAAAATCATTACGGAATAACCCAAAAAAAAATCCAAAAAATGATTATAACTTCTAAACAAATTTATGGATCGTTCTGAAACTTGGTAATTCTGTTATTTGATATGAATAACATCTTTTAAATTCGAAAAAATACAAATTTTGGGAAATAAAATTCACAATTGTTATGGAATGACCACAAAAAAATTCAAAAAAACTTTTATAACTTTAAAAAAAAATTACCGGATTGTTATGAAACTTAGTAACTGTGTTCTTTGCAATGAATACCGTCATTTAAAGTAGAAAATTCCAAATTTAGGAAAAAAAAGCGAAAATTGATATGGAATGTCCCCAAAAAAATTCAAAAAAACAGTTATAACTTCCAAAGAAATTACCAGATTGTTATTAACCTTGGTAACTATGTTCTATGCAATGAATAATGTCATTTAAAATAGAAAAATACAAATTTAGGGAAAAAAAGCGGAAATTAATATGGAATGTCCCCCAAAAAAATCCAAAAAACGGTTATAATTTTCAAAAAAATTACCTGATTTTTTTGAAACTTGGTAACTGTGTTCTTTGCAATGAATTACATCATTTAAAGTAAAAAATTACAAATTTAGGAAAAAAAAGCGAAAATTAATATGGAATGGCATCAAAAAAATCCAAAAAACGGTTATAACTTGGATAGGAATTAAGGGATTGTTGTGAAATTTGGTAATTATATTTTTTTTTGCAATAAATAACATCTTTTAAAGGCGAAAAATTACAAATTTAGGAAAAAAAGCAAAAATTAATATGGAATGACCCCAAAAAAATTCAAAAAAACAGTTATAACTTCCAAAAAAATTACCGGATTGTTATAAACCATCGTAACTATGTTCTATGCAATGAATAAAGTCATTTAAAATAGAAAAATACAAATTTAAAGAAAAAAAAGCGAAAATTAATATGGAATGACCCCAAAAAATTCAAAAAAAAAAACAGTTATAACTTACAAAAAAATTACCTGATCTTTTTTAAACTTGGTAATTGAGTTCTTTGTGATAATTAACATTCTTTAATAGTATAAAGATACAAACTTAGAAAAAAAACGTATATTTATTAATGAATGGACCCAAAAAAAAACTAAAAAAACAGTTATAACTTCTAAACAAATTACCGCATCGTTATGAAACTTGGTAATTGTGTTTTTTGCAATGAATTACCTTGTTTAAGAAAAAAAAATTCAAATTTTGGGAAGAAAAACGCATAATTATTACGGAATGACCCAAAAAAAACCCAAAAAACGGTTATAACTTGGAAAGAAATTAACGGATTACTGTGAAACTTGGTAATTATATTCTTTGCAATAAATAACATCTTTTAAATTCGAAAAAATACAAATTTTAGGAAATAAAACTCACAATTGTTATGGAATGACCTCAAAAAAATTCAAAAAACCGGTTATAACGTTAAAAAAACTGAACGAATCCTTATGAAAATTTGTAACTAAGTTTTTTGCAATAAATGACATACTTTTATGGCGAAAAAAATACAAATATCGAAAAAAAGCGAAAAATTATTACGGAATAACCCCAAATATCCAAAAAAAAACGTCTATAACTTCTAAACAAATTAATGGATCGTTATGATACTTGGTAATTATGTTTGTTGCGATAAACTACATTCATTTATTGCATAAAAATAGAAATTTACAAAAAAAAAAACGTATATTTGTTACGGAATGACACCAAAAAAATCCAAAAAACAGTTATAACTTCGATAGAACTGAATGGATCGTTATAAAAATTTGTAATTATGTTTTTTGCAATAAATAACATACTTTAAAGGCGAAAAAAAGTGTAAAGTTATTACGGAAAAAAAAAGTGTAAAATTATTACAGAATAACCCAAAAAAAATCCAAAAAACAGTTATAACTTTGAAAGAACTGAACGGATCGTTATAAAAATTTGTAATTATATTCTTTGCGACAAATTACATTCTTTTAATGTATAAAAATAGAAGTTTAAGAAAAAAAACGTATATTTGTTACGGAATGACCCCAAAAAAATCCAAAAAAACATTTATAACTTCCAAACAAATTACCGGATTGTTATAAAACTTGGTAATTATGTTTTTAACAACAAATAACATTTTTTAAAGGCAAAAAAATACAAATTTACTGAGAAAAACTTATAATTATTACAGAATGACCCAAAAAAAAATTCAAAAAACGATTATAACTTCAAAAGAAATGAACAAATTTTATATGAAAATTTGTAATTACGTTCTTTGCAATAAATAACATCTTTTAATGGTGAAAAAGTAAAAATTTTTGCAAAAAATCCTAACAATAAATAAAATAATAATAATAATAATTATTATTATTATAAATAAATATAAACACTGACCTTTTGTCGTTTCCTCTTCATCGTTCATTAATGGATCCTCATCATTGAGATCGTCATCGAGACCATCGCGTGACGGTGCATAAGCATGAATTTTCAAATGATTCATTAAATCACATTTACGTACATAACGCGCACCACAAAGATTACAACCATGTGGACGATCAGTTTGATGTGCAACCATATGATTCATTAAATTTGCCTTTTTACGAAAACGACGACTACAAAAATCACATGGATATGGTCGTGTATTTGTATATGAATCCTGATCAATTGGCAATGGTATTTCCATATCATCATATTCAAGTAAATTGTCATGTGAGACTTTTGTTTCTGGTATTTCCACACTAAAAAAAAAAAAATAAAAAAAAAAGTTTTATAATAATAAAATAATTCCAAATAATTTACAAAATAAATAAATAAATAGTTTTTTTTTTAAAAAGTGTTTAAAATAAAATTTTTTTTCAATCAAAATTTATTTTTAAGTTAAAATAATTCACAAAATAGATTCTTTCAAAAAGTGTGTTTAAAATAATTTTTTTTTTTTTTAATTAAAAGTTATTTTTAAATAAAAATAAATTCAAATAAGTTTCAAAATAAATAAATTGAATACATTTTTCGTAATTTTTCCAAAAAAAAAAAAAAAAACTGTTTAAAATACAAAAATTCATAAAATAATATAAATTTTTAATAATTATTATATATTTAAAATAAGGTAAAAATTTGAAATTAATAATAATAATAAAGGACGCATGATTATGTTCTAAAAAGCATTAGTTAGAATTTTCATTTTATGGAATTTCATTTGTTATAATTATTTTTGAGCCGAATTTTTATTTATTCAAATTAATATTTTTTTGCAGAATTTTTATCAAAAATAATTTTCCATAATAGACAATTTTTTATATAACCGAAAATTCATTTTATAGAATTTTTATTTGTTCGATTATTATTTTATTTGTCAAAATTTTTATTTACTCGAATTTTTTAATTTAAAATAGGGAATTTTAAAGAATTTTTATTGGCTAGAATTTAATTGCATTGAATTTTCATTTTATTCTTTCAGACGAATTTTTTCATTTCTTCGAATTCTTATTTTATTCAATTTTCTTAAAAACCAATTTTTTTGCAGAACTTTTTTTTTAACCGAAAAATCATTTAACAAAATTTCTAATTGATTTTTGAATTTTCATTTATCCGAAATTGCAAATGACCGATTGGTTTGATAATTTAAAAATCGCGTCAAAATTAATTGTTTCGGTCATTTGCAATTTCGGACAAATGAAAATTCAAAAAACAATTAGAAATTTTGTTAAATGATTTTTCGGTTAAAAAAAAAGTTCTGCAAAAAAAATTTGGTTTTTAAGAAAATTGAATAAAATAAGAATACGAAGAAATGAAAAAAAATTCTTTAATATAGAAAATAAATAAAAATTTTCAAAATTAATAATAAGAAATGAAATTCCATAAAATGAAAATTAATGATTTTTAGAATATAATCATCCGTTCAAATAATAATAATAATAATAATAATAATAATAATTACCCATCGTCGGGTCCAGATCTGTCCCAACTATCGGCAACAACTTCCTCAGTGACTTGAATATTAAAATAATCATGTCCCTGATCCTGTGGAACAATATAAATTGATTCCATGTCACTTGATTGTGGTACCATTAAAATTTCAGTATCAGCTTGTTCTTCTTGTTCTTGTTGTTCAATAACTTCTTCCTCAACTGCCTCTTCAATGACTTCTTCACAAGCGCCAATAACTTCCTCTTCTTGTGCAACCATTTCCGTTTCGAGGCCACAAACCTCCTCGTGAATAACATTGCCAACATCCTCCGCCCAATGAAGAGTTAATTCTTCTGGTACGTCCATTGTTTCTTCAACAATTGTCGTCATTTTTTTTTTCTTCTTCTTCTTCTTCTTTTTTCTTTCTGAATTTTCATTCACCACTTCGCTTCTTTATCACTGAAATCACTTTAAATAAAAACAAATTTTTTTTTTAAAAAAATACATTTTTTTTAAAAAACAATTTTTTTTTAAATAATTATTTTTTAAAAATACAATTTTTTTTTTAAATTATTATTTTTTAAAAATACAATTTTTTTTTTTTGAAAATATAAAAAATTATACTAATTTTGAATAAAATAAATTCCTTTTTTTTAACTCCTAGAGAGAAAAATCATTTTTTTTACCTTAGGAAATAAAAAAAATAATTATTATACTAATTTTTAAGGACTAAAATTATGTTTTTTTCCGACCCTAGGGAAAAAATAAAAAAAACCCCCCCCCCTTTTTTTTATAAACTCATAGGAGATAAAAAATAATTTTAAGGACTCTAATTTTTAATTAATTCTAATTTTTAAGGACTAAAATTATGGTTTTTTAACTCTAGGGAATAAAATCATTCTTTTAGCCCCAGAAAATAAATTACAAAAAATTTTCAAGGGCAAAAATTATATTTTTTCGACACTAGGCAATAAAATGAACCTTTTTTTTAACTTCTAGATAGGAAAATAATTTCTTTAACTCTAGGAAATAAAAAAAAATTATTACACTTATTTTTAAGAAATAAAATTCTGTTTTTTCGACTCTAGGGAATAAAATTATTCTTTCAGCCCTAGGAAATAAAAAATAATTATTATACTACTTCTTAAGGACTAAAATGATGTATTTTCGACCCTGGGGAAAAAATAAATACTCCCCTTTTTTTTTTTTATAAACTCATAGGAAATAAAAAATAATAATAAGGACTCTAATTTTTAATTAATTCTAATTTTTAAGGATTAAAATTATGGTTTTTCGACTCTAGGGAATAAAATCATTCTTTCGAGCCCTAGAAAATAAATTACACAAATTTTTAAGGACTTTTTTTTTTTTTTTTTTTTTGCAAATAGGGGATAAAATGAACGTTTTTTAACTTCTAGTTAGGAAAATCGTTTTTTCTATCCTAGGAAATAAAAAATAATTATTATACTAATTTTGAAGGACTAAAATTATGTTTTTTCGATCCTAGGAAAAAAATAAAAACCCCTTTTTTTTAGAAACTCATAGACAATAAAATCGTTTTTTTTTTCAGTCTTAGAAAGTAAAATAATTATTTAATTATTATTATTATAAAATAATATTTTTTTTAAACAAATTACATAAAAAAAATTTTTTTCTTGGTAATGAACTACTTTTTACCTTTTACGTATATAAATAATAATAATAATAATAATAATAATAATTATTATTATTATTATTATAAAATAATTATTATAATTATAATATTATTATTATTATAAAATAATTATTATAATTATATTATTATTATTATTATAATTATTATTTTCCATAATAATAATTATTCGATAATTAATTAAATTATTAAATTAAAAAGAAAAATTTAAATATTAAAATTTTTTTTAATATTAAAAAATAAGAATTGCAAAAAATCAAAACTTTATAAAAATTATTTAAATTTATTAAAAAAAAAAAAATATTAAAATAATGAAAAAAGAATCAAATAAGTATTTTATTTATTTTTTAATATTCAATTTATTATTATTATTATTATTATTATTATTATTATTATTATTATTATTATTATTATTAATATTAGATTTCAGTTTTTTTCGCATCGATAATTTAAAAAAAATACTATTTCAAAATAATTTATTGATTTTTATATCGGATAATCGAATTTTTCAAACATAACCAAAAAAAATAAAAATATCTTTTTCTTTTCGTAAAAATTAAACAAATTATACTAACTTGCAATGTTGCATTTTCTTCAAAAACGGAATTTATAAACAATAAAATGCAAAAAAAAAAAAATTTGTTACTTTCACTCAACACTCCATTTGCTTTTATATCGAGAAAACTCGAAAATTAAACAATTCACTGTTTTTTTTTTTTTTTTTTAATTTATACTTATTTATGTATTATTTTAGAAAATTCTCTCTCACATATATAGAATTTTTTTTTCTTTCTCTATACAATTTCAAGAGGTTATGGCACACTTAACATGACAAGTAAACAAAAATAACAGACGAAAACGAAAGAATATATATATATATATATATATATATATATATATATATGTATATAAAGATACATTTATATGAATATGTATACCTATATATACTTACACACATTTAGATATACATATATATATATATATATATATATATATATATATATATATATACCTATATACATGTACGCTATATACATATATATAACGGAGTTAGTCAAATAACCATTCGCTGAAAAGAAGAAAAAAAGAAAGAAAATTTACCCAAAAATTCAGCGAAAATAAAAAAAAAACGACGAAATCCTAAAAAAAAAAAACATTTTAGGGTAAAAAAACATCGCAAATCTAACTTCCGGTTTAAATGCTCAATGGAAGTCACGGGAAATTGTCGCACCAATATCCCAAAGGAGGACATAAAACATTCCTATTTTCTCTCCCCCCCCCAACCCAACCTCAATCCCTTTTTCATCATTTCACTCACACACACAAAGAACATTTTGACGTCTCGAAACACAAAAATTAAGGTTATATTCGTTAAGGTTATGAGCGGCGATTTATTTTTTTTTATAGGTTATAAAGAATTTTGTAAAAGAAAAAAAGAAAGAAAAACTTTTTCGCAAACAGTTGAAATTGAGAAAATGTTGCATAAGACAAATGTTGACCGGTTTTTTTTTTTTTCTTTCACATCACCAATGTTCGGAAATTAAAAAAAAAAAAAAGGAATCTAGCAACGAAAATTGTTTTTTTTCGTATCATCATTAAAATGATGACGACAAGAATAAGGAGCCATAGCCTCTTAAACATAGAAATATTTCACATCGTTTTTTTTTTTTTTTGTTATAATCTCGCGAGCGCTATTGAAAGGGGGGCAAAAAAAAGAAACGTTTTATTGAAAATAAATGTAAACTAAAAGGGAAATTATTGGATTTTTTTTTTATTCCAACACCCGGGTTTTTACACATACACAACCGCGTCTCTCTTGCACACCAGAAAACATCGTTTTCTTTTTTTTTTCTACCAAACACACACAGCAAAATTTATTTGGCTTACAAAAAAAAAAAACAACAACTTACTTGTGGAGAAAATTAATTTTTTTTTTCCTTTTACGAGATATATATCACACCAACACCATCAACACCAACACTGTTTTCTTTTTTTTTTTTTTTCTAGATATATATTTTATAAAACCTAACCAAAAATATATATGCGACTCCAGATTTGAGAGCCACAAGCGTCGACCTTCGGTTGTTTTCAATAATTTGGAGGGGGGGGATGCGTTGGGAACACGAAAAGAAGAAGGAGAGAGAGACGATGAGAAATACAAAATGGCGGACTGTGACGTGTTCAGGGATGAATCGTTTGGGATTGAATTAGTTTTAGGCTGCTTACACAATGACGGTTAGTCATCAATCTTTTTCCTTCTCTAATTAATTTTTCCATTTTCGTTTCCGGTCAACGCAATCGCAAACGGAAATAGACAGTAAACCAGTCGTTTTCTAATTGATTCTTTCGTTTTTCCACTTCCGGTCAATGCAAAATAGAAAACGCCAATCGCAACCGGAAGTTAGAGAAGAACCGAGAAAATGCCTATCCTTCTCTAATTCATTCTTTCGATTGCGATTCGAATTTTAAAACCCAATAAAATTTGGGCAAAATAAATTTTGTCCAAAATAAAATGTGAAATGCTCCCTTAAACACGGGAATTTTATTTGTCGCAAAATCGATTAATAAAGGTGCTTTCATACTTTCAATATCTTGGTCAATTGGATTAAATTTTCGCGGTTATAATCACTGAATTTGATTGGTTTTTGACAAATTTTTTAATTTCCTACATGAAAATTGAATATTTTTAGAGCCAATCAAATTCAGTGATTATAACCGCGAAAATTCAAACCAATCTATTGCTTCTTGACCACAAAATACTTATAAAAGCACCTTTATCAATCGATTTTGCGACAAACTAAAATCGCGATACTGTTTTGAGGGAGTATTAACACCTCATTGCGGACAAAATTTATTTTATCCAAATTTAATCGATTTCAAATCGTAATCGTATTGCTTGACCAAAACTACTGCAGGTATGAAAGCACCTTTAAAAAAAAAGTGAATTGTAAAAGCAGCTTGTGAATGGACAATAAAATTGGAACCAATCACAGTGCGTTTTCTATTTATCGAATAACCAATCAAATACTAAATACACGAGACAATATTATTTGAATTCAAGGAACGTCGGAATTGGAACACTGTTCGAAATTTTCTAGTTCCATTTTGTCAATATTTTCAGTACGAAATCCAAATAATAAAATTATACGTGAGTACTGTCCGATTTATTAACATTTAAAAAAAAAACTCATTTTTAAACATGATTTAAATTTTTTTTAAATTAAAAAAACATTTAATTTTCTCACTTTTTTTTGTTAGTGGTTAGAATTAATACTTTTTTTTTAAAATTATTTCGTTTTCCATTTTTTAAAATTGAAAATAGTTTAATATTTATTTACAATTTTAGTGGCGCAAATAAAATAATTTTAAAAAAAAATTTGAAAGTAGTTTAAAGGTGAAAATTCTGTTTTTTATTTCAAAAAAAAAAAAAAATCGGGAAAAATTGTTTTTTTAAAATGTGCATCCCTTTTGATGCAATTTGACCCTGACCTTCAGTTTCATCGATTTGTTGCACTTGAACACGTGTGCAGAGGGATTTTATATATATATATATATATATATATATATATATATATATTTATTTATTTGCAATGAACTTGAAATTAAAGTGTTTTAAATGAAAAAAATTTTTATTACATTTTTTAAAAATTTTTTTTAAAAAATTTGGCGGGAAATTTGAATTGACAGTTAAAATTTGAAAATAACTAACAATTTTTAACTATAATAATTTTTTGTAAATTAAAAAAAAAAAATTTGCGGGAAATTTGAATTGACAGTTAAAATTTGAAAATAACTATAACAATTTTTAACTAGAATAATTTTTTGTAAATTAAAAAAAAAAAAAAATTTGCGGGAAATTTGAATTGCCAGTAAAAATTGGAAAATAACTATAATAATTTTTTAACTATAATAATTTTTTATAAATTAAAAAAAAAAAATTTTGCGGGAAATTTGAATTGACAGTTAAAATTTGAAAATAACTATAATAATTTTTTGTAAATTTAAAAAAAAAAAAAAAATTTGCGAAAAATTTGAAAATAACTATAACAATTTTAACTATAATAATTTTTTGTAAGTTTAAAAAAAAAAACAAATTTATGCGGGAAATTTGAATTTGCAGTTAAAATTTAATAATAACTAGGTATAATAAAAATTTGTTATTTTGTATATTTTTATTTTTAGGAAAATTGTAAACTTTTTTAAAGAATATTGAAAAAACAGGAATTATTAGAAAAAAAAATTATATCGTTGTAATAAAAATCATTGAAAAAATTATTCAATAAAAATTATTTGAAAAATAATTCAATAAAAAATTATTTAAAAAATAATTCAATAAAAATTATAAATATAGTTCATTAAATTTTTTTTTTTTGAAAAATTTAAATACGGGAAAAAATGCTTCACACACGATTATGAAAATAAAAAACGGAAATATTTTTATTTCTTTTTCGCAAATTTTTGATTTATTTAAAAAATTTTTAATTCAAGAAAAGTTTTTTTAAAATTTATTTTAAATTAAATTTAATTTCGAAGTATTTTATTTATTCATATTTAAATAAATAAATAAATATTTTTTTATTAAAAATGTAATTAATAAATTTTAATTATTCTTTTATTTTTGTTTTGATTATTTTTTTTATTTTTTTTTTTTTTTGATTAAAAAAAAATAATTTTTTTTCAATTAATAGAAAATATTATTTAATTTAATTTAATAAATAAATAATTATTAATTTAATAATAATTATTATAAAAATAATTCCATAAAAATTATTATTAATTAAATAATTCAATAAAAATCATTAATTTTTTAGTTTTTCTTTTGTTTTTGTTTGTTTGTTTTTTAGTTTTATTTTTGAGGAGAAATTAATTTTTTGCGGGGCAAAAAATGAAAAGTTTGAAAAATTTTTTTTTTTTTGCATCGAGTTATTAATAAAAATCACTTTTGAAATGCAGGTCGCAAAGATTATTTTGAGACACGAAGGTCACGTTTGTGTGTATATGAGAAAAATGGGAAATTTTCTCAGTTTATTATAAGAAAAACAAAAAAAGAGAAAAAAAAAATGAAGGAATAAAAAAAAACAAAAAAAAAAATGGATTTAAATACAAGTGAAATTGCTGACGAAGTGAAAAAGAAAAATATTCTCCATTGGAATTATCGTGAATTCAATGAACTTCCAATAGTTGTGAAAACTCATGGCTCACATGTGAGGGAAATTTATTTAAAATGGAATAAATTAAAAACTCTACCAAAATGGATTGGCGAATTGAAAAATTTACAAAATTTATATTTATCCGGTAATTTTATACAAAAATTACCTCAAGAAATAAAATTTTCAAAACTCACTGTTTTGGATTTAAATTCAAATCAATTGGAATTTATTCCAACGAGTGTTGCTAATTTAATTACATTAAAATATTTATTATTGGACGACAATTATATTACCAGAATTCCTCCCAGTGAGTACGAAAACAAAAAAAAAAAAAAAAAAAAAACAAAAAAAACTCTTAATTTTATTTTTTCTATTTTCATTTAATTTTCCCCTAAATTACTAAATAAATAAAAGAAATTTTTTTTTTTTAAGTAAACAATTTTTCCAAAGAAATTGAAATAATTAGAAAATTTTTATTTTCACGTAAATTACTAAACATAAATAAAAGAAATTTTTTTTTTAATTAAGATTTTTCCAAAGAAATTGAAATAATTGGAAAAATTTTAATTTTCCCTACTAAAATAAATAAAAGAATTTTTTTTTTCTTAAAAAATTAAATTTTTTTCTCAACAAAATTTGAAATAATTAGAAAAATTTTAATTTTCCCTTCTAAAATAAATAAGAGAATTTTTTTTCTTGAAAAATTAAATTTTTTTTTGTCAACAAAATTTGAAATAATTGGCAAAATTTTTATTTTTGTAAAATAAATTTTTTTTTTTTCACTTAAAAAAGAAAAAAAAAAAAGAAGATAAAAATAAAAATTTTCTTTTTCCAAGTTTTCAGCCAATTGAGGAATTTGGAATATTTATCAATATGTCGAAATCGATTGGAAACATTGCCTGAATGGTTGGGTTCACTTGAAAAACTCGAGGATTTAATTGTTGATAATAATTATTTAGAAGAGCTTCCAAATAGATTAACTTTAGCGCCTGTATTATTAAACATTTCCGTTTGTTCGAACAGGTAAAAAAAAAAAATAAAAATAAAAATAAATAAAAATTCCATAGCAAATAACAGAAAAAAAATTCTGTTTTTATTATTTTTTTTTTTCCAAATAAAAAATTAAAATAATAAAATATTTTTTTCCATTTTTTATTTGTACATTAAAATTAGAAAATTTGTTATAAATTTTGAAAACAAAAATCCCCCCCCCCACCCACAAAATGTAATTTAAAATTAATTCTTTTATTTTTCTCGTTCAGAATTATTCCCTCCTTTTTTTTGTTATGAAGAAAATAATTTTAATAAAAAATTTATATTTTTTTTTCTCCGTTTATTTTTAGATTACGATATTTGCCATTCAATGGATTTCTCTCGTCGCCATTTATTCGTTTCGATTTGAATCGTGATTTAAATTATTTATCCTACACTCTATTGTGTCAATTAATTTCAAAATTTCGCGACACTTTTGACGGTGATTTGAGAAATATCGTTTCTCGCGGGTAAATATTGCAAATTTTCTGTTTTTTTCTTCTTCTATGTTTCAAAATTAATTAATTAATTATTTAATTAATTATAATAATAATTATTTTATTATTTAATTAATTAATTATTATTAATTAATTATTTAATTAATTATAATAATTGTTTTATTATTTAATTAATTAATTAATTATAATAATAATAATTATTAATTAATTAATTAATTACCTAATTAATATCAATGATTATTAAATTATTAGTTAATTTAAAAAATAATCAAAATAGAAAGAAAGGAAACTTTTAAAAAATATATTTCTTTTTCTCGGAAAAAAAAAATCAAACAGATGCTTTCAAAAAGACGTCACAGAATCGAAAAATCGAAATCAAAAACTACAAATTTCCCCAAATGAATACGATGGAAATGAAGAAATAACAATTGAATTTCCTTCACAACTTGTGAAAATTCATAAAATTTCCAATAATGTTGTTTGCACACTTAGCGAATTAGCTCTTCGAAAAGTCTACAAAAACAGGTAAAAAACAAAAAAAAAGAATTTTCCACTTCTTTTTTTTTTAGTTAAAAAATTCTTATTTTTATTTTTCAAAAAATTATTTTTTGAAAAAAGTGTTTTAATTATCTAATTAATAAAATCGTATTTTGAAAATAAATATTTCTAGATTAAAAAAAAAAAGGGAATATTTTATTCCAAATTTAATATTTGCAAAAAAAAAAAAAAAAACAGTCCTGTTTATTTATTTTTTTCTCAAAATAAATAATTTTTTTTTTTTTGTCTTTTTTGCAGATATCGTCACAATTTAGAAATAAAAAAATCGCCATTAAATGTAAAAATAATTTACGAACCTCGTTATTGTTCAACGTTAAATAATGATTTTCAAATGTTTCAACATTTTTTCCCAGCTATTTTAATGGACAATGGTCCATTAAGCATTTGTCACAATTATCATTGTCAGGAGGCAATTTTCACTGAATCATGGATTATATTTCGTTTGGGTTTTGATTTTCTTCATTTTCCAACATGTGCTTTTTTTTGCAGTCACAGGTAAATGCAAAAAAAAAAAAAAAAAAAAAAAAAAAATTTCTTATCCAATTTGGCCGAAATGAAATAAAATTTATAAAAAAAATTTTTTTTTTGTTTTGAATATAAAAAATAAAGAAAATTTCCTTCTTTTTCAGATGCGCTTCCAAATTTGCCAATTTCTCCGAATTCAGAAATCATTATTTTCTCAATCACTGAACTATTATCTGATATATAATAAATATATATATATATATATATATATATATATATATATATATATATATATATATATATATATATCTACTAATCTTGAAATTATCTAGAAAATAAAATTTTTCTTCAAATTAAACAAAAATTTCCTTGACAATGAAAAAAAGGAAAATGAAAATGAAAAATAAAAGTAAGTAAAAAAAAAAAAAATAAAAATACTAAGTAAAAAGAAAATAAAATAAATTCTAATTAATAGAAAAATACAAAAATTAATTTAAATAATAATAATAATAATAATAATAATAATAATAATAATAAATTATTATTTTAATGATTAGGATTTTATTTTACTAAATTATTAACTGGAAAACGAACTTTGCAAAAACCCACAAAAATTAGAATTTTCCAAACTTAAACAAATGAAATATTACAAATTATTATTATTAATTATTATTTATTATTATTATTATTATTATTATTATAATTATTATTATTATTACTAACTAATTAGTAATTATTTTTTAAACATGGAGGGAACACTAAAATTTCAAACTATATTAAAAAATAATTTTCAATATTCAACAAAATTATTTTTAAACTAATTTTCTTTTGCAAGGAATTCAATGGTCATAAAATAAAATGAGTTAAAAAATAATAATAATAATAATAATAATAATAATAATTTTGATCAATTTGTAATTTTTATTTTATTAAAAATATAATTTTTTTAATTTTTTTAAATTAATTATCAATTTATTAATTTATTATTTTAAATTTTTTTAAATTTTTCATTTTTCGTAAAATTTTTTTTAAATTAAAAAAATTAAAAATATATAATTTCTTTAATTTTTAATTTTTATTAATTAATTATCAATTTATTAATTAATTATTTTTCGTCCAAATTTTTAAATTAAAAAAAGTAAAAATATAATTTTTTTAATTTTCAAATTTTTATTAATTAATTATCAATTTATTAATTTATTATTTTTAATTTTTTGTAAAAAATTTTTAAAATTAAAAAAAATTGATAATATAATTTTTATATAGTTGAAAATTTGTGTGTACCCTCTCCTTTTTTTTTTTTTTTTTTTTTTTTTAATAAAGTAAAGTTTTTTTTTTCCTATTTAAAATTAATCAAAAACCTGAAAAATAAAAAATTCCAGGAGATTTGAATAAATTTTTATCAAAAAAAAGAATGTTTCGAATATTAAGAATAAAATTTATTTTTCACTTACTGCAAAACAAACAAACGTGACGAGTTTGAAAACAAAAGAGAAAAAAAATATTTTTTTATCGCCTCTTTCTCTTTCTCTTTCGTTTTTTTTTTCTTTCTTCTGGAAAAGAAAAGCCTTTCGTTTTAATTTTTTTTTTTGCCAAAAATCAATTTTTTTTTTTGGTTTCTTTCCTCATTTTGAAAATGAAAAAACACAAATTAAGTAATCAATAAATCGAGAGCCTTATCACGATCAATATTACATTTAATTAATGCAATTGACGCTTGTTCCTCAGGAAATCCTAAATCGCGTAATGTTGTTAAATTTTTATGAAATACTTTTGCCTTCTCTTGATCAAATTCAGTGATTTCCAATGCTTTCTCAGCGGCGTCTTCACTTATTCCCAAATCATCCTCCAATGATTGTATTGCTAATAAATATTCAACAATTTTTTTATTATCACTACCGCCAAGATTTTGAATTGCACGCGCAGCTCTTGACAATGGAAAACCCATATCATTTAAATGTCTCGCTAATTTTTGATCGTCCAATGATAAATCAGATAAAATATTTGATAATACAACTTTTGAATGTGTTGTTAATAATTTTTCATTATTTGTTGAGGAATTTTTTTCAACATCTAAATTTTCCACATCTGTCCATGGTTTCCAATTCTAAATGAAATAGAAAAAAAAGAAGTTATTTTTTTGAAAATTTTCGTTTTAAATATTTAATTATTCTTTATTTTTTAATTATTTTTATAAAATAACAATTTTTATTATTCATTAATTAATCCTGCAAAATTTAGATAAATTCAGATAATTTGAAACTTAAAATTTGGAGAAAAAAAAAATTAAAAATCAAATTAAAATTTTAATTTAATAAATTTAATTAGTATTTTTTTTTTTTTTTGTAAAATAAATAAATAAAATTTCAATTAAAGAAAAAGTAATAATTTACCTCCAAATTAGGACGTTCCAATTCCCTTTGAAGTTCCTCAACAATTAATGAAACAATTCTCAATGGTTCGGTTTTTCTCTCAGTTCTTTCATGTTCATCAATTTGATTATTAATCGATTCATTTTTCTCTTGAATGTGATTTTGTCCTTCGTTAATTAGTGTCAAATCATTGATTATATTTTCCAATTTTCCCGTTGGACTCCAATGCGATGGTTGTAGAACCTTGAGGTGTAAATATTTTTAATTTTTTTTTTTTTAAATAAAATTTTATTTATATTAACTAAATTTAATTTTTTTTCTTCAATTTTTTGTAATCGTACTTTTTAATTAACTAAATTTCAATTAAACAAAAAAATTTTATTTAACTGAATTTCTATTCAGCAAAAATATTATTTAACTGAATTTTTATTTAGCAAAAGTTTTTTATAACTAAATTTTCAATTCAGCAAAAATATTATTTAACTGAATTTTTATTTAGCAAAAGTTCTATATAACTAAATTTCTATTCAGCAAAAATATTATTTAACTGAATTTTTATTTAACAAAAGTTTTATATAACTAAATTTTTATAAATACTATTTTATTATTTAATTGATATTTTCATTTTTAAATAAAATTCCAAAAATTAAATTGCAAAATTTTTTTTTTATTTTTTGAAAGAAAATTTCCAATTTTAATTGCAAAATTTTCATTTTCGAATAAAATTCCAAAATTTTCATTTTTGAATAAAATATTAATTTTAATTGCAAAATTTGAAGAATCAATTTTTTTTTTAGTAAAATTTTTTTTTATAATATAAATTTATTTGTTTCAAACAAATTATCTTTGATTCAAAAAAAAAAAAATTATCTTCATTTTAAAGAAATTTTTTCTTTAATTCAAATAAATATCTTTTTTTGATTCTTTATCAATGTTAGAATTTCTTTGATTTAATACACAATTTTTTTTTCATTAGAAAAAAAAAAAAAATTTCTTTAAATCAAAGAAAATTTTATTTTCAATGAAAGAAAACAATTGAAAGAAATTGATTTCTTTAAATCAAAGAAAATTTTTTTTTTCAATGAAAGAAAACAATTGAAAGAAATTGATTTCTTTAAATCAAAGAAATCTTTTCTCATTGTGTATATATATATAAAAAAATATTAAAGAACAATAAATAAATACCTGAGCGAGTTCTTCTTTGTCGTTTATCGATTTTAAAAGCATATTATCAAATGGACTGCTTGTATCATTATCAAAATCGGCATAATTAAGATCTTGCGATTTATTATTACTAATTTCATGCATATCGTTTGCAGGAGGCGATAATGGCTGTGGTGTAAGTATCGTCGTTTCAGGAACTGGCGCCGTTTTCACCGGAAGTTGTTGTTGATTATTATCCTGTGACAATGGTGGTGGTGATGGTGAATTTTCCTGTTTTCTCGTTTTTTCCTCAATACGTGCTTGTCGCGCTTCACTACTTGCAAGTCGTGCTTTTCTCCATTCCGACATCTTTGCAAGTAATTAAAAAACAAAAACAAAAACAAAAAATTATAAACAAATTTACAAATAAAAACAAAAATAAAATTTAAAAAAAAAAATGTAGAATTTGATTTATTTCCTTCTTATCAACATTTTAATTAACTAATTCAAATTAATAATTTTAATTTTAAACAAATGTAACACGTAACGGTTACTAATAAAGTAACGTTTTACCATTACAAAAAAGTAACACGCTTTTATTAATAAACGCGTTACTGTTAAAGAAAACTTACTTTTACCGTTCCTTTAAACAAAAAAAAGGTAACACGTTACCGTTACTAATGAAATAACGCGTTACTTTATAAAAAAGTAATCTGTTACATTACCGAAAAATAATGCGTTATGTTTACTATTAATCTTGGTATTGTACAAAAAAAGTAACACGTAATGGTTACTAATAAAGTAACGCGTTACCATAAAAAAGTAACACGTAATGTTTACTAATAAAGTAACGCGTTACCATTAAAAAGTAACACTAACCCTTACTAATTAGATAACGCGTTACTTTCCAAAAAACGTTACTGTTACAGAATAATAATTGTTACTAATAAAGTAACGCGTTAACATTAAAAAGTAACACATTATCGTTACAAAAAAAACAAGTTACCAGTTAGAAAAAAAGTAACACGTTACCGTTACTAATAACTTAACGCGTTACTTTTCAAAAAAGTAACACGTTACCGTTACTAAGACAGTAACGCGTTATGGTTACTATAAAAATTGTTACTTTGCAAAAATGAAACACGTTACAGTTACTAATAAAGTAACGCGTTACTGTAGAAAAAGTAACACATTACCGTTACTAATAAAGTAACGCGTTACTGTAGAAAAAAGTAACACGTTACCGTTACTAATAAATTAACGCGTTACTTTTCAAAAAAGTAACACGTTACCGTTACTAAGACAGTAACGCGTTATGGTTACTATAAAAATTGTTACTTTGCAAAAATGAAACACGTTACAGTTACTAATAAAGTAACGCGTTACTGTAGAAAAAGTAACACATTACCGTTACTAATAAAGTAACGCGTTACTGTAGAAAAAAGTAACACGTTACCGTTACTAAAAAAGTAACGCGTTACTTTAAAACAAAGTAACGCGTTACTGTAAAAAAAAGTAACACGTTACCGTTACTAATAAAGTAACACGTTACTGTAGAATAAAGTAACACGTTACCGTTACTAAAAAAAGTAACGCGTTACTGTAAAAAAAGTAACGCGTTACTGTAAAAAAAGTAACACGTTACCGTTACTAATAAAGTAACACGTTACTGTTACTAATAAAGTAACACGTTACCTTTACTAATAAAGTAACGCGTTGCTGTAAAAAAAGTAACACGTTACCGTTACTAATAAAGTAACACGTTACCGTTACCAACAAAGTAACGCGTTACTGTAGAAAAAAGTAACACGTTACCGTTACTAATAAAGTAACACGTTACTGTTACTAATAAAGTAACACGTTACTGTTACTAATAAAGTAACGCGTTATGGTTACTATAAAAATTGTTACTTTGCAAAAATGTAACACGTAACAGTTACTAATAAAGAAACGCGTTACTGTAGGAAAAAGTAACACATTACCGTTACTAATAAAGTAACGCGTTACTTTCGAAATAAATTAACATGTTACTATTAGAGAATAGTACTACTCTCACAGAGTAGTAACATTTTTCATAAAGTAACGTATTATTTTATAAAAAAAATGTTATTGTTACAAAAATGTATCACATTATGGTTACTAATAAAATAACATGTTATCGAGTGAAAAAAGTAACAATTTACAATTACTAATGATGAATAAAGTAACATTTAAAAAAAGAAACAATTTAGAAAAAAACTGCATTAGTGTTAATAATAAAGTAACGCGTTATCGTTACTAAAAAATTAATGGTTTGTTTGTTAGTAAAATTTAACAATCATAATATTGTAATTTCAATTTTTTTTTTTTTTTAATAATAAAACGAATGTAGAGAAAAAAAATTAGAGTTTTTGTAAAAATTACCTGTTTTTGGTTTTTTTTTTTTTTTATAATTACATACCTTTTGCAGCACGGATCTCTCCAAGGAAAAATCGTAGGAATATCTCGAGGCATCAGGTAAACGATTGTTATAAGCGGCAGGCAGTGTTATTTTTCTTGGTGGCTTATAAGCTTCGGCAATTTTAACATGAACACCGTCCATATATGTGGCAACGGAATCACATTGCATTGAACTTAAAGCTCGAGCCATTATTTATGATTCTTTTTTTTTATATTTTGATATATATATATATATATATATTATACAATTTCTAAATTTACTTTAAAAAACACTTGTTTATTTGATTATAGTCACTGTTTTTTTTTTTAATTTATTATTATATTTTACGTAATCGAAACAATAACACACACACACACAATTTCCGAAATGTCAAAAAAAATTTCTTATTCAAACATAACCTCACTTTTTATTGTCGTCGCGAACACACAAATAAAACATAGCAAAGTTAAATTATTATTATTATTGTTTTATTATAGTGAAGAGTATAAAAAGGATTATTATTTTGATTTTGTATAATTTTACAATTTATAAGTCATATTTAATTGTAAATATTTACTTTACCATTTTTTTTTTTTTTTTTTTTTGACAGATCATAAAGAGCGCGGCGCCATCTTTGTTGTTTTTAACACGTCAAAAAAAAAAATATATATGTTTCACCTTTTACTATATTTTAATCTTGATTTAAAATTAATGGAATTCTCTCTTTCAGGTAAAGCAAGTCATGGTTGTGATTCATTCACGATATTGACGTTTGTGTATATATATACAACTATTATTTTCTCTCTTTTTATCGGATTTTTTTTCTCATTTTTGACAGAGAGCTCAGGAGCGTAACTAGTAAATTTTTGCACCATGTTCGAAAAAAAAATTTATTATTATTATTTTTTATTTTATTATATTATTATATATTATATAAATAAAATGTCTTAAAATAAGTTTTAAAAAAAATTTAATTATTTCTCTAAATTTTTTTTTCAAAATACTTTTAACATTTTTTTTTTTTTTTTTTTTTTATTAATAAAATCCCATGACCGTAACTAGAAATATTGAAACCACTTTTTTTTTTTGTAATAATTTATTTAAATTTTAATTTTCCAGGTTTTTTTTTAATTAAAAATTTCATTAATTTTGTCATTTTATTTAATTTTCATTTGTTTCAATATGAAAATTATATTTAAATATGTTTTTCATTCAGATTTAATTCGAATATATATATATTGCAATATGAAATATATGTGATTTCGAAATTTATGTAATTTTTATTTTTAGTTTTTGGCTTCTAATTAGAAATTTAATTCGGTACTTTGTTTCATTGGTAATTTTTTTCTAGCAAAATTTATTTCGTAATTATTTTTCATCAGCGCTTATTTAATATTATTAAAATTCTCATTATTATTATTATTTTTTTTTTTATAAAATTTTCATTTAATATTTTATTTTCTTAAATTATTATTTATAATTATATAATATTATTAAAAAAAATAAACAATAATTAATATAATTATAAAAAAAAAATTATTAAATTCTTTAATTAATTTTTTATTTAAATTAAATTAAAATTATTTTTTACTATTTAAATTAAATTTCAAATTATTATTTTTATTTAAATTTAATATAAAATTAATTTTTACTTGCATTAATTTTTAATTAAATTTTTTTAGTTTCAAATAATTTTTTATTAATTTTTTTTTAAATTATTTTTTTATTTTTAAATATTTTATTATTTTTAAATATTCTTTTTTTTTATTAATAAATTTTTTTTATTTTTTTAAGTAATTCAATTTAATTTAATTTAATTTTTAAGTGGCACAAAAAAAAGACAATTTAAAATCAACATTTTTTATTGTCTGATAATTTACAAAGTTTTGATTCGCAGTCTCAATTACGAATAATAGAATAAAATTCGCTGTATACTTTCAACAATAAATTTACTTAAATATATTAAAAATAATAATAATATTAATAATAATATTAATAATAATAATAATAATCTTAATCAGGTATACTTTCACTAGTGGAATTATTTTTTTTTCTTATTTCAAGAAAAATATCAACTTTTTCTTTTATTTTTTTTTTCCTTTTTTTTACTTTCAAATTTCCTCTGTTTATGGAGAAAATCACAATTTAATGGTGAAATTTTACTAATGGAGAATTTTCCCCAAAAATACGAATCTCGAAATTTTTTTTTTTTTTAATAATAAAAAGAAAAAGCATATTTACGTATATTTTTTTGTACAATTAAATTTGTCTAAAAAATACTACAAAACGCGTCAAATTTGTTGAAAAAAAAAAAAAATTCATGAAATAATTTGTATAATAAATAAATAAATTTGAATTTCGCGCGCAATTTTTTTTCAAACAAAATTCTACAGTAACGCCATCTGGATCTACTTTATCGACAATTCATAGAAACACCTGGAACAAAATTTGCGCTTAAGTTTCAATTCTATGAACTGTCGATAAAGTAGATTCCAAACATTTGTTTTTTAAAAAAAAGTAGCGCGAAATTCAAATAAAAAAATTTTTTTTTTTTTGGCTCATTTACTGTAAAATTTGAAATAATAAATTTTTGATTTTCACAGAAAAAATCGAATATCATAATTATTTAATAATTAAAATAAATAAAATAAAAAATAAAATATACTTACGTAACAAAAATACATAATTTTATAGAGGACGCGTCTCGTATAGATAATATATATATATATATATAATTTTTTTTTCTTTTCCTAATACGAACAATTATTAATGAAAAACAGATAACCAATTTGTTTTATCCATTTTTGTTTTATCTTTACTATCAACAATGGCCTCTACTTTCATTTCAACAGGTACATTTTGTAGTCTCCTTGTTTCCCGGGATTTCATATAAGCGAGAAATGAAGTCCACATTAAACTGCAAATGCTCACGTAGACAACACGATTTTTTTCCGGTACAAGGAGAAAATTAATTGTCTGTAATATCGGCCAAACACAAACTCCAATCTGAAATTTTTAAATTTTTCATATAAGAAAAAGTAACGCGTTACTTTAGAAAAAAAAGAGGTAACACGTTAGCGTTACCAAAAAGTAACATATTATTTTTACAAAAAAATTAACTATTTACAGTAACAACACGATTACCGTTACAAAAAGTAAGCAGGAAAAAAAAAGTAACACGTTACTGTAACAGAAAGTAACACGTTATGTTTACTGATACAGCAAAGCGTTACTTTTAAAAAATACTGTGTTATCGTTACAGGAAAGTTAGATTAATCTTTACTTATAAAGTAACGCGTTACTTTAACAAAAAGTAACGTGTTACCGTTACAAAAAAAAAGAAACACGCAATGGTTACAAATATAGTAATGCATGTTTTACAAAAAAAACATGTTACTGTTACTGGAAAGTAACACAAATGTGTTACTAATAAAGTAACGCGTTACTATAGAAAAAATAACACGTTACTTTCCAAAAAGTAACATGTTACCGTTACGGTAAAGTAACAAGTAACGGTTACTCATAAAGTAATTCTTTACCGTTACGGTAATGTAACAAGTAACGGTTACTCATAAAGTAACATGTTACCGTTACGGTAAAGTAACAAGTAACGGTTACTCATACAGTAACTCGTTACTTTCCAAAAAGTAACATGTTACCGTTACGGTAAAGTAACAATTTACGGTTACTCATAAAGTAACTCGTTACTTTCCAAAAAAGTACCATGTTACCGTTACGGTAAAGTAACAAGTAACGTTTACTCACAAAGTAACTCGTTACTTTCCAAAAAGTAACATGTTACCGTTACGGTAAAGTAACAAGTAACGATTACTCACAAAGTAACTCGTTACTTTCCAAAAAGTAACATGTTACCGTTACGGTAAAGTAACAAGTAACGTTTACTCATAAAGTAACTCGTTACTTTCCAAAAAGTAACATGTTACCGTTACGGTAAAGTAACAAGTAACGTTTACTCATAAAGTAACTCGTTACTTTCCAAAAAGTAACATGTTACCGTTACGGTAAAGTAACAAGTAACGATTACTCATAAAGTGACTCGTTACTTTCCAAAAAGTAACATGTTACCGTTACGGTAAAGTAACAAGTAACGGTTACTCATAAAGTAACTCATTACTTTCCAAAAAGTAACATGTTACCGTTACGGTAAAGTAACATGTAACGGTTACTCATAAAGTAACGCGTTATTGTTAAACAAAAGTAACACTATAAGGCTAATAATAAAGAATTAGGTTAGGTTAGAGTGTTACTTTTTAGGTAACTCGTCACCGTTACTAAAAGTAACACCTTACGGTTTGTTACTAAAGTAACGTATTTAATCTATTATAAATATTAAATTTTTTTTTCCTTTACCTTATAAGTAGGCCAAAATTTTTCCTTGACTTGATCGACACACTCGGAAATTGGTTTAAATTCAAGTAAACTTATTCCAAAGAAGAAGCAACACATTGCCGATGGCCCATAAGTAACTTGTTCCACTAAAGCCTATAATAAAAAATATTTAATTTAATAAAAAAAATCATTTTTTTTAATAATTATTCTTTCCTTTTTTATTTTTTAAAATTTCAATTTTTGTTAAAGTATTATTTATTTTTTTAATTAAATTTTTTTTTTTTTTTTTTTACTTTGGTAAGTGCAGATTTGAGATCAGCTCTGGGCCAAAGTCGGCTGGCAACTTTTAACCATGCATAAAGTGTTGGTGCAACAAAAAATCCACCATAAATACTAAATCTCAATGCTTGAATGTAATCCAATTTTTCTTTGCCTGTAATTTTTTGTTGTATTAAACTTGCCACTGGCCAAATGACAACGTACGATGCCATACCCCTTGCCACGGGATAATTTTTCGTTACACTACGAAATTTCGTCACAACCATTCTCAAACTCGTCGTCATTTCTAAAAATCAAAAATAAAAAAATAATATATTTATAAAAATAAGAAACATATTTTTTTCAAATATATATTTAAAAAAGTAACATGTGTTACTTTTTTCCTTAAAGTAAAAGTAACATATTCCAAAAGAAACGTTTTATTATTTTTTTTTTTTTGTAAAAGTAACAATAACTCGTTACTATTTTTTACAAGTAACAGTAACACATTACTATTTTTCCAAAAGTAACAGTAACTTGTTTTCATATTTTTAAAAGTAAAAGTAACAATTTATTATTTTTACTAATGGTAACAGTAACACATTTATTTTTATTCAAAAGTAACTGTAAAATGTTACTATTTTTCTACTAGTAACAGTAACACGTTACTATTTTTTTCTAAAAGTAACAATAACACATTATTATTTTTTCCAAAAGTAATAGTAACATATTAATCCCCCCCCCCTAAAGTAACAGTAACATGTTAGTATTTCTCCAAAAGTAACAGTAACAATTTATTTTTTTCTAAAAGTAACGTTACCACATATTTCAAAAGTAACAATAATATGTTACTATTTCTACAAAAGTAACAGTAACATGTTAGTATTTCTCCAAAAGTAACAGTAACAATTTATTTTTTTCTAAAAGTAACGTTACCACATATTTCAAAAGTAACAATAATATGTTACTATTTCTACAAAAGTAACAGTAACATGTTAGTATTTCTCCAAAAGTAACAGTAACAATTTTTTTTAAAGTAACAATATGTTACTATTTCTACAAAAGTAACAGTAACATGTAAGTATTTCTCCAAAAGTAACAGTAACAATTTTTTTTTCTAAAAGTAACGTTACCACATATTTCAAAAGTAACAATAATATGTTGCTATTTCTTCGAAAAGTAACAGTAACATGTTACTATTTTTTCAAAAGTAACAGTAACACAAATTTCTAGTTTTCTAAAAGTAACGTTACCACATATTTCAGAAGTAACAAAAATATGTTGCTATTTCTTCGAAAAGTAACAGTAACATGTTGCTATTTTTTCAAAAGTAACAGTAACACAAATTTCTAGTTTTCTAAAAGTAACAGTAATATGTTACTATTTCTACAAAAGTAACAGTAACATGTTACTATTTCTAAAAAGGTAACAGTAACAATTTTTTTTTTATAGAAGTAACGTTACCACATATTTCAAAAGTAACAAATATATGTTACTATTTCTACAAAAGTAACAGTAACATGTTAGTATTTCTCCAAAAGTAACAGTAACAATTTTTTTTCTAAAAGTAACGTTACCACATATTTCAAAAGTAACAAAAATATGTTGCTATTTCTTCTCAAAGTAACAGTAACAAATTTCCATTTGTAAAAAAGTAACATTATAATACATTACTGTTTTTTAAAAGTAAAATACTTTAATAAAAAATGGAAACAGTAACGAGTTGCTTTATTCTGAAAGTAACAGTAACGTGTTACTTTTTATAACATTAACCGTATATATTAGTAACTGTAACGAGTTACTTTTGTCAATGACAACGCGTTAATTTTATTCTTTTACTATTTTAACGAAACTTTGTTGTTACTGTAAACGTTACTCTGTGTTACATTTGTAACAGTTAACACGCGTAACACTGTACTTTATATAAACAATAATGATAAATCTAATAATAAATAAAAATAATTTATAAATAATACAAAAACTAATGCAATTATTTATAATAAAAAATAATAATAATATAGATAATAGTAATAAAATAAATAATAATAATAATAATAATAATAATAATAATAATAATAATAATAATAATAATAGTACTATAATAATTATAATGATAAATATATAATAATAATAGTATACAAAAAAAAGATACCCAACCGAAAAATATGGAGGAACATAAATAAATCTTTCACAAAATATATAAAAAAAAAGAAGTGAGAAAAATTGAGAAATAAAAACACAATTATAACGTAACTGACAAAACTATACAACACTTTTCTTTTCTTTTCTTTTTTTTTTTTTATAAATATATATGATATCAAAGTCCATGAAACGTCACTCTCAGCTGATTTCGTGCGAACACGTTTTCTAGCAGACGAAATTTATATCTATATACACTTTTTTTTTGCGCGCGCGCCAAAAATTAAATTTAATTTTACAATTTAAAATTATATATTTGTTATTGTAAATATATATATTATTACAGATAGAAAAAAAATAAAAAATACATACTTACTTATTTTTTTTTCTGTCTTTCAAAATTGGGCACAAATTAAAAATTTTCTTTTTATATAACTGTTATTTTATATTATCGTAATGAAAAAATAATAATTTCTATTTTTTTTCTCATAATATTATCGATCATTCCACAAAAAACACTAATTAAAAACACATTTATATTTTTCACTTATTATTATTATTATTATAGTGGATTTTATTTTTAATAATAATGCCCGTTCACAACGATGATTTTTTTTTTTCATCAAAAAGAAAGAAAAAAAAAAAAAGAAACGAGAGAGACACTGTTATTGACAGTCCGCAAATTTTGCGGAATGTGACAAAATTTTCATCGCATCAGGAAATAAATTCATTATTTTGTTATATGTAGGTATAACTATCGTTTTTTTTTTAATGCATTATATATATTTATATAGATAATAAAACGCGCGCGCATATTGGCAATAAAATGGATAGAGAAAAGCAAGAAAAAAAATACTTCGCTCTCTTTTTAACACAATGACGAAATTGGTCGATTCATTCTTAAATGGCCTTGACTTCGGTCATTTCTTGAAAAAAAAAGTTATACATTTGTATTCTCTTCGTCTTATGCAACATTTAGAAAGATTATGACAAGAAAAAAAAACCACGTGTGTTTTCCAACGTCAAATAATGAAGTTTAAGTTTAACATATGATAATATTTTTAGATATTGCGCAGAGAAGCATTTTTTAGGTTATGTTTTGGAGTGCCAAAAGGGGGGTGGGGATGATGACCTAGTTTTCTGTTCGATAGTTCGATTAAAAAGCTGTGGCCAATGAACGAGCCGGGAATGATGGATTTTATTGGTCATTGTTTGTTATTGGTTGAATTTGGAAAAAAGGTTTTTTTTTGTCCGAATTTGCGTGGCGCGAAAATTTAAAAATATTTAGAACGGAAAACAAGAAAAAAGTAAACAAAAATTTAAAACAAAAATCAAAATAGAACAAAAATAGAATACAACAAAAAAAAATAAAAGGAAATAAAAATACAACAAAAAAAAAAAGTAAAATAAAAATAGAATATAACAAAAAATAAAACGAAACAAAAATACAATAAAAAATACAAAAAAAAAATAAGAATAACAAAAATAAAACAAAAAAAGGAAAACAAAAAATGAATTTTTGAATTAAAAAATAGTTTTTGTTGTATTTAATAAAAATAAAGCACAAATAGAATAGAAAAATGAGAATTAAAAAAAAATAAATAAATAAAGAAATAATAATTCTCTTCAAAAATAGAATAAAAAAAAGAATTTAAAATTTTCAAAAAATTTCTTTTTTTAAAATACAAAAAATTTTCAAAATTAAAATAAAATTCTCCCACTTTCAATAAAAATTCATTTTGATTAAAAATTTCAAAAATTTATTTTCCATATACAATCAAAAAAAAAAAAAAAAAAAAAAAAAAAAAAAAAAAACGCAAGAAAAAAAAAACGTTCAAATTCTAACGTCGAATGATTAAAGAAGAATAGTACAAAAATCAATTCTTCATTTTTTTTTATATTAGATATATAATAGATATATAAATGTATATATTTTTTTTATACAAAGAATCGCGCGCGAAAAAAAAAATGATTAAAAATATTCTAATCAACATTTATATTAGCGGGAGATAAATTTTTTTTTTTTTAAATAAAATTAAAAAAAAAATTCACAAAATCAATAAATTCTCCCTTGGCAATAAAATAGAAAAGAAAGAAATAATAATAATAATAATAATAATAATAATGTTTTTCTCATAACCATTCAAACATCATTATTCTAACTTTACAACATTATCTAACATTCGTCTCATTTGAAACGTTTTTTTTTTTTTTTTTTTTTTTTTTTTAATATATATATATATAAACTGATCAAATACAATGAATTATGTGTGTAAGAAAATATTTTTCGTCAAACTAGCTGACATTAAATCTCCTACAAAAATTTCTCAAACTCCTTTCTCTCTATCTCTTTTTTTACATATTCTAATCGGAACGCATAATTATCACATATAAATGTAAAATTCAATTTTTCATTTTAGAGAATTTTTTTTCTTTTTTTTTTTTTTTTTTTGAATCCTTTTTTAAGACGAATTTTTATTCTTCAAATTAGCGTTTTGAAGAATTTGAAATTTTTTTTCTGAAATTTTTACATAACCGAATTTTTTTCCCTTTTTTTTTTTTTGAGAGAGGAATTTTTATTTTTCAAATTATTATTTGGGAGAATTTCAATTGTTTTACGTAATTTTCACCTAAACAAATTTTTATTTTTATTTACATTTTTTATTTTTCGAATTTTTGTGAATTTTTTTTTCTTTTTAAACAAATTTTCATCTAATCGGATTTTTTATTCTATTTATTTTTTTTTAAAGCGATTTTTAATTATTTTTTTTTTTTTTTTGGCATTTGAGAAATTTTTAAACGAATATTTATTTATTCAATTCTTTTTATACGAAATTTATTTTATTTTCTTTAATTTCAGCATTTGAGTAAAAATTAGTTTTTGCGAAAATTAATTCAAGTAAAAATTATTTTTAAGTAAAAATTACTTTTAAGTAAAAATTCGTTTTAGTAAAAATTCGTTTAAGTAAAAATTACTTTAAAATAAAAAATTCGTTTCAGTAAAAATTACTTTTAAGTAAAATTTCGTTTTAGTAAAAATTACTTTTAAGAAAAAATTCGCTTTAGTAAAAATTACTTTTAAGCAAAAATTCGTTTTAGTAAAAATGACTTTTAAATAAAAATTACTTTTATGTAAAAATTCGTTTAAGTAACAATTACTTTTAAATAAAAATTCGTTTAAGTAAAAATTAATTTTAAATAAATATTCGTTTTAGTAAAAATTAGTTAGAATAAAAATTACTTTTAAGAAAAAATTCGCTTTAGTAAAAATTTTCTTTAACTAAAAATTACTTAAAAAAAAAAAAAATTCGTTTAAGAAAAAATTCTTCCCGAAATACAAATTCTCAAAACTGAAAATTCCAACGATTTTTTATATGCAAAAATTGTGCGTCCCTTCTAATGGCAAAAAAAAAAAAATATATTTGAAAATTATAATAAAAATTCTGTCGATTGACATTCCAAAAAAAAAAAAAGAAAAAAAGTATTTTTCCCCTTTTCTTTAACTGTCGTATTTCTAAACATTAAACATATGTACAGATATCGACAAAATTATCTAATTACAAGTGACGGAAAAAAAAAAAATTACTATATATATATATATAAATATCGACAAAGTTTAATAAAAAAAAAAAAAAAAAAAAAAGAAAAAAAATTCAATATTACCTAATAATAATATTAATAATAATTAAAAATAATTAATAATAATAAAAATAATAATAATGATTACAAAAATAACTTGTACTTATTTCGCGGCAATGTCGAAAAGATCACAAAGACCTTCATTTTCTCCGAGATTAAATCGGTAATCACTTTCTCCAGGTGGTGGACTTAACCTCACCAAAGGACCGCAAACTGTTGGTAAAAAAAAAAAGAAAGAAAGAAAAAATTACAAATTATAATTTTGATTTATTTTTTTTATCTACATTTAAAAAAAAAAATAATTTAATTAAAATTTTTTATTTTAAAAAAGCCTAATAGAATTAAAATATTTTTTAAAAGATTGTAAAATAATATTTTCTATATTAAATAAAAAAAAATAAATAAATTGAGAAATTTTTATTAAATGTAAAAGAAAGTAGAAAAAGAAAAAAAATAGTTTTTCTATAATTTTTATTATTATTTATTTATTTATTTTCTAATTTTTTTTTTTTTTAATTTTTAAAGAAAAATTGAAAAGAAAAACTTACTGTCTGTGAAGAAATCATCGTCCTCGTAATCCTGTTGACTGTAACCTGTGAAAAAAACAAAAATGATAAAATTTGTTTTCTTTTTACTTTTTTTTTTTAAAAAAAATAAATGTCTCTTAATTTCAAAAAATTATGTATTTTGTAAAACTTTACTATTTTTTTTTTTTTTTTTTTTTTTTACAATTTGTAAATAAACATACCGGATAAATTGATGTCCCGCAAAATAATTTTTGCGTCCGTAATGTCCATATTATCGTCGTCTTCCTCTTCGTCCGACATAATTTCTGTTTTTGGAATTTTTGGCGGTCTAATTTTATAACAAAAAATTTAAATTAACCAATGAACAAAGAGAAAAAAGAAATAGATGAAGAAAATTTATAATTAGATAAATAGATTTAGAAAAAGAAAAAAAATACCAAGAGAAATAAATGGAATTAACAAAAAAAAAAAAAAAAAACTGTTTGATCTCTACCAAAAGGAAAATTCCAACTTCAAGAATTTCCTTCCCCGAGAGAGCAATTTTCTCTCCGCTTCGTGCAGACCGAAAGGGTTTATTTTTCCCATTCGGTGCGAAAGAAGCAGAAAATATAAAAAAAATTTTAATAATACAAAAAAAATTCATTTTTATTACATAAAATTAATATTATACAAAATATAATAAAATAAAAGAAAATAATAAAAGAAAAAAAGAAAAGAAAATAATAAAACAAAAAAATAAAATAATAAATTAGAACTATTAACTATTAGAATTTAGGAGTACTTTTGTACGAAAGGGCATGTCCCGTTAATAAATTGAAATTGAAAATTGAAATTGAAAATAAAAAAAGAAAATAATAAAACAAAAAATAAAAGTAAATAATAAAATAAAATAAAAAAAGAAAATAATAAAACAAAAAAATAAAATAAAATAAAAAAGAAAAGAAAATAATAAAATAAATAATTTATAAAAATTGAAAGCCATTTAAATTTATTCCTACTTTATAAAAATTGGAAAATTGAATTCGTAATTAATTAAAAAATTGAAAGTCATTAAAATTAATATAAATTTAAATAAATTCGTTGGTAATTTTAAAAATTAGAAAAAAAAATTCCTTTAATTATTATATTATTCCTTAAATTTCTTTTATTTTGTAATATTTTAAATTTAATTTTAAATATTAATGAAAAAAATATATTTATTATTTAAATATACCTTCCTGCTTTCCTTTTGTTTGGCTTGACATCATCTTTATTAAATTTATCCTCTATTTCAAATTCGTCTTTACTAAAATCATCAACGTCATCATCGTCGCATTTCACATTTTCTTGTAGTCTCATTTGAAGAAGATGTGTTTCATAATGATCAGCTAATTCGGGTTCAATTACAAGTACAGTAATTTCTCCCGATGAACTTTTTAATGACACTTCATAATTCACGTTTAAACTCTCGTTTACGTCCAACTTGAAAATAATTAAGCGAAAAATTAATTCTACAATTAAAAAAGGCAAAAAAAAAAAAATAAATAAATAAATAAATAATAATAAAATATAAATATAAAATAATAATAAATAAATAAAATAATAACAAAAAATAGAAAAGAAAAATAATGGAAAAATCTAATTATTTGAAATTATAATTCTTTTGTAATTTTATTTAAAAAAAAAATGAACATTTTCCAATTTTGTTCCGTTTATTTGGAAATAAATAAATGAAAAATTTATTCAAATTAAAAAATCACTTGAAAATTATTTATTGGTAAAATATTGAAATTAATTCAAAACTATAAATCAATTAAATATACTAGTAAATAAATAAAGTAAATTAATAAAAGTACAGAAATAATTAATAAAAAGAAATAGTTAATTAAGAAAATTAAATAAATAATTAATAAAAGTACATAAATAATTAATAAAAGTACAGAAATAGTTAATTATTAAAAGTACAGAAATAATTAATAAAAAGAAATAGTTAATTAATAAAATTAAATAAATAATTAATAAAAATATGTGAATAATTAATAAAAAAAAAAATAAATAAATAATGAAAAAAAAATAAATAAATACCGTTGAATGATTTGGAACGCTGAGTTCTGTATCCGTTGGTGCTTTAATTGCAACAATTAAATCATCATTATAAATTTCCTTTAAATCTTCATACGACATAAATCCAAACCTTTTATTCGTCGAATCAGTCTCGACATTTTTAATACTTTGCTTTATCCATTGTGTATGTTTATCTAATAATTTTTCATGATCCTCTAATAATTTTATTTCATCTTTTAAATCGGCAAGCTTCTCGGCAAGTTCTTTTGAATTGCATCCTGGTCCAGCACCCCTATTTAAAATTTATTTAATTTAATTTAATTTAATTTAATTTTTTCAAAGAAAAGGAGAAAAATAAAAAAAAAAAAAAAAAAATTAGAAATTAATAATTAATAAAAGGAAATAAAAGAAAAAAAATTAAAATTTCTTGAAACTTACTTCCATTGAATACTGTTTTTACTTTTTTTCTCAATAAGTCCAATTCCTTCTAAAACATTGGTTATATCGTAAATTCGCCGTTTTTGTCGTACTTCTAAAATATCCGCAGCCTAAAAATTATATTAAAAAAAATTAAATTAATTAAATTATAATTAAAATTAAATTAATTAAATTATAATTAAAATTAAATTAATTAAATTGTAATTAAAATTAAATTAATTAAATTGTAATTAAAATTAAATTAATTAAATTATAATTAAAATTATATTTTAAAATTAATTTAATTACATTTTTTTTTTAATTATGTAATTAATTCCATGGTAAATTTATTTATTATAATTTTTCAATTAATTATAAACTGGAAACAAAAAAAATGGTCAAAAAATGTTAAATAAGAAAAATAAAAAAAAAAAAATATTTACAGTAAAAGAAAAAAGTAATCAAAATTTAGGATATAAAAATAAAAAAAGCTAAATAATTTAAATAATAATAATAATAATAATAATAATAATAATAATAAAATAATAATAATTCCTAATAACAATAAAAATAATATAATAGAAATAAATTTCAGGAATAAATTCTGAATTATAATCAATAATAAATAATATTTATTTTTATTATATAAAATAAAAATACCCGTGTGGAAAAGTGATGTGGGCCCCCAGCGGGGGCCCTTATGGATCGCCCTCATGCCATGAGGGCCGCATATGGATGATCCATAGGGGCCCCTCATGGAAACGACATGCTCATCGATGAGGGCGCCCGCATGGGCGATCCATGAGGGTGCCCCTACGGGCGCCCTTATGGGCCCTCACGTTTGCCCTCATCTTGCCCTCAAGTTTGCCATAATGTTTTTTAATCAATAATATTAATAATAAAAGTTAATTAATAATAAATAAGCTTAAGTTATGAATAAATAACATATTTATTTAATAATTATTCAATTTTAAATTAAATTCTTACTCAAATTCAATTTATTAATTAACGTTCTAATTAATTAACTGTCGGATATAATTAAAAGTAATAATAAATTAATTAATTAAAAAATTAAAAAATATTTAATTTATGCATACTATTAACGGATATTTTCATTTTTCAATTAATTCATACATAGAATTAATGATTAAACGCAAACCTGAGAAATAAATAAATCTAACGCATGGGGGGAATCGAACCTACGACCTACGGACTATGAGTCTAACGCTTTACCAACTACGCTACGCACGCTACTTCAAAACGAATGCTAACTTCTTGATGCTATTTAAACTTGAAAAATACCTAACAAAGAAAAGTGCTTAACATCATTTAGTTAAAGTTAAGATATTAAATTATATTTTCCAATCAAATGCAATTTATAAAATATAATTAATTATATGCTTTATGATTATTATCATGAATCATCTCAGGTGAATTTTCAAAAAAGTGTAAATATATTTTTATTAAAAACGCGTTTTTCGTTGTTCTGAATCATTGGAAACATTCATTTTTTGTTGATAAAAAAATATTTGATTTTTGGACTTAGAAAATTTTGCTAATCGATCATGAGGGCGATCCATGCGGGCCCCTACGGTGGCCCTCATCTATTTTGCCATAAGTGTGAGTGTTATTTTCAAAAAAGTGTAAATATATTTTTATTAAAAACGCGTTTTTCGTTGTTCTGAATCATTATAAACATTAATTTTTTGGTGATAAAAAAATATTTGATTTTTGGACTTAGAAAATTTTGCTAATCGATCATGAGGGCGATCCATGCGGGGCCCCTCATGGATTTGCCATATGGATCAGCCCTCATGGGCCCCCGCCGGGGGCCCCGAACTCTTGAGGGCAAGATCGTGGCTTTTTCCACACGGGTAAGTAAAAAATTTTTTGAGTAATAATAATAGTAAAAATAATAATAATAATAATAATAATAATAATAAATAGGTAACTAAATAAATTATTATTATTATTATTATTATTATTTTTACTACGGCACATACAATAAAAATAACAAAAAAATTTAAAAAAAACGAAAATAAATAGAGAAAAAGTAGAAAATAAAGAAAAACAAAAAAGAAAAAAAAACCAAAAAAAATTTACGAATAATAATTTTTTTTTAAACAAAAATGCAATAAAATTAATAAAAAATAAAAAAAAAATTGAAAAATGAAAATTTTTGAATAAAAATGAAATAAAATTAATAGAAAACTAAAAAAATTGAAAAAAGAAAATTTTGTAACAGAAATAAAGAAAAATTAATGAAACTGTAAAAAAAAATTGAAAAAAGAAAATTTTGTAACAGAAATAAAAAAAAAAAATTAATGAAACTTTAAATAAAAATTTGGAAAATAAAAATTTTTTAACCGAAATGTAGTAAAAATTAATTAATAAAACACAAAAAAAAAACAGTAAAATATCGAAAAAGAAAAGAATATTAATTAAAAAAAAAAGCAAAAAAATTATCTAAATAAAAATATTGAAAAATATAAAAATTAATAAATTTAATAAATTAATAAAATTAATTAATAAAATTAATAAATAAAAAATAAATAAAAATATACAAAAAAATATAAAATAAATAAAAATAAAAATAAATAAATAAATAATAAATAAAAAAAATAAATAAAAAATATAAAATGAAAAACCAAAAAAGAAAAGCATCATTAAAATTCTCTCACAACGTAAATGTGAGGGAAACAATTTTTTCCATTTCCCTCGGAAATTTTCCTCTTTTTTCCAGTAAATAACAAAAATTTTCATTTTATTAATTAAATTTTTGTCAATTTCGCACAATGCAAACAAAAATTGTTTAGATTTAAAAAAAAGAACGTTTAAAAAAAAAAAATTGTTTATTTGCAAAATTTTGGTAAAAAAAAAAATTGTTTCGTTAAGAAAAAAAAAGAGGTAAACTTCCGGTTTGTTTCACCAAAATTTTCCTTCAATCAAAAAAATAAATAATTTCAAAAAAAAGAAAAATAAAAATAAAACCTACAGAGAAATTTGCATTGTTTTTCGCCTATAACAATTTTTAGGTTATGTTTCGTAAGTATTAATGGAAAATTTCTCCTCTTTGTTCCCCGGGTGAACGCAAAAGAGAACGTGGCGACTTTTTTTTTTTTTTTTATTTTTTTATTTTCAAACATTTATCATTAAAATCTAATCATGCATATATTAAATATTAAAATAACGAGCAAGTTAAAAAAAAAAACCCAAAATAAACGGTTTTTGGTGCAAGAACAAAACAAAAATTAGTTTTTTTTTTTTTTCTTTCAAAATTTCCCGCAGCAATATCATATATATGTATATAGATATAGAAATATATTTACCGCGCCCGCAGAGGGAAAATACACGCACACATTTATATATATATATATATATACAAACACACTCTATATATTTTGAGGTTATAATCGTCCGCGACGACGACGACGATATTATATACAACATACAACAAAAAAGCACGCACAATTCATGAACTCTCTCACCACTTTTAAATCCAATACTCCATCCTTTGCTTTTTGTAGAAGTGTAACGAAACGCGTTGTCAATAAACCCAATGATTTTTCAAATCGACTATGCTGATTATCTGCCATTTTCAATTTTTTTTTCCCCGTCGCCAAATCCTATTTGTTGCCGCCGTGATGGTCAAAAATTTTCGAAAAGCCTCCTTCTCACTTGCCCTTCGAAATTGCCGCACACAACGCACACACACGCCATTTGGTACATGCGACATCTGCGCGTTCATTTTTTGAAAATAACAAATTGTGCGCAATTTTAATATATTGCTATTTAATTTTTTTTTTCAAAAATTAAATTCCTTTTTCCCCAAATCATTAAAAAAATACTTTTTGTTTTTTATTTTTTTTCCACGATTATAAAAGAGTATTTCAAAATTTATTGCGGAGAAAATGAAAAAAAAATTGCATTTATTTCCATTGGAACCAAAAGGCTTGACATTTGATTGGTTGAACGATAAACTATTGCAATGTTGGGGGGCTTTGGCGGGAATTTTCAAAAAAAGAATTTCTTTCTTCTATCGTCGACAAAAAAATATTTTATTTTAAAATTTAATATATTTAGTGGGGCAAAAATTTTTTTTTTTTAAATACTAGAAATTTTAAAAATTTCTAGTTTACAATATCAATTAGTGAGAAAATTGATTTTTAATTTAATTTCAGGGTTTATGATTTTTTTTCCGATTATTATTCTGTGAAATAATTTTAACACGATTGTTTATGATAAGAAAACAATTTTACAAAGAAGGGGGAAAAATCAATATATGTAAATAATAAATTATAATGACCGCTTTGTGAATGAGATTTGATTGGTTGAAAGCGACCAATTATAGCCAAGCACAGCAGTGGCGGATTCATATTGATAAGAGCCCCCCCCCCCCACCTCTCAGTGAAGTAAGAAGAAATAAATTTTTTTCTTAAATTTCAAAATTAACATTTTATTTTTTTCTAACTTTAAAAAATTAATATTTTTAATGTTTCGAAATAGAAAAATATTATTTTGTTAATAAAAAACTTAAAAAAAAAAAATTGTATAGTATTTTGAAAATCTAAAAAGCAAAATAACGGAAAAGAATGGCAGTTTGCATGAAACTTGTTAAGCTATTTTCACAATGGAAGATCCGTATGTTAAGGCCTAAAGGCGAACGTAATTAGTTTCCATTGTCGCCACTGGTGATTTGTCATAATTCTCGTCAACTACCGCACCCTGCTCTAGTAAACATTTAGTAACTTTTAATTTTAACAGTAAAGTCACTTTTTTTACTAGAGCAGGGTGCGGTAGCTGACGAGAATTATGACGAATAACGAGTGGGGATAATGGAAACCAATCACGTGAAGCATGCGTTAGAAAAGGACAGAGATATATTTTTGTCCTTTTCTATCTCGTTCGCGAAGCTATTGTGCATTGGCCTTAAGTAGAATACCTTCGCGAAAGCCAAAAATGAGTTAGAAAAAGATATATATTTCTTTCTGTCTTTTTCTATCTCATGGAAATGATTACTTTAGCAACGGTTAAGGCCAATGCACAATAAAAAGCAAGTGGAACGAAAAGCTGCCATTGTCCCCACTCGTACATTGTTAAAATTCTCGTTAACTACCGCACCCTGCTCTAGTAAAAATTTAGTGACTTTATTGTTAAAATTAAAAGTTACTATATTTTCACCAGAGCAGGGTGCGGTAGTTGGCGAGAATTATAATACCTTTCTCTATTCTGCATTAGGCTGTGTTTACATTACTAAGTTCAAACGCAGCGTTTTACGTTGAATAAAGGTACATTCACAACTTAACGTGACTTTAAAATAAAACTATATAATTAAAATAATTAGAAAATTAATTCATTTTGTAAAGAGGTTAAAAATAAAAATTCCACTTATAAGTGCGCAAATTTTTTTTTTTTTTTTTTTAATTTCATAAATAAATAATATAAAATGTTTTCATAACATTTACAACTTACCAAACATGTTCCACTTTTTAAGGTTATGGCATCTCAATATATTCCCAATTATTCATTATACTCATAATCAATTAATTTATTTTACAATAATTAATAATACTTTAAAATATTCATAATGTGGTGTTTTTCATTAATTTAATATTTGTTTTTATCAAAAATCGTAAATAAAATCAAATAATAATTTTTAATTTTCGTTTTATTTAAATATTGCGCAAGGCAGCAGAGCTGTGACTACACTCAAGGTCATTTTCTTTTTTTTTCTGTCCTTTTCTAACGCACGTGTTGATTCAAGGTCATTGATGCCTTCCCTTTTTCCGTCCTTTTCTAACGCTCGTGTTGTCATGGCAACACGTTCATTAGAAAAGGAGAGAAAAAGGAAAGGCATCAATGACCTTGAATCGACACGTGCGTTAGAAAAGGACAGAAAAAAAGGAAGGCACGAGTTACCATAACAACACGAGCGTTAGAAAAGGACAGAATAAGGGTTGGCATCAAAAACCAAGAAAGGAATTAGTAAATCAGAAATAAAACTCATATTTTTCTATATTATTATTACATAATATATATATATTAAGTGCATCATGTACATAACCTAAAATTACAAAAAAAAAAACCCCAATCAAGCATAACTTATAAAAACAAAATACGCTGAAAAATGAAAATACCTAGCAAAAATTGAAATTCCTATAATTTTATACAACAGAAAACAAATTATATCCCAGAAAAAATTTTGGTGTTTTTTTTTCTCCCTCAAGTGGGAAAATTAAATTCATTCGTTGATGTTGTTGCATCAGGACTTGGACTCGAACTCGCTGAACTTAATGTCTCTTCCTTAAGTTTTAAACTTTGATCCTTATTATTATTTTCCTTTATTGTTTTCTCCTTATTGCTCTTCTCCTTTTTCTCCTTATCCTTACCATGTTTATGATCATGTTTATGCTTATGTTTATGTTTATGCTTCTTTTTATCCTTCTTCTTTTTCTTTCCCTTTGTATTGGTGGTGGTATCCGTTTTCTTATGTTCTTGCTGCTGCTGCTGCTGTTGTTGTTGTTGTTGTTGTTGTTGTTGCTCCTCTTTATTTTTAAACATACCCGGTTCAAATCCAATAGGTCCCTGAGTCTCCGTTATACCCGGTAATGATGCCGAATTATCACTATAAAATTCCTTTACCTTACCATCGAGGGGCAATTCTTTTGTTTCACTATCATTATTAATTTTCATTCGTTTTGCTTCGGGTTCGATAATAATTTCCTTTTCCGGCGATGCTTTTCTTTTATTACCAACATCAATCTCTTGGATTTCGGTTTTTACTTCGGTTTTAATTTCCCGTTCGGGTGTAACTTTTTTCGGCTTAAACAACATTTCGAGTTCCTTGATGGGAAGACAGAGGGGTCGTTTTGATCCATAGAGAGTGTAATAGAAATCAACCCAATCACAACGGAGTTTTGCATCATGGGATAATTCATTATTAATGAGACTCCAGAGGGTTTCGACTAAATCGGGTTTATCCAATGCATGTTTATGAGCTCGTTCAAATGGTGGATTCTCCACTAAAAGACGTACTAAACGATGACGAACACCGGGATGTTTATCATTTTTTGCAATGTTTAACAAAAATTGCAGATCCTCCCATTTGCCATCGACTTTTGTAAAGTCTACCAAAGCCTCAAGAGCGGCGAAACGAATATCGAGAAATTGACCATAAGTTGCGTAGGCACGAAATATATGTGGATTACTGGGTAGATGACCGTATTTTTGTAGGATTCGAATAACTTTTAAACATGCCACACTAACCGTGTATTTATAGCAAGGAAGTAATTTCTCAAGATTTAAATGACGTGTCACTTCTTCTAAAATTGCTTTTGTATCTATTGACAATGATTCCGCGGTTATTGCAGTTTGAACACTGATGACTGGTGTCACTGTAGCACCCAGGGCTTCTATTAAAGCGGCACGATAATAATTATCCGAATATCTATTCTTTGAATTATCATTATACTTGAACAAATCCATCAAAAAAGACAATACTTCCGGAGGACAAATCCCGTGGGCATTACGTAAACCCGCCATTGCAACCGGAATGGTTTTCTGTAGGAAATAATGTTGAAAATTTTGAAAATTATTCTGCTTTATAATTCGACGACATGAAGCTGAGCCAAAAAGTTTTCTAAATATTGCCAACATTGCTGGAGGACCTGCCCATGTGGCTACCATTGCATTAGCAACTTTTGTCAAACAATGAGCGGCACGAAGACGAACTTTATAGTAGCAATGCTCATTTTCAATGGTATCAGTCAAGGCTAGCCTTGTAGCTGGTGTTGAATGATTCTGTAAAGCTGCAATAGCTTCCGTTTGCGCTGTAACATCCCTCTCATGACGTAATTGATATTGCCATTGATAATCCGGTTGTTCTATCTGTACAGCTCTGAGAAGTGTCATATCGGGATCTAAACGTATCCAAAGTACCGGCGAATCATCCATAGCTGATAAATCCATATCGACCTCTTCACCCGTACAGAGGGGAATTTTTTTCTTTTTATTTCGTCTACTCTTACTGTGACAGGTAATATCAGCTTTGGCAACAGTTCCCTCAATTTGTAACGTATGCTTAAAGGGTCCATCGAGCTCTTGAATATTAACTAAAAGTGGACCAACGTATTTTCTAATTCCATGCTGATGGGTCGTATCCTGCCTAATCTCCAATTCGACAGTATTTCGTTTCCGATTGAATACAAAACTGAGATTAAATTTCGCATGTCCACCGGTACGTACCCATTGATCAATAAACACTGCCATGTCTTTGCCAGTGACGGTGAAAATTGCTTTTGTAAATACATTTGTACTGATGAGCATATGTGACCAAAGGCCAGAATCAATACGCTGTTGTGCGGCATTAGCCGCTAGGGATAATTGTTTATTGAACACTTGTAAAAGAAGTTCTTGACCGATACGATGCTCCAACATTCGTATAACAAGATGTGCTTTCTTTCTTAAAACTTCCAAATATTTCGGTGACATTGTATGAAGATTACGAATGGGAAAATAAAAACCCGGATCGGGTGGCGAACGAACTTGGGGAATTGGAGCATTACCAGCGATTGGAAGTGGTGCCGGTGGTTGGGATGGATCGAGAATAATTCCACCGAATTGCTCCTCATATTTAACGACTTCCATCAATTCGGATTGTATCCAATCTCTGTATTCGTTATTGCCAAAGCATTTTTTAGCATATAAACCCGTTAAATAGGTGCTTATTCCTTTTGGTAACCAAGTGTCGGACCAATTTTGCATTGAAATAAAACAACCAAAAAATTGTTCAGCAATTGCTTGGGCCATTGCGCGTTTTGTTAGATAAACCTGATCGATTATTGGCGATGAATGAAGAAGATTTGTATTGAGAATACTCATTGTTGCATAGGCACTAATATCCTTATCGAGTTCATCGACAAATACTTGTTTATAACAGGAATAGGGATAACGATTCGACAAAGTCTCTTCGTAAAATTCAAAAGCTTCGTGAACATATTTTGCTGATACTTTTAACGATGGTAATAATTGTGGTAGGCAAAAATGTGCAACCTCATGCATATTTGGATCGACATAAACATCAAATGGACCAACAGCCATGGCAATATTTGGTGAACTAGCCGGTGTATTTAGAACATAATGATAGGTTTTACGACGCATATCGGGCGTATAAATTGTCTCAACTAAATCACCGCATGAAATTGCAATCATTGATACATCAACGGTAAATTCAAGTTTCCATGTGCATGGTTCGGCAAATGAATCAACACATGGAAACCAAAGACGCGAGGAATTTTCATAGCTATAGGTGTACATATGTGAACCACGTTCAGCGTGTGTTCGTGTGTCTTGATCATTTTTTTTCGGTACTAATGCAAAATGAATACCACCTTGTGGTTTTTCAAGGGAAAATTCAATACCAATACGTAATGGACGTCCTTCGGCAATAAAATGTGCTGCATGCGGTGGCACTTGAATCATTAATTCACCGGCATTGTTGTCTGGATCGACTTTTTGTGCCGCTGCAAGATGTTGCTTTGAAAATGCCTCCAATGAGCGTCTGGAAATTTTTTTTTTTTTTTCCTTAAAATTTTTACTCCTAAATTAGCAGGCCTCGAAAATTATGTTGCGTACAAAAAAAAAAATACTAGTGATCTTTAACGTATTTTTAATTATTTAAATTCAAAATTTTTTTCTTTTTTTTTTAATAACAAAATTATAAAAATCATTTTTTTGTGATAGAAAAGAATACTAGGATTTGTGGAATTTTAATAGAATTTAGAGAATTTAAGTATTTATGATGATATTTAACGAAATGGAGCTAAAAATTAAAAAAACTTTATAGGTTATGTTTATGATTGTTTTATGTATATTAAAAATTCATTTTAAAATTTTTATACCTATTGATAAAATCAATTTCTACGGAATATTTTTGATAAAAAGAAGAATTAAACATTAATTGTTTATTGAAAGCTATTTTTTCTTATTTTTACGACAGAAACTATCATAAACATAACCTATTATTATTCTTATTTTCAAAAAAAAACCATGATTTTTTAATAAATTTATATCGAATTCAAGTATTTGTAACGATTTTTAACGAAATGAAGCTAAAAATTAAAAAATTTATAGGTTATGTTTATGATCGTTTTATGTACCTTTATTAAAAATCCATTTTTAAATTTTTTACCTATAAAATCAATTTCTGAGGAATATTTTTGATAAAAAGAAGAATTAAACATTAATTGTTTATTGAAAGCTATTTTTTGTATTTTCACGAAAGAAACTATCATAAACATAACCTATTACTATTCTCTTTTTTTCAAAAAAAAGCCATGATTTTTTTATATAGAATTCAAGTATTTGTGACGCTCTTTAACGAAATGGAGCTAAAAATGAAAAAAAATTATAGGTTAGGTTTATGATCGTTTTATGTACCTTTATTAAAAATTCATTTTTGAATTATTTACCTATAAAATCAATTTCTGAGGAATATTTTTAATAAAAAAGGAATTAAACATCAATTATTTTGTTTAAGCTATTTTTTCTTATTTTTACGATAGAAACTGTCATAAACATAACCTAAGTATTATTATTCTTTTTTTCAAAAAAAAACCATGATTTTTTAATAAAATATAGAATTTAAATATTTGTGACGCTTTCTATAACGAAATGGAGCTAAAAATGAAAAAAAATTTGTAGGTTATGTTTATGATCGTTTTATGCATTAAAAATTAATTTATTAATTTTTATATCTATTGGTAAAATCAATTTTGTACGGAATATTTTTAATAAATAGAAGAATTAAATATCAATTGATTATTGAAAGCGGTTTTTTTTTTGATTTTTATGATAGAAACTATCATAAACATAACCTATTACTATTCTTTTTTTGCTAAAAAAAATCATGGATTTTTAATAAATTTATATAGAATTCAATTATTTGTAACGATTTTTAACGAAATGGAGCTAAAAATTGAAAAATTTATAGGTTATGTTTATGATCGTTTTATGTACCTTTATTAAAAATTCATTTTTGAATTATATACCTATAAAATCAATTTCTATGGAATATTTTTGATAAAAGGAGGAATTAAACATTAATTGTTTTGTTTTAGCTATTTTTCGAATTTTACGATAAAAACTATCATAAACATAACCTATTATTATTCTTTTTTTTAAAAAAAAGCCATGATTTTTTTTATATAGAATTCAAGTATTTGTGACGCTCTTTAACGAAATGGAGCTAAAAATGAAAAAAAAATTATAGGTTATGTTTATGATCGTTTTATAAATCTTGATAGAAAAAAAAACAAATTTTTGAATTATGGATAAAATCAACATAAGTTTCTATGGAATATTTTTGATGCAATTTTTTCTTTATTCGAAGTTAATTCTTTTTTTTTTTATTTTTTTTTTTGTATTTTTACGATACAAAATATCATAAACATAACCTGTTATTTTTTTTGCTTCTTGGGTCTTTTTTTTTGTAGAGCGCGTCATATTTATATATTTTTTCCATTAAAATTCTTCGAAAATTATAAAGCAATTTTTAATTAGTTTAAAATTAAAATATTGTAATTAAAAATTTTTCAAACATTAAATTGTATTCAGTAATATTAATTAAATAAAAATAATTAAATTGTTTAATAAAAATAAAAAGAATTGAATTAAAATTGAAATAATGACAAAAATTTTTAATTGCAACTCTTTCAAAATTTGAATTATTTCCATTATTATTATAATTATTTTAAATTACATAAAGAAATTATTAAAACTCTTTGCAAATTTTATCAATTGCAAAAAAATTTAAAAATAACTTTTTTTTTATAATTTAGTTATTTAAATAAATTTTTAAATTAAAATTAATTTTTCTTTTAACAATTCTTAGTGAATTAAAATTAATAGTTCAATTCACTAAGAATTTAATTATTTCTAAAAAAAGTAGTATTATATTTTTCAAAATTTTAATTCTTACTATTTTTTTATTATTATTATTACTATTTTTATTATTATTATTATTATTATTTTATTATTATAAATATTATTATAAATATTATTATAAATATTATTATAAATATTATACAATTATGTACAAAGTTCGAGGCCTGTAATATTTTTTTTTTTTTTTTTTTTGAAGTTAAAAACAAAAATTTTTTACTTTTCGTATTTTTGAAAATTACTTTCGCAATTCCTTTTCTTAGAATCAAAGGAATAAAAAGAAAATTTTTTATTTTATTGAAAATTGTTTTATAAATAAAATAAAAATTTGAATTATAAAATTTTTTTTTTTTTCTTTATTTTACTTTTAGTGTTTTATTTAATTTCTTATTTTTAATTTTTCCAGTTTCTTTTAATTATTTTTTCTCTCTTTTCTTGGTAATTAAAATTTTTATATAGAAATTTATTTCTTATATTTTCAATTATTTAAATAAAAAAAATTAATTTTTTTTATACTCACTGTTCGATGTCGCCTTGACAAATATCAAGGAATGGATCGAAATATTGAAATGGAGCTTCCACAGTGTCGTTGAGTGAGACACGATAAATTCTGCATTGTTTTGCATTTACTCGAATAGATCGTAATGTGTCTTTCAATGGAATTATTGTCAGTTCAACAAAACCCTGTTTAAAAAAAAAAAAAAAAAAAAAAAAAAAAAAATTGTTTTTTAATTATTATTGTAAAATAAATTATTATAAATGTTTGAATTAAGAATTTTCAATAAATAATTATTTTATTTTTCAAAACAATTTGAAATAAATTTTAAAATTTTAAATTATTAATATTTAATATAAATTAATTATTAATTTCAATGATTGATTTTGAAAAATTGTAATTAATAAAAATTTTAATTATTTTCTTTCAATTTATTTTCATTCTTTTTTTTTTTTTTTTTTATTTTAAAAAATTTGATAAAAATTTGTTAATTTCAATGACTAATAATACTAATTAAACTAATTGGTGATAATAATTTAATTTTTAAATAATTTTTTATTTCAATGCTCAATTTTCAAAAATTGGAATTAATTAAGAAATTTTTCAATTTACTTTCAATGAATAATAATTTTATTTTATTTCAATGATTAATTATTATTATTGAAAATTGATATTATAAGAAATTTTAAATATTTGCTTTTAAATAAAAAATAAATTTATTTTATTATTTTAAACGATTTAAAATAAATTGTTAATTTCAATTATTAATGTTTGTTAATTTAAATTATTTTATTTTACATTCAATGATGATTGATTAGTAAAAATTAGAATAAAGAAATTTTTAATATTTTTTTTTTTTCAATAACTAATAATTTTATTTTTATTATTTTAAACAATTTGAAATAAATGTTTGTTTTGAAAAATTGTTTTTGCTTTAATTTGATAATTGAAAGTTATTAAACAATTTAAATAATTGAAATTTTTCAAAATATTGAAATTAACTAATAAAATTGAAATCTTAATTTTGAAATATTAATTTTAAAATATTAATTTCAATTATTGCTTACAATAAATTTCAATTAATTTTTTTTCAATAATTTAAATTAATAGTTAATTTTTATTTTATATTTCAATAAATAATATTAATTAATAAAATTTAAATTATTATTATAGTTATTAAATATTATTATTTAATTATTAATGTTAATTTAATTATTATTATTTATTGATTTATTATTATTAATCATTATTAATTATTATTTATTAATTTATTAATTATTAATTGAATTTTCAATAATTTGAATTTAAAAGCATCTAAAATTTAATTATTTCTAAAATTTTCCATCCAAAATTTTTTTTTTAAATTTCAAATGAAATTTTGGAAATTAATTAAATTTCAATTGATTTTGAATTGAAACTTTGGAAAATAATTGGATAATAAATTGATTTTGAATTGAATTTTTTGAAAATAATTGAATTTCAGTTGGTTCTGAATTGAAATTTTGGAAAATAATTGAATTTTAGTTAATTATGAATTAAAAATTTTTTTAATAATTTAATTTCAATTGAAATTTTGGAAATAATAAAATTTTCGAAGTTTTTAAATTGAAAGTTTTAAAAATAATTGAATTTTAATTATTTTTAAACAGAAATTTTTAAAAATAATTGAATTTTAGTTGATTTTGAATTAAATTTTAAAAATAATTTAGTTTCAATTGAAATTTTGGAAAATAATTGAATTTCAGTTGATTTTGAATTGAAATTTTGGAAAATAATTGGATAATAAATTGATTTTGAATTGAATTTTTTGAAAATAATTGAATTTCAGTTGGTTTTGAATTGAAATTTTGGAAAATAATTGACTTTTAGTTAATTTTGAAAATTATTTCATTTCAATTGAAATTTTGGAAAATAATTGTAATTTAGTTGATTTTGAATTAAAAATTTTTTAAATAATTTAATTTGAATTGAAATTTTGGAAATAATAAAATTTTCGAAGTTTTTAAATTGAAAGTTTTAAAAATAATTGAATTTTAATTATTTTTAAACAGAAATTTTTAAAAATAATTGAATTTTAGTTGATTTTGAATTAAATTTTAAAAATAATTTAATTTCAATTGAAATTTTGGAAAATAATTGAATTTCAGTTGATTTTGAATTGAAATTTTGGAAAATAATCGAATTTTAGTTAATTTTGAAAATAATTTAATTTCAATTGAAATTTTTCAAAATAATTTAAATTAATAGTTAATTTTTATTTTATATTTCAATAAATAATATTAATTAATAAAATTCAAATTATTATTATTATAGTTATTAAATATTATTAATTAATTATTTATTATATTATTTATTTAATTTAATTATTATTCTTATTTAATTATTTATTTTAAAAATTATTTATCAAATTTTTAATTTAAATTTCATTAATTATTATAATTCACAATTGTATTAAATAAATAAATAAATAAATAATTTATAATTTTGAATTTTATTACCGTTAAATTATTTATTATTATTAATTTTTGAAAATTGAAATAATTTATTCATTTTTGATAAAAATAATTGAATTTTAATAATAAAAAGAAATTCGAAATATTAATTTTAATTCTTATATTAAAAAAAAAAAGATTTATTATTATTTATTTATAATTTATCAAAGAAATAAAAAAAAGAAAAATCGACGATAAAAAAAAATTAATACTCACAATAATGCTTCGCCTATCGAAATTGATTCCCGTTAAACTCAAAATTTGATGAGCTGTAAAGAAATTTTTTTTTTTTTTCGTTAAAAATACAATATTTATTTTTAAAATTGAACATTTTTCTATTTTTATAAAAAAAAAATATTTAAAAATATTAAAAATAAATTCGATTGTATAAAAACACAAATTTTATTTGTTTTTACCATTTAAATTTTCAAATAATTAATTTTATTTTTTTCAATAATACAAAAAAAAGAGAAACAAATAATAAAATTTTCAATTAAAAAGAATTTCATTTTTTTCCCCCGAAATTACTTAATAAAAATAGTTTCTTCAAATTTATATTATAATATTTGTTTGTCAACAATTTTTTTTTTCTACAACATAACCTTAAATTTTACGAATTATTATATATATTCAATTATATTTATTGGGAATTAGATTTAAAAAAAATACTTATAATTTATAAGGGCGACTATTGTCGGCTGTTTTCTCCTTCTTCATGATGTTTGTTTTTTTTTTAATTTACAATTTTTCACAGGAAAATCATAGTTTTCTTTTTTTTTGACATATTTGCGACTCCATTTGCGTTCGCAACTATATATATATATATGCTGGCGATGTTTGATGTCAACATAACCTCAAATCTTAGAAAACAATTGCGCACGCGCGCATTAATATATATAGAGGAGAGAAAATTTTTACGAGAGGTTGCGATTGTGAATTTTGTTAAAATTTGTTGTTTAATTAAATAAATATCAATAAGAACAAAATTAAAATTCAATTTTTTCTGTTAGTTTAATATTAATCAGTACAATATGGCTGCGTGAGTATTATTTGAATTTTTTCTATATTAAATACAAAGAGAAAAATTTTCTGTTTATCATATCGAGAGAGAATTTTTCGTTGTCAAAAAAAAAAAAAAAAAACGAATTCTAGAATCATTTTCAGGGTCATTAAAATATAAAAATATTTATTATTTACTAATTTTGTTTATCAAAAATATTATTTTGACGATAATCTTTTTTTTTCGATGTTTAATTAATACTTTTTTTTTTTTAATTTATTCTGACATTGAAATTATTTTCACGTAAGAAATAATAATGCTATACGTGAATTTTTACGAAGAAAAAAAAAAATTTTTGTAAACAAATAATAAATTATATTTATTTAATTTTAATTGAAATTTAATTAAAAATTTTATTTAATCTTGTGTTTATAATTATTTAAATTTAACAAATTTTTTTTCCATATAAATAATAATATAAATATTTATTAAAATATTGCAAAAAAAATAAATAAATAAAATAAACGAAATTATTATTGAAAATTTGTAAAATTGTAATTTTTTTTTTTTTTACCCTTATTATAGAAGTGAGGATAAAATTCCGGAAGTCGTTGCTGAATTAGAAAGGCTAACAGTTAAAGGAAAAAGAGTTTTACGAAAACGACTTCATACTGAGAGTGACAAACGAAGGTTAAGAAAAAAAATAATTTAAAATTTAAAAAAATAATTTTAATTTTTTTTTTTATATTTAATTGAAATTATTTAATAACTAGCAAAAAATTAAACGCGCGCAGACGCGCCAAATTGAGTATTTAATTGTTTGTTATAAAGAAATTAAAAATTAATATTATCAAATAATAATTTAATTTATTAGAATATTATTACATATTAAATGATAATAATGAAAATTATATATGTTTACAGGCCTCGGATTATACGACTTTTTCCGACTTTTTTCAAAAAAAATACGACTTTTATCGACTTATTTTAATAAAATGCGACATTTTTTTTTTTACATTTGAAAAAAAATGTAAATAAAATACATTTTTTTAGTATAAAATTTATATCTTCTTCAGATCTTCTTCAATTCAATTATTTAACAAAATTTTCAACTAAAATGATTCTTCACTAAATTAATTATTTTTAATAATTTTAATTAAATAATTAAATTCAATTATTTTAAACTATTTTTCAATTAAAATTTTTATGAAATTTAATAATTGTTTATATAATTTAAAAAAAAAATTAACAAATATAATTTTCAAAAAATTTTTAATTCAAAATCACTTGAAATTTTAATATTTGAAAAAAAATTTCAATTATTTTTAATTATTTTTATAATTTCAATTGAAATGAAATAATTTTCAAAATCAACTAAAATTCAATTATTTTCCAAAATTTCAATTCAAAATCAACTGAAATTCAAAAATTTTCAAAATTAACTAAAATTAAATTATTTTTAAAATTTTCAATTCAAAATCAACTAAAATTCAATTATTTTTAAAACTTTCAATTTAAAAACATCGAAAATTTTATTATTTATAAAATTTTAATTGTAATTAAATTATTTTCAAAATTTTCAATTTAAAATCAATTAAATTACAATTATCCAAAATTTCAATTCAAAACCAACTGAAATTCAATTATTTTCAAAAATTTCAATTCAAAATCAACTAAAATTCAATTATTTTTCAAAATTTCAATTCAAAATTAATTAAAATTCAATTATTTTCAAAAATTTCAATTTAAATGTTCTGAAAATTTAATTATTTATAAAATTTTAATTGTAATTAAATTATATTGAAAATTTTCAATTTAAATTCAACTAAAAATTCAATTTTTTTTCAAAAATTGCAAAAAAAAGCTTCTAAAATTTAATTATTTCCAAAAATGTTCCATCTAAAATTTGTTGATATTTAATAATGTCAATTATAACTCTCCTGAAATTCAATTAATTTTGAATTATTTTTATAATAAATTGTTTTCGAAAATTCTTCTGAAACGATTTTTGTATTTAAAAATGGTTTTCAAATTATTGTATTTTTATCTGTAATTTCTAATAAATTTTTTTTAGTGAAATCATCAACAAAATTTTAAATTAAAAATCACTTGAAGTTCAAATTAATTTCAAAAATCAAAATTGTAAATCTTTGAAAATTCGAATAACATTTAAAAAATATATTATCTAAAATTATTTGAAAAAAATTTATTTTTAGTTCTGTAAAATTTAATTATTTTCTGAAAATTAACAAAAATCTTTTTGAAATTCAATTATTTCTAAAAGAAAAATTTCAACTTTAAATCTTCCCAAAATTATTATTTGAAAAAAATTTTTATTTAAAAATCTGTAAAACTTGATTAAGTATTGTATGAAATTTTGTTGACCATCAAAAGTAAAAAAACTATGACAAAATTTTTTAATTCTAATAAATTTCTTAAATTAGACTTGAAAAAATTATGGAAATGGAAATTTAAGAATTATTTTTCGGAAATTTGTTATATTTAAATAAAAACTTTGAAAATTTGTCTATTAGTTCGATTATGAAATAGAAATAAATTTTCTTGATAATATTTATTATAAAATAATTCTCATTAGAGAATTAATAAAATGAATTAAATATCTAATAAAATTAGTTATTTAAAGTAAAATATTTATTAAAATAATTAAAATTTTTTGTCCGTTTTTTACAAATTCGTATTAAAATTTTTAAAAATTGTATTTTTCACTGAATTAAACTTAAATTTTTAAAAATAATTGAAATTTTAGTTAATTTTAAATAGAAAATTTTGAAAATAATTGAATTTTAATGGAAAATTTTCTAAATAAATGAATTTCAATTGAAATTTTTGAATTTCAGTTTATTTTGAATTGAAATTTTTGAAAATAATTGAATTTTTGTTTATTTTGAATTAAATGCTTGGAAAATAATTGAATTTTAGTTGATTTTGAATTGAAATTTCAATACAGATAGTTGAATTTTCCGAAGAATATATTAAAAATAATTGAATTTCAGGAGAGTTATAATTGGAATTATTAAATTTCAAAAAATTTGAGATGCGAAATTTTAGAAATAATTAAATTTTAGATGCTTTTAAATTCAAATTATTGAAAATTCAATTAATTTTGAATTCAAATTTATTGAGAATAATGAAATTTTATTTGATTTTAAATTTAGAAAATAATTGAATTTTAGTTCATTTTGAATTGAAAATTTTGGGAAATAATTGAATTTTAATTAAAATTTTGGATAATAATTTAATTGAAATTCATTTTTCATTGAAAATTTAAATAATTAATTTTAAATAGAAATTTTAGAAAATAATCGAATTTTATTTCATCTTAAATTGAAAACTTGGTAAATAATTAAATTTTAAATTGAAAATTTTTGATAATTATTGGATTTTTAATTGATTTTGAATTAAAATTTCGGGTAATAATGTTTATTTTGAATTGAAATTTTTAAAAAATAATTCAATTTTATTGTGACATTTTTTTTTTTTTAATTATAAACAATTATTAAATTTCATAAAAATTTTAATTGAAAAATAGTTTAAAATAATTGAATTTAATTATTTAATTAAAATTATTAAAAATAATTAATTTAGTGAAGAATCATTTTAGTTGAAAATTTGTTAAATAATTGAATTGAAGAAGATCTGAAGAAGATATAAATTTTATACTAAAAAAATGTATTTTATTTACATTTTTTTTCAAATGTAAAAAAAAAAAATGTCGCATTTTATTAAAATAAGTCGATAAAAGTCGTATTTTTGAAAAAAAAAAAGTCGGAAAAAGTCGTATAATCCGAGGCCTGTAAACATATATAATTTTCATTATTATCATTTAATATGTAATAATATTCTAATAAATTAAATTATTATTTGATAATATTAATCTTTAATTTCTTTATTTCTTTTTTGTAAAAAAAAAAAAAAAAAAAATGAAAAAATAAAGTCGAAAAAATTTGCATTTTATTAAAATAACTTGAAAAAAGTCCTATAATCCGAGATCTGTATTTGTTTATATAAATATAATTTACATATATAGAATTGTTTTTTCTTTTTTTTTTGAAAAAAAATTTTTTTTTCTTCAGATGCCGATTCAAGCCATTGAAACGTAAATTCAGCGAAATGGAGAACGAAGAAGATGCGCGCTCATTTTATTTAGATAAATCAGTGAAAGAATCGCCACATACATTGGAAACAATTTATGAAGAAAAAGAACAAAATTCAGTTGATGGAACAAGTGAAAAACCACAAATGAGCGTAAAACGTTTTAAACGTATGATTAATTTTCATAGAAAATTAAATGACAATGGAAAACAAAAGAAACGACGTTTAAAAATAAAAAGAGAATTTGGAACAAAATTAGCGAAACCACATTATCGTCGTATGGAATTGAAAGATGTACTCAAACGATTAGAATTAATTCATTCAAATTCGACAATGGACGCTGAACATAATGAGTGATTAACGAATTTTTTCTTCTTTTTTTTTTTTTTTTTAAAAAAAAATAATAATATAGTATTTTTAATTTAATTTTTCAAAATGTGATCTTTGTTTTTTTTTTTATTTTAACTTTTTTTTTTGGTATTAATATTTAATTTTGAAAGAATATAAATTTGAAGAAAAGATTCAGTTTTGCGGGCAAAAGAGAAAGAATGAACGAGAAAGAGAGAGAGAGAGAGAGAGAGAGAGAGAAAAAAGAGAAAAATAGAGTGAGTGAAATTTACGTCTAGCAATATGTAAAATAAAACTGTTTAGTAATTTTTTTCTAAGATAAAAAATCGCTTTTTTACTATTTCTACCTTTTTTTTTTTTTGCTTTTAATACATTTTCTTTTTAATTTTTATTTTCAATTCGGGAATTTTTTTTACAGAATTTTAACATTTTTTTTTAATTATTTTCAATTCGGGAATTTTTTTTAAACAGAATTTTAGAGTTTATTTTTTTTTTTAACTTTTTTTATTTTGGATACGGAAATTTTTTTTTCTTTTTTTAAAAAATTTTTTTTTATTATTAAAAAGCTGGTTTTGCAGTTTTGAAAAGACATTTTTACGCCAATTGGACACAACTACAAAATTTTTTCTTTAGAATATTATGACTTCTTTTTATATTTATATTTTTAAAATACAAAATTTTCTTTTTTTTTGTAAAATAAAATAGATTATTTTTATTATTTTTCTTATTTTCGTTGTAATTCCTTTTTTAAAAAAAAAGGAATTTTTGAATCTTTTTATTCCATTTTTTTTATAAAGAAATTTTAACATATTTATTGATAAGTAAATGGAATAATTAAATTAATATTATGTATTATAAAAATATTTTTTCTTTTAAATGGACGGCATTTTTTTCTGCTTTTTTTTGGGGGGGGGGGGCGAAATTATCAATTATCGAGAATTATTTGACAGGATGTAGAATTAGGTGGGCATTTTTCGAATTTTCGAAAATTTGCCATATTCTCCTTAAATTCACGACTTTCAAGATTCACGCAGGCACAGCGGTGTTGTTTTGATGATGGATTTTCAAAATACATTCTCGGCACTCCGCTCCATTCGCGATGAATTCCTCCACTGAAAAAAGAGAATTTTTTTTTTTTTTTTGATATTTTTATTATAATTAAATAATTTAAAATTAAATATAAAAAGAAGAAAAAAATAAATTTTTTTTTTTATGTTTACTAAAACGAAAATTGGTGGGAAAAAATAAATTTTTTTTTCACCTTGAAGTTGTGCACCAAACACGAGATCCAGTTTCCGGTGTCCATTCGACATTACAAGGGGGAAAAATACGATTTTTCTCAGCTTCCGCCGATTCATTTTCTTCAGCTTGTTTTAATTTTGCCACAAGATAATGAAATCCCGCCGCTGGACTTCCATCGGAATTATAAAAATTTCCCACTAATTTTCCTTAAAAATTCAAAACAGAAAAAATTATTAAATTCTATTATTTTCTTTACTAAAATAAAAATAAAAATTATTTTTAAATTAAATTCCAAATAAAAGAATAATTATTGAAATAATTTGGAAAAATAAAAATTCCTTATTTTTACCCTTGTAAGAATATGATTTTGTGTAAAAATCAACCCACGAATTAAGGGCTTTTATTTGTTGAGGCGTTAAACTCGTGATATCGTCTTTCATTCCAGTTTCGGTAAAATCACCGGTTATAAAAGCCAAAGAACCATCGCGTCCTAAAAAAAAAGATTTTTTAGTTTATTTATTTATTTTTTAATTTTTTTATTTGAAAAATTACCAGTAAATGAATGATAAGTTTCTCCGGGTCCATAATGTTTAACTCCTTTTGTAACATCAAAAACTTTACCCAATATTGCAAGGTACAATCCATTTTCTAAATTTGTATATTTTTCTAATTCCAAACGAGTCCAAATTCTCTCTTCATCATTATTATTATTATTTATAATAATTTGTTCCTCGTCATTATTATTATCATTAATTGCATTAAAAAAATCATCAATGCACTTTGTTAAATAATTTTCAATTGATTCTAATAAATAATTATTTGTTGTTATAATATAAATACCAAAAAAAATTGGTAACAACCATAAAAATCGTGTAAACATTTTTTTGGACTTTATTGTTATTTAAAAAAAATATATATATATAAATTTTCTACTTTATTTATTTTTTTATTTTTATTTATAAATATTTTAATTTATTTATATATTATAACTTTTTTTAAATACAATTTTTTTTTTTTATATTATTCATGCAGAAAAAAAACTTAATAGAAAAATTTAATTCGAAATAAAAATATATTTACAAAAAAAAAAAAAAAAAAACATGCTTCTTTCTATTTTTGCGAGCGATTCATCACATTCCTGAAAAAAAAAATTATGTTTTCTATTTTAACATGCATTTTTTACAAAAATATTTTTAAAAGTTTTTTGTTTACAGAAGGGCGAAATAATTTTAAAAAATTGTAATTATTATTAATATTTAATTTTTAACTTACTAAATTAATCAATTTCATAAGTGTTGAAATAATAATAAAAATAATAATAAATTTATTTGTTAATTAAATAATTTATTAATTTTTAATTTTATTTGCAAATTTGTAGAATTAATAAATTAAATTTAAAAAATTTTGAATAAATAAATGCTTAATAATAATTTAATTAACAAATAAATTAATAATAATAATAATAATAATAAATTAACTAATAAGTAAATAATTATTTATTAATTTTTAATTTTATTTGCAAAATTGTAGAATGAATTAAATTTAAAAAATTTTGAGTAAATAAAAAGAATAAATAAATGTTTAATAATATTTTAATTAATTACTTATTTAATGAATAATACTAATAAATAAATTAATTAATGAATAAGAAAATAATTTATTAATTTCTAATTTTATTTCCTAATTTGTAGAATTAATGAATTAAATTTAAAAAAATTTTTGAATACATAAATACAATAAATAAATGCTTAATAATATTTTAATTAATAAATAAATAATTAATAATAACAAATTAATTAATAAGTAAATAATTATTTATTAATTTCTAATTTTATTTGCAAAATTGTAGAATGAATTAAATTAAAAAAATTTTGAGTAAATAAATAGAATAAATAAATGCTTAATAATATTTTAATTAATTAATTATTCAATTATTCAATTAATAATACTAATAAATAAATAAATTAATTAATAAGAAAATAATTTTTTAATTTATAATTTTTTTTTTGCAAAATTGTAGAATTAATGCGAATTAAATTAAAAAAAAGTTTGAATAAATAAATAAAATAAATAAAATGCTTAATAATATTTTAATTAATTAATAAATTAATAATAATAATAAATTAATTAATAAGTAAATAATTATATATTAATTTATAATTTTATTTGCAAAATTTTAGAATTAATTAAATTGAAAAAATTTTGATTAAATAAATAGAATAAAAAAATGTTTAATAATATTTTAATTAATTAATTATTCAATTAATTAGTAATTAGTAATTAGTAATAAATAAATCAATTAATTAATAAAAAAATAATTTATTAATTTCTAATTTTATTTGCAAAATTGTAGAATGAATTAAATTTAAAAAATTTTTGAATAAATAAATAGAATAAATAAATGTTTAATAATATTTTAATTAATTAATTAATAATAATAATAATAATAATAATAATAATAAATTAATTAATAAGTAAATAATTTATTAATTTTTAATTTTATTTGCAAAATTGTTGAAATAATGAATTAAATTTAAAAAATTTTGAATAAATAAATAAAATAATATAATTTTAATTAATTAATTAATAATAATAATAATAATAAGAATTGCTAATAATAAATGAAACGATAATAATAATAATAATAATAATAATACCTAATAATAATAATAATAATAGATAATAATAAATGAAACGATAATAATTTTGCCTAAATTAATAATAATTAATAAATAAATACAATTAATAAATAATATTTTCCGAAATAGGTTATAAATTACGTTTTAAAAAAATACATATTTATTATAAAACAATAAAAAAAATTAATTTTGAGAAAAATAATTATTAATGTAATATTAATAAAAAAATAAATAAAATCAAAAAACGTATAAAATTTGCATAATAAAAGCAAATAGAAAATAAAAACGAAATTTTTTTTTTTTTTTTTTTTTGAGGTTATGTTAAACGTCAAAAACTGTCAAGTCAGCGGCAAAAATTAAAAAATATTAAAAAACAAAAATAAATTTACACAACAATACTTTTCATAAAATTACGATTATTGTTAAAAAGGCGAAAAAAATACGATTCTAACCTAAAAATATATAAATAAAAAAAGAAATACATGCAAAAAAGTATATATATATATATATATATATACATTACGCTACATTTAAAACTCGGAACCACGTGCATAAAAACCACTTCTCTATTATCTCTCTTCTGTTGATATGTTAGACCGCTATAAACACAAACACACATATGCAAAAATTTTATAAATTGCCACGTGCCGTTAATAATTTTAATACAATAAAGAAAAAGAAGAATTCAATTTTTCTTTCGCGAGTTAAATTTTAAACACTTTAGAAAAGAAAATAAATAGTGAAAAAAAAAAAAAAAAAACGTTTGATTCTTGATTGATAAAAAATTTAATAGGGGTGGGGCAACATCATCATAGATGAAGAGGGGTAGGGGGAGAGACAATTTCCATCGGGGCGGAAGTGAAAGAACGGAAAAGAACTCAAACTCCTTGCAAATGGCAGACGTGTGACTTTTATGTTTTTCTAGTTTTTCCCGAAAAAAAAAATAACAGTTGAAAAAGTAGCTAAAATACATAGTGTTTTTTCTTTTGTTTCACATTTAAACAAAAAAAAAAGAAATAGAATCTATATTGTGATCTCTTATAATTTTTAATGTTTAAAAGTGTGTGTGTGTGTATAAACTTCACGTGAATTTGTGCGCGGTTTAGAAAAAAAAGGAGAATATAAAAAAATACAGTGAATAAAAAAGAAAAAGAATAAATAAGTGTTTGTGTTTTCATATTTATATGGTGAAATGGCAAAATTAGTGGATATTTGGCATGGTGATAGTCCGGCTGAGTTAAAACGACGACAAATGCCATTAGTTATCGATGAAAATTTAACGGTAAATATATATATATATATTAATTAATTTTTTTTCCTATTTTTCAACAAGGATGTCAAATCTTTTCTTTTTTTCTATTTTCTTTTATTATTAAAATTTTAATTAAATAAATTCTTTTAATTTTCCTTTAATTACGTAATCAAAAAATGTGTACGAATCGTTTTGTAAAACCTAACCTCAAAAACAAAAAAAAAAAGGAAAATCGAAATTGAAAAATTGTTTTTTTATTTGTTAGCGAATATTTTGTTTTTGTTTTTTTCTATTTCTCTATATAATAGTTGAGAAAATTTGGGAAAATGTAATTTTTTTTCTATATGTAAATTTAAAAAAAGAAATAATAATTTCGATGACGCCTTTTTTTTGCGGCAAAAAAAAAAAAAAATGAAATAAATTTTCTTATTTTTTTTTTTTTGGGTGATTTATTTTTTACAGCTAATTATGGATGTTAATGGTTTGGGAGCAATTTGCGATAGTCCTCTTGTACGTGGCAAGGAATTAGAGGATTTTTCTAGAAAATTAAAAACCCTAACAAAAGAAGAATTAAAAGGATCATTAGAGGTGACGTGTAAGGATTTCTTGTCAATTTTAGGACAAACAATTCCTTGCGTTGGATGTAGAAGAAGGTATTTATTTTTTTTTTATTATTATTATTTTTTTTTTTTAATATTTAATTTTTACATTTTTAAGGATTTTTCTTTCCCATCCCTGAATTTTTTTTTTTAAATTGATTTTTTTTCTACATTTTTATTTTGTTCCTTTTGTTTTTCTTTGTTTTTTTTTCTGTTTTTCTTTTTTGTTTATTAATTATTAGATATAAGTCAACGTAATTATTGTTAATTTATTTTTATTTCTTTTTTTTCAATTTATTTATTTACTTATTTATATTTTATAAAATTTTTTATTTTAATTAATAATTAATAAAAATTAATTGTTGTTTTTCTCCTCCATTAATATATTTATAATTATAATATAAATTATAATTGAAATAAATAAAAATTATAAACTATAATTGAACTATAATTGAAATTTAATTATCAATTAATTTTTAAATTAGTATTTTTTATTGATTTTAATAATTAAAATTAATAATTAAAATTAATAATTAATTTCAATTATTTCAATTAATTGAATAATAAACAAAAATAATAAAATAATAAAATAAAATAATAAAATAAATAAAATAAATAACAAAAAATAAATAAAAATAATAATATTAATAATCATAATTAAAATTTGTACATAAATTTAAATTAAAATAATAATAATTGAATAAATAATTGAAATTTTAAAATAATTTTTCAATTATTAAAGTTGAAAATTTAAATTAATAAATAAATACAAATTAATAATTGAAATTAACAAAAATAACATTATTTATTGTAATAAATAACAATTATTAAAAATTGATAACTAAAAGTAATAATTAAATTCAATTATTGTAAATAACAATTGAAATTAAAAAATAATTTTAATTGTCAAAAATTAATATGAAAATTTAGAAATAAATAATTATTTAATTAATATTTATTAATTTATTTAATAATTTATTAATTTATTTAATAATTTAAATATTTATTAATTAAATTTAAAAATAAATTTATTTCAATTAATTACCCATAATTTTATTCTCTTTTTATTTTTTCCTCCTATTAATAATATTTTGTTTTTTTTTTGTTTTTTTTTTATTTAATTTAATTTTTACATTTTTAAGGATTTTTCTTTCCCCTCACTGACTTTTTTTTCTTAAATTGATTATATTTTTTTTCTACATTTTTATTTTGTTCCTTTTGTTTTTCTTTGTTTTTTTTTCTGTTTTTCTTTTTTGTTTATTAATTATTAGATATAAGCCAACGTAATTATTGTTAATTTATTTTTATTTCCTTTTTTTCAATTTATTTATTTACTTATTTATATTTTACAATAATTATTTTTTATTTTAATTAATAATTAATAAAAATTAATTGTTTTTCTTTTATTAATATATTTATAATTATAATGTAAACTATAAAATATTTATATAATTATTTTCGACAATTGAAATTTAATTACCAATTAATTTTTAAATTGGTATTTTTTATTGATTTTAATAATTACTTTCAATTATTTCAATTAATTGATATTAACACAAAATAACAAATAATAAATAAAAATAATAATAATAATAATAATAATAATAATAATAATAATAATAATAATAATAATAATAATAATGATAATTAAATTTAATTAAAATAATAATAATTGAATAAATAATTGAAATTTTAAAATAATTTCAATTATTAAAGTTGAAAATTGAAATTAATAAATAATTACAAAGTTAATAATTAAAAATTTATAATTAAAAAAAATTAATAATTGAAATTAATAAAAAAAACATTATTTATTGAAATAAATAACAATTATTAAAAATTGATAACTAAAAGTAATAATTAAATTCAATTATTGTAAATAACAATTGAAATTAATAAATAATTTTAATTGTCAAAAATTAATATGAAAATTTAGAAATAAATATTTATTTAATTAATATTTATATATATGTAATAATTTAAATATTTATTAATTAAATTTATAAATAAATTTATTTCAATTAATTACGCATAATTTTATTCTCTTTTTATTTTTTCCTCCAATTAATAATATTTTTTTTTTGTTTTTTTCTTATTTTTTGTATAAAAATTTATTGTATTTTTTCTAGAAATTGATTAAAAATTTTTTGTTTTATTCTTCCTTTTTTTTAAATGAAAGAAAAGGATTATTTTAATCTTTTTTCTTAATTTTTACTTTTTATTGTTAAATTATTTTGTTTATAAATTTTTATATTTCAATTGTTTTATAATATTTTCTTTTTTTTAATTCAAAATTTTTTTTGGAGTTCTTAAGGGATTTTTTTTTTAAATAAATTGAATTAATATTTATTTTATTCTCATACAATTAAATATATTTAAGAAATCTCAATGAAGAGAAATTGAAAAATTTTTAAATGTAAAATTGTATGAAAAAAAAAGAAAGGAAAAAATTTATTTCTTTTTTTTTTTTTGTTTTTTCTATTTTCAGTGCGGAAAAATTATTTTTCGATCTATTGGAAGCGGGACATCCTGTTTTGGATCCATTAATGTTCACGACAGAATATATATTTACATTGAAGGAAGAAGTCCTTGAATCGCCCCAAATGCTTTGCACAGTTTTACACAAACACAGGTAAAAGATATTTTTAATTTTTATTATAAAGTGTAAATAAATAAATAATTTTTTTTTTTGGATAAACAGTTCAATTTTTATGAAAAAAAAAATTATTTATAAATTTTTTTTTTTTGTATATTCTTATCATATTATTATCTTAATGTTTTTTAGTTAATTAGAAATTAATTAAATTTTAAATTGAATATTTATTAAATTCACTTTAAAATAGAATTTTTATTCTATTAAACTTTTAAATGGAATTTTTATTGAATTAAATTTTAAATTAAATTTTAAATAAATGAATTTTTTATTCAATTCAATTTTGAATAAAATCGATTTTTTTTTTTTATTAAATAACGAATTTTCAAATTAAATTTTCATTGAATTAAATTTTTTGAATAAAATTAAAATAGAAAAGCAGAAAATTGATTAATCTAAGTTTGTTTTATTTTTTTATTTTCTATTTTTAAGCGCTCGTTTAAGTTCAATTGTTGAGAAACAAGTGAGAAGTAAAAAATCGCATAGATGCGCATTACATTCCCTTGAAGTGCAAAGAATGAGGCCACCTCCAAGTGCATGGCGAGAAGTTTGGGAATGCATGAAACAGCCGTGTCGTCAGGAAATAACATTAATTGAAAGCGAATGTTTGGATGCAACTCTCGAAATATACCTCAGGAAACACAGGTTTCAAAATTGTTCAAATTTTCTTCTTCTTTTTTTTTTTTTTTTTTTAAATATTCTTCTCAAAAAAAAAGAATTTTATTTTTTCTCTTTTTAATTTTCTTATCCAATGATTTTTAAAATTATTTTTTCTTTTCTTTTTCTTCTAAAAGAAATATTTTTTTTTCTTTTTTCATTTCCATTTCTTCTTTTATTTTTTAGTTTTATTAAACTGAATTTAATTTTTTTGTTTTTTAATTTTTTTTTTTCTTTTTCTCTAATTTGTTAATAATTTCGTTGGCATTAATTTGTTTTTTCTGCAGATTTTGTTCGGAATGTCGTACAAAAGTTTTATTAGCCTCGTCCCTATTGATGACGGACGCGGATCCTTCTAAAGAAAAAGGATTCGTTCCCACTTTATACGCGGGAATAAAACGTTGTACTGCAGAAAGTCACGTTCACTTGCCAATAAATACTGAATATATTCACACAATCATTGGCCGAGCTCAGCCAGAAATTATAGGAAGGTGAGAAAATTAATTTTTTCCAAAATATTCCTTCTTTTTCCAAAATATTTTGTTTTTCCAAAGTATTTTTTTTTTTCCAAAATAATTGTGTTTTCAAAGTATTTTTTTCCCCAAATATTCTGTTTTTCCAAAGTATTTTTTTTTCTAAATATTCTATTTTTCCAAAGTATTTTTCTTTTCCAAAATAATTGTTTTTCCAAAGTATTTTTTATCCAAAACATTCTGTTTTTCCAAAGTATTTTTTTCTAAATATTCTGTTTTTCCAAAATAATTATTTTCCCAAAGTATTTTTCTTTTCCAAAATAATTGTTTTTCCAAAGTATTTTTTTCTAAAATAATTATTTTTCCAAAGTATTTCTTTTTTTCTTACAAAATATTAATTGTTTATTAATTTCTTTTTTGTGTTTTTCTTCTTTTTTTTTTTTAGGGAACGTCATGCGAAAACTTTGGAAATAGCTCAAGAGGAAGTTGTTACGTGTTTAGGAATTTGCGTAGCTGAACGATTACATAGAATACATCGTCGCCTCAAGGAAGCTGAGACTATTTGTAAAGTTCTCGCTGCCGTTGCCGTTGAAGCAATCTCCAGAAATTTCGAGGTAAGATTTTTCTTCTATTTTATATTCATTAATTAATTTGAAAATAAAATTAATTACTTGCAAAAATTAATGAAAAATAAAATTAACTACTGAAAATTTAATGAAAAATAAAATTAATTACTGAAAAATTAATTTACAAAAAAAAAAAAACTGAAATGTTTGTATTATTTTAATAATTTAAATATCACCAAATAAATTATCACCCTCTCAGATGGCTGTTGAGGAAAAACAAGGAGTAACGAAACTTGAACTTCTCTATGAGGAATTAACGAGAAAAGAAATTGCAAAGCAACAAAGACAGGAAAAATTAAGGCTGAAACGAAAAAAGAAGAAGGAACGTCGATTTGAAGCGGAGGAAAAAGAAAATACATGCGAAGTAAGTTTTTCTCTGTTTTTTTTATCACTATTTAATATGGATAGAAAAAAATACAAAAAAAAAAAAAAAAAACTACAAAAATAAAAATAAATAAGTAAAAAAAAAATAAATAAAAAAATGGAAACTTTTACTTTCAGTGCTCAAATGAACGCTCAAGTAAAAAAACTTGCACTTGCTCAGAATTAAAACCCGTTACACAGAGTATCGATAGAAACAAGGTAAAAATTTACAAATATTTTTGTTTTTTAGATATATTTCTATTTTATTTTTTTGTTTTTTTTTTTAAGTCAGAAATTAAAATTGTATAATACGAAATATAAAAAAAAAAAAAAAATTCTGAATTGTTGAAAATAAAAATTTTTTCCAGTTACAAGTATTGGATCCAAAAAATAAAGGACCACCAACTTGTAAATGTCCCGATTGTATAAAAAAATCAAGCAGCACCGAAAAGACGACAACACAAGTTCCAAATACAAAAAAATCCCTAGCAAATAATAATAATAATAGTAGTAGTAGTAGTAGTAACAATAACAACAACAATAACAATGTTTCAAATAATAAAAAAGATTCGTCAAAGAAAAAAGAAACGGTAAAATTGAAAAAAGAAAAATCAGAATTAAGAAAAAAAGTATCAAATGAATCTTCAGTGAAAAATGATACGAAAGATATAAAATTAAATACAATTAGCGATGATAAAGACAACAAAAAATTACAAATACAAGAGGAAAAAATAGTAGTTGAAGAAGAAGAAGAAGAGGCCGAAGAGGAAGAAGAAGAAGAAGAAGATGAGGAGGAGGAAGAAGAAGAAGTAGTAGAAGTTGAGGTAAATCAATGGAATTTACAAGAAAATTCCGTTGATGATTTAACAAATGTATGGTTAGATCGACCAAATAATATGTGGACTGAAATGAAGGAGCATATTATTGCAAAAATGACTGATCGAAATTGTCGTTCGTCAAGTGAACATTCCTCACGTGATCGTGGATATTCATCGGAGCATTATGTGAGCAGTGGTTCATTTTCATGTACACCGGAGGGTTCCGATGTTGCATGCAGCGATGGACTTTGCAATCATGATGAAAATTGTGGCAATCGTCTCACTGAAAGAACAACCGTCAACAATGTTAATACAAATCCATTGCGCATTACACGATGCGAGGGACCGACACTGATGCAAATGTTGGAGGTGAGAAATTTTTCCTTTATTATTTTTTTTTTTTTTTTTTTTTACTATTTTTCTCTTTTTTCACATTTTTTGGGGGTGATGGTGTCTCTTTTTCTGGGGGTAATGTGTCTTTTTTGCATGTTTAAATTTAATATATTGCTTTTTCACATGATTAAAATGTCATCAGTGCTTTTGCGAATGTCTAAAGTACACAAAAAATACTACTGCGCATGTTTAAAGTCCATAAAAAGCTTCTGCGCATGTCTAAAGTGCAGAAATCCCTTCTGCGCATGTCTAAAGTACACACAACTCTACTGCGCATGTCTAAATTATGCACAAAGCTTCTGCGCATGATTAAAGTACTTAGAAGTACTTCTGCGCATGTCTAAAGTACACACAACTTTTCTGCGCATGCCTAAAGTTAGCACAAAACTAGTGCGCATGTCTAAAGTACACACAACACTACTGCGCATGCCTAAACTACGCACAACTTTTCTCCGCATGCCTAAAGTAAGCGCAGCACTTCTGCGCTTGCGCAAAGAACAAATTCTTTTTTTTTCTTCTACAAATGAGAAAATCTAAATGTTTCTCTTCTTTTCTATATTAAATTTAAAGAAAAAAAAATTTTTTTTTTTTTTTTGATAACGCAATTGAAAATTAATTCCTTTTTTCCTTTCTTTCTCTATTTTTTTCGTACAAAGGACTCAAATTCCGAGGATGAAGGAACCGAGAGTTATATCCCAATGGAGGATGTGATGGAATTCCAATCGAAAATCTCGCAAATTCTTGAAAAAAGACAAGAGCTTCGTGAGAAATTGAAAAATAGTTTTGAAATGCTGTGCAATCATCGTAAACCTTTCATTCCTCATTGATTCAATGTTTTTTTTTATTATTATTATAATTATTATTCCGGTTTTATAAACGAAGAAAAAAAAAAGTAATGCAAAGCAGCTAACTTTTTTTTTAATCGATAAAATTGACTTTTTTCCTTTGGGATTTTTTTTTAGTTATCAATTTAGTATTTTTGATTTTAATCCACATTTTGTAATTTTTTTTTCAATTTACTTTTCGAGCAAAAAAAAGAAAATAAATTGCACGATTATTAATCACGCATAAAAAAAAGAATATCATCGTTGTAATAAAATAATATTTAATAGTCATTTTATTGAATGAAAAAAAGAAACAAAAATATTACAAAAAAAATAATAAATGTTGCATTCCAGTGTAAAGTATCTTTTCGTTTCTTGAATTGATTCTTTCAATTTTCTTAGTATTTTTTTTTCTCTTTTTTTAGATTTTTTCACTTTTTTATTGAACAAAAACTTTTTTAAAAAATTAAGACAAAAATTTTTTATGCGTACAAATGAATGTTTTTAATAAAAAAAAAAGATTTTCTTTTTCTTATTATTCGATGACGGAATTTTTTTTTCTACATCTATTATTTACTTTATTATTATAATTATTATTGATATATAATTATTAATATTTTTCATTAGGGAATTATTTCTACCTGATGAGATCATTTTTTTTCCAATCATTAATTGTGAAACGGTTTTTTACTGTCCCGAATGTACATTTTTTGTGTTACTTTTGCCCTGTGAGTTTTATTTTTTATTATTCTTAAATTTTTTTTTAAATCCGTCGATTTTTGAAATTTTTTTTTACGTATTTTTGCGAAAAAAAAAATTACATTTATACTTGTCTTTCCCTTATGTCGTACGTATGTTTTATATATACATATAAATATATAAATATTATATATTATATACATAGTAAAAAGAACAAAGAAGGAATAAGTTTTTTTCTTTAATTTCCCTTTCCCATATTTGTTAGTTTTTAAAAATTTATTAAAAGAAAACGATTTGAGAAGCAAAAAAAAATTGTAGGTTATGTTTATGACCGTTTTACTTTGATTTAAAGATAATATAAAAAAAGGATTAGTTTTTTAATCAATATTTTAGATGAAGATTGATTTTTTAATCAATGTAAAACTATTACAAACGTAACCTACAATTTTTTGATATAATTAAGGCAAAACTATCATAAACATAACCTATAATATTTTGGTAAAAAATTGCTATATAACTTTCGAATGGTTAAAGCAAATTAAATACTTTTTTTTTTTATTTTCAAGGTGGAAATACGTACTTTGAAACCCTCTGCATTGAAATACTAAATTAGCTCAGAATTTCACCAATGAATATTTTATTTTTCCCCTTAATAATTTTAAGGGGGATTTTGATTGAAATACTAAATTATAAAGCTCAGAATTTCACCAATGAATATTTTATTCTTCCCCTCAATAATTTTGAGGGGGATTTTGTTTGAAATACTAAATTATAAAGCTCAGAATTTCACCAATAAATATTTTATTCTTCCCCTCAATAATTTTGAAGGGATTTTGATTTGCCTCTGCCGATTGTTTTCATTTTAGGCTTAAAATCTTTCAATGTCATCAGTGAACCTGCAAAAAAAACTGGGGAAGATTAAGTTAAGGTAAAAATAAAAATTTTGCCAACAACTTGAAAAATAAAAATTGACTTTATTGTCATAAATGTATATTTAATATAATTTATTATTCAATAACAATAATCAACATTAGTCGAAAAATGATTTTTGGTCCACAATAGAGATTTTGATGTTAAGTATGTCGATAACAACGATTATATCGACTGAGCGTCTTAACCTTAAAATCTCTTTTTCCCGCGCTTCAAAAAAAAAGAACAATTTATCATTCACGATATTCTGCCAAACAGAGACAAGCATTCGTACCACCAAAACCAAAGGCATTTTTCAATGCAATTCTTCTTTCCGTGGATTGCCATTCTTTCGGTGCATTTGGCACAAAATTCAATTGACTCACAACATCTAAATCATGTAAATTAATTGTCGGCGGTAAAATGCCATTTTTAATCGCCAATATTGTGAATGCCGCTTCTAAATTACCCGCAGCACCCAATAAATGTCCATGTGCACCTTTTGTACTTGAAACAAAAATATTACGTGTATGCTCACCAAAAAGTGTTTCAATTGCACGCAATTCAATTGTATCGCCAATTGGCGTTGATGTTGCGTGTGCATTGACAAATGTAATATTTGTTATATCACAATCAGCGTCTTTAAGTGCTCTATCCATTGCTAAAAATGCACCACTACCATCTTCACTTGGCGCTGTTAAATGTGCCGCATCACCAGACAAACCATAACCAAGTATTTCACCATAAATTTTTGCATTTCTCTCCAAAGCATGATTTAATTCTTCAATAACAAGAATTGATGAACCCTCACCCATTACAAAACCATCACGACTTTTGTCAAATGGTCTTGATGCTTCATGGGGAAATTCATTACGCGATGTACTTAATGCACGAAGACGGCAAAATGCTGCAATTGCCAATGGTGAAATACATGATTCTGCACCACCGCATAGCATTACATTTGTCTCGCCACCACGTACAAATCGAAATGCATCACCTGAAAATAAAGAGACAATTAGTTTTTTCATAATATTTTGCAAATTTCTCGAAATATTATTAATTTTGGATTAATTTTACAAAATAGGTATTCTTGGCACTAGATCATATCGGATTAATGTATTTTTTTCCTGTTTCAAAATAAAAATCATTATTATTATTTTTTTGGTTTAAAATCCCAGCGAAATAAATAAATTTTTCTATTTATTTACCAATAGAATGAGCACCAGTGGCACATGCCGTTGATACACAATGATTTGGCCCACGAAATCCATATTTTATACTTATTTGTCCCGCTGCCATATTTGGCAATATTCTTGGTACAAAATATGGACTAACTTTGCTGTAACTTTTTTTAAATGTCTCATACATTGTACAAACATCAACAAGATCAATCATTCCCACGCCAACGGCAACTCCAGTGTCACGTTTATCATTTTCATTTATTGGATGCCAATTTGCATCGTTTAATGCCTCATCAGCGGCAACTAAAGCGTATGCCGTTGCCGGGCACATTGTACGAAGTTCACTTTTTGAAAATATCCCCTCTAAATTTAATTCACCGAATTTATTTCCTTTTGGAACAATGGCTCCTGGAAAAAAAAGTGATAACTCTTATCACTATCCGTTTATATTAAAAATTCATATTTTACAAAAAAAATTTAATTTTTTATCGGCAATAATTTAAAGTTGTGACTTAAAAAATTCTGTGCATTTAGTGTAATATCTTTGAACAGGACTGCGGTCCAAACAATGATTTTTGACGTTAAAAAAATTGTTTAAAAAAAATAATTTGTTTAAACAAATTGTTATAAAGAAATGCAAAAAATTAATGAATTTTAAAATTCTAACAACGCCATTCAATTCTACGGGAAAAATTACTAAAGGAAAATTTATGACTTTTTTAAAATTTTCACTCTATTTGTTAAAAATAATTTATAAACAAAAAATTCGAGGAGGAATTTATTAGTTAAAAACGTGTACACTTGACTACCGGTATTACACTGCATATTACCCTTATTACTAAGTATTACACGTTATTACAGAGTATTACACGTTATTACAGAGTATTACTCGTTATTACAGAGTATTACACGTTATTACGGAGTATTACATGTTATTACAGAGTATTACATGTGCATTTTTTGGTTATAAATTATTTATAACAAATAAGAGTGAAAATTTTGAAAAAATTATTCCTTTAGTAATTTTTTCCATAGAATCGAATGACGTTATTAGATTTTTAAAATTCATCAAATTTTTTTCCATTTGTTTATAACAATTTTTAACGTCATAAGTCATTATTTGGACCGCAGTACTGTTTTCAAATTTGATATTGCAAATATTTCCATGTGTCTAAGTATGGGCGTTAATGGGTTTAAGAGAGAATTTTTACGGCGTCAAATCTTAAATTAACAAATTTTTATTTAGTAAAATTCGAGGGAGAATTTACTAGTTAAAAATGTGTACACTTGACTACAGGCATTACACTGCATATTACCCTTATTTACTAAGTATTACACGTTATTACCGAGTATTACACGTTATTACAGAGTATTACACAGTATTACAGAGTATTACACAGTATTACAGAGTATTACATGTTATTACAGAGTATTACATGTTATTACAGAGTATTACATGTTATTACAGAGTTTTACACGTTATTACAGAGTATTACACGTTATTACAGAGATATTACACGTTATTACAGAGTTTTTTTTTGCGTTATTACAGCACCGTAAAAACGCATTATTACACGGTATTACACAAGTATTACAGGAAGAGTGTACAATTGACTACCTGAGTAGACATAAATTTCGTTAAATTGAAATTATATTAATTTAAAATTTTTAAAAAAAGTATTAGAAAAAAAGTGTTTTATAAAAGTTCTGATAAATATAGAAATTCTTTTAAATTAAATTTTAGTTTTTTTTTTTTTTTTTTTTTTTTTTTAAATTAAAATTTAGTTAAATGTAAATTGAAAATTTTACAATAATATAAAATCCACTTTTATACAATATTTTGCCAAATAGAAATTCGATAATTTAATATTCGACGCCGTGAAAAATTTTTATAAGTTAAATATGGAGTATTAGCATTAAATAATAAATTATTGTAAATTGTTGTAAAATATTTAAATTTGAGATTTAAAATCCACTAAAAATATTTATAGTTACCGAACTTATTATTTAAATTTGATTCAAACTTGCACAGCGAGAAACAATTCCTCGATTTGAGGTTATGTTGATTTTTACGAAAAAGAAAATTTTAAAAAAATTAGATTTAATTTAATTTTACGAGATTTTTTTCCCCCCGAATAATTATCAAATTCGTTATTAAATTTAGAAAGTCAGTTTATAACCTATTTTTGCTTGCGGCAAAATTTCAGAATTTTTTTTTTTTTTTTCAATTTTTACTTGGCGTAACTTTTTGCATCAAAGATATTTTTTGTTGGGATATAATTAAATTATTTAAAAAAAAAAAAAAAAAAAAAAAAGAGTAGAAGAAAATAAAAACAATTGAAAATTCATTAACAATGTAACTATGAAATATCTAACCAATTTTGCATGGAAGTTTCTCATATTCCGCCCCCTCGAGTTTTACAACACCGGATTTACCGGCAAGTAATGATTTCCAAGCGGTTTCAACGCCACATCCTAAAGGTGAGACAATACCAATTCCAGTGATAACAACTCGTCTACGTGATCTCACTGTATTTGATAATTTTCGAGTGAATTCCAAAAATTTACCCATATTCCTATACTTTTATATAGAAAACTATTTTCGAATTTTTTTTTTTTTTTAAGGTTATGTTAGGTTTATTCGGTGAGAAAAAAAAAAATTATAGAAAATTTCCATTATGTGCATAATTGGAAAAAAAAAATATTTTTCCGATTTTCATTAGACAAAATTTATTTAAAAAAAAAAAAACAAATTTTATTTTACTTTAAGAAAAAAAAAAACTGGTATAAATATAACATAATTGCCGCAAGCACTTTAATCGCATTATAAAGATGAGATAAAGAATTTACATAAAAAAGAAGGAAGAGAAAATAATCTTTTAATGGTGAATTAATTTTTTTCTAATAAAAGAAATTCATTTTTAAAAAATAAAGACAAAAACAATATGTCTATTCTTTTCTAAATAACTAAATATTGTAGAAGCACCTTAAGTGAACATTTTGCGTTGCAACAGTTGGCAATAGTTGCGCGCGCAGCATTATGCGCAAATTATATATTGTTGAAAGTGAAGCCTTAAAGTTAATGCCTTGAAGTAAGCGCCGAAAAAAGAAAGATTCGATCGTAGCGCTCACGTTAGTGGACGGTTTAAGAAACAATTTCGCATTCATAATTGTGAGTCAATGTCTCCTCGACTAGAAGTTTTCTACGTCCATGGAACACACAACAATATCGGCGCCAAACAAGTATAGAAGAAAAAAAAAAAAAAACGTGAAAATGTTCGTTATACAAAAAGCAATTCGCAGAGGAAGAGAAGAATAAATGAAAAGGTACGTTTTGTTTAATAATCTTTTAATTAAATATTTTGTGAATGAAAAATTGTTTAGACAAATTTCTAGATATTAAAAATATACAAATTTTCTATGCACATTGTTTAGGTTAAGGTATAAAAAAATTATTTTCCATAAAGTCGATTTATTGTTGACTCGAATTATTATAATTATTATCAGCAATATATTAATGTTTTAATCACAAAATTTTTCTTTTTTTCTTTACAAAAAAAGGATTGTATTTAAAAAAATGTATTTAAATCGGATTCTTTTTTTGCAATAAAAAAAAAGGAAAATTTGTGAATAATCATAGAAAAAAATAGGGTTAACAAATATATTCTTGGAATTAAAATTATTTCCTTCTTTTTATAATATTTTTTTTTTCTTTTTTTTTTGTTTGAATTTTTCTCGCAATTTTTCTTATTTTTCATTGTCGATTTTTTTAAAGTCTTTTTTTTAATGATTTAAAATTGTTAAATAATTTATTTTTTTTTCCAAAAATAAAAAAAAAAAAGAAAATAGTTAAAAACGAATTTTAATTGGTTTAAATCCGATTTTTTTTTGCAAAAAAAAAGGAAAATTTGTGAATAATCATAGAAAAAATAGGGTTAACAAATATATTCATGGAATTAATATTATTTCCTTCTTTTTATATTTTTTTTTCTTTTTTTTTTTTTTTTGAATTTTTCTCGCAATTTTTCTTATTTTTCATTGTCGATTTTTTTAAAAGTCTTTTTTTAATGATTTAAAATTGTTAAATAATTTATTTTTTTTCCAAAAATAAAAAAAAAGAAAATAGTTAAAAAGGAATTTTGATTGGTTTAAATTTTACTGGTGTTATTTTTTTTTAAAAAATCAATTTCTTCTGTACAATTTTGATTTATTTTTCATCATCGAATTTTTTTATACGCTTTTTTCATGATTTTGAACAATCAATCGTGTGGATTTAAAAAAAAATTTATTTTTTTCAAAAACAAAAATTTCCAAAATGGACAAAAATATGTTTTTTTTTAAAATTTTAATAATATATAATAATTTTTGATCCTAAATAACGGTTAAAAAAATATATTCGTGTATTTTGAATTGAAATTATTTCTTTTTTTAAAAAAATAATTAATTAAAAAAAAAAAATTATTTCTGTTTTTTTAATTACAGAAAAAAAATACACCCAGAAAAATGATATAATTTGTCTCATCAGAGACAAATAAATTTTTATTTGATTCAAATAAATTTTTATTTGATTCAAATAAATATTTATTTGATTTAAATAAATATTTAATTCATTTAAATTTTTATTTCATTTAAATAAAAAATTTTATTTACCCCAAAAATAAATAGATTAGTAGGCTCATAGGCTGTGAGGCGATTATCAGGGTGTCTAACGGTCAGGGAAGTCAGGAAAAAGTCAGTAAATTTAAATGGTCAGGGAAAAGTCAGAGAATTTTTTTCCTAACAGTTGTTAGACACCCTGATTTTGTTTGTACCAATAGTTTCAGCGGATTTAAAAAAAAAAGGTTTGTTTAATATTAATGATGAATAAAAAAAACTAAATTGACTAAAAACAGTAAATATATATTTAACTCAAATATATTATACATATTTGGTTCAAATAAAACATTTCTCTGGATGTAGCGCTAACAATATATTCGAGTATTAAATTTAAAATTATTTCCTTTTTTTCAAAAAAAAAAAAAATATATTTCCTCTTTTTTCTCAATTAATTTCCCTTTTTTTAAATTGTTTTTCTATTTCCATTTTTGATTTTCCCACTGTTTCCGGTAATGTGAATATAATAAAAATCGTCGCACAAAATGAACAAAAACTATAAAAATAAATTGCAAAAATTGGACTTAATTTCTCGAGAGTTGGATATAAATAAATTGTTGAAAAATTAAATAATCCACAAAAACAAGTTGTGATTGGTCCTAAAATATGAACATATCTTGTTGGATAAAGTTCGCCAATCATTGACCATGGTAAATTGACAAAACCAAAAGTTCCTAAAGTCTAAAATAGAAAAGAAAAAAAATTATATAATAGCCTTTTAATAAAAATATTTTCAAAATTGAACTGAAAAAAAATTTATTTCATTCAATTAATCGATTACTTGACTAATATCAATTTATTTGTCTATTTAATAATTATTATTTGAGTCAATTAAATGATATTTAATACGAATAAATATTTAGTTGTAACAAATAAATATTTATTTTCAACAAATACCATTTAATTGACTCAAGTAATAATTATTAACTAGAAAAAAATATTTATTTAATAATAGTCAAGTAATCGATTATTTGAATCAAATAAATTAATTTTATTATAAATATTAATAATTACCACAAATATAAAAATGCAAACTAATGGAATTGTCGATAATTCATTAGATAGAAAAAATTGATTATAAACACCAAGAGTTGTTATTGATATTGTCATTCCAACACCTGAAATAATTGCCGTTTTTCTTCGACCCAATCTGTTTGGAAATTATTAAAAAAAAAGAAAATTAGTTTCTAAAATTAAAAACACAATATTTGTACCGAAAAAAAATTATTTGATACAAATAAATATATATTTGATTCAAAAAAATATTTATCCATCAACTAAATTTTCTTCAGTCTATATTAGCAAAAAAGAAATTAAATTAATTTAAAAAAAAAAAATTATCATTATAAAAACAATTTTAAAAGAAACCTGCTGCTGGTTAATATTTGTCCAAGTTCACCAAATATTTGTAAAATTCCAATTATCACTGTTACTTGAAATGGATCTTGTGTAATTCCTGTTTTTGACACTAATTTCACAGCATATGCATTAACAACATAAATTCCACAAAATTGTTGAAAAAAGAAAAATGTATTAAGTATTAAAAATGGTTTCCAAACTTCAGATATTTTAAACATTTCCATTAAATAGACGATATTTGATGATAATTTCTGAAAAATGTTTCCCTCACTATGATTCAGTGATATTATTTCAAAATTTTTATTATCACTATCCAAAGTGATTGATACAGTATTGAGTTGATTTTTTTTACCATATTTTGATTCGTTGTATAAAATCATATTTGTAAATTCATTTTCAAATTTAATTGATTTATTTTTTAATCCACGTAATTTTAATAGTGATTGTTTTGCTTTTTCCTCTTGATTTTGAATTAAAAGCCAACGTGGACTTTCGGGTAGATAAATAATAGTTAATAATGTTGATAATAGAGAGACTAAAATTGGAAAACATGCTACAAGTCGCCAATTTCCCTAAGAAAAAAAAATCATTTTCTATTACAGAATTTTACTTTATTGATAGTTAATTTTTTTTATACCTCAATAATGTAGCCAAGAAAATATATGAATAATGTCCCTAGGGAGATAAAAAGACTAGAACAAGAATTGAGTGTAGGTGAAAGTTTAATTGTTGTCATTTCGGAAATATATGCTACACCAGGTACTGTACATAATCCCATAGCAAATCCTATATAAAAAAAAGTATTTTCTATACTCAATTTTTTAATTGAGAAAAAAATTTAAATTTCTTCTTTTTTAATCTATACCTGCTATTATTCGTCCTATTAATAATTGTGGTATGTTATAGCTTGATGCTATAACTGTCCATCCAATAATATTCGTCAAACTTCCGGAGGTAATTGCTATTCTTCTTCCAAAGGTCATGGTATAGATGCTTGTTACACAACCGATCAACATAAATATTGACGGTATTGATGCTGTATAGGATAATCAAAAAAATAAGATTATCACCAAAAAGCAATAGAAAAAAAAAGTTGTTAAAAAAAAAGAAAAAAGGGTTTTTTTGAAAACCAGAAAAGACATTTACATAGTGTTACTGTTATTAAAAACAGAATACAATAACTTTGAACAAAACTCTATGTAGGATCCTAACAATAATAGTACGAGCTCTGAATGAAGAAACCAAAGAACGTAAAAATTCTAGGTTATGTTTATGATAGTTGGAAGTAAAAATATTTGTCAATTTATTAGACATATAAGTATTTCACAAAAATTGATTTTTCATATATATACTTTTAAAGGAACTTTTTAATAGTAAAACTATTATAAACATAACCTATAATTTTTTTTTTGCTCGTTTCCTTTCTTCAGAGCACATTACATAAAATAATTTTACTTGCCTTGAAAAATAAAATAAATACCAGTTTCTTTGCAATAAAAATAAATACTAATTATATCAATTTTATCATTTGTTAATATTTATCTTAATTTCTCACCAAATATTGTTGGTTCCTGATTTGTTAAATTTATATCATGTGTATCATTTAAATAAGGTAGAGCAATTGAAGAATATCCAACAGTCATTCCTGCTGGTACTAAATTAATTAATGCTAATACACTGAAAATTATCTGTAAAATTTTTATTATTATAAACAATTATTTTATCAGTGATAACATTTTTAGAATATTGGCTATTTGAAAAAAAAAATTTATATCAGTGCCCTCCCAAGAAATATTTTGTAAATAACATAAATATGTAAACTTAGGAAGCAATTATTATTATTATTATTATTTTTGTAACAAGTAAAAATTTTTTTTGTCAATTTTAAATACCTGAAATGTAGTTTCTCTTTTAATACAACTTATTCCACATAGTTGAACCATTTTTTTTTCTTTTTTTTGACACCAAACGTACGTATTCTAATTATATACCTATTAATAACTTATGTAAGTGAAAATTTTTTTTTAAATCATAAATGTGTGAACACTCTGAGAATGAAAACTATACTCTGAACATTATTTTTATGGTAGACAGGTTTACGTTGTTATCATATAACGGGCAGTAATTTACTTTTTGAAATTGGATATATCTATATATTTTATAGATATATAGATACTTACAGACTTCGTTCAGTGGTTACACGTCATTTTAATGTACAATCTGTTGCTTGTTTATAATAATATTCGAAGAAAACATTTTCTTTACAAACTACACAACTTAAAATGTATGAATCTATATTTTATTTATATAAATGAATTTATGGTTTTCTTTTTAATATATATATATTTTTTTCGGTGTAAAAAAAAGACAAACAGTAGTCTTTACTTTAGAATATGACCCCCCGAAAGATAATTTATATTTATATGCATATAGTATGTTTATTATCGCAGATATGTTGTATCACTGGATTTCATCTTTCTTTCACTCTCCCCTTCCATTATATGAATATAAGAAAATTCGTTTTGTTGACAAATATTTTCTCTCATTTTAACTAAAAAATCATCTTATTATTCCATTAGGGAAATGCAATTTTCTTTTTTTTTTCTTTTTTTGTAACTAGTAACACAACTGAAAATTTTTTTAAAATTCATATAATTTAAATTAATTTAAGGTTATAATTTAATTTAAAATTTAATAACTAATCATTTTTTCTTAGATGTTACAAATTGATGTATAATTTTTTTTTTTAGACTTTTGGAACAATGGGTAGTTTGGATTATTTTCAAATCATTAGGAATGAGAATCTTCAAATACGTGAGTTTTTAAAAATAAAAAAAATTTTATCTTAAATATTCAATTATAATTTCGAAATTTGAAATTCGATCACATATATTCGAACTTTTTTTTTGGAAATTCGATTAAATAAACATTCGAACTTTTAGAAATTTGGTTATATAAAAATTCGAACTTTTTTTTTTGGAAATTCAAACCAAAAAATATTTCAAAAATTTTTTTTTTAAATTTGAAATATTTCAAAATTTTTTTTTTGAAAATATTTAAATATTTTTAATATTTCAAAACAAGTATTAGAAAACCAAATCGTAATTACAATGGAGAAATAGAAGATATTTTAATAATTTTTAGAATTTTTGAAAAATTCGTGTGAATAAAGTTATATGTTTTTATATGTTGAAATTAAAAATTTTTATGACTAATTCTGAAACTAAACTTATTTGGAAAATTTGTATATTTCACATTATCACAAAATAACATTGTAACTAAAAAAAAAAAAAAAAAAAAAAAAAAAAAAAAAATGACAGCCTTCATATTTCATACGCATATATAAATATATATGTATCACACATATGTGATATAGATAAATTTATAATCATTGCGTCTTTATTGTGTGATATCAAATGATTTAATGATTACAAAATCTCTTCGCACAATTGAAGTGAGACCTTGCAATAAAAATAAACTATAATAATTTGAAATATACATATTTTTGTCAATTTTTTTTCGCATTTTCTAATAATAATAATACAACAATGTCACATTATTATTATTATTATTATTATATTAATAAATTATTACATTTTTCCTTTCTTAATTTTTTGCATTAAAAAAAAAAATTATATTTTAAATGATTTCCAATGGTTTATAAAGGTATTTAAGAAATTAAGTATATTCATTATATGTTTTTATATTTTAATTTCAAAAAAATTAAATAAAAAATCAAATTTACCTTTAATTTTTTTTTTTTTTTTGAAAAATAAGATATCGCAGTTTTGTTAATGCTTAAACAAATATATATTAATTTTCTGCAGATTTTTCTATAATCCTATAAATGATTCGCGCATATATAATCTTATAAGCTACTTTAGAAATTTTTTCACTCTCACACGTGTCTCTTTTATCATTAAATTTTGATCCTTCAATGATTCATTTAACATTTTTGCCATACAATACTTCTAATAATAATAATAATAATAATAATAATAATAATAATAATAATAATAACAATAATAATAATAAATAATAATAATAAATAATAATAATAAATAGTAATAATAAGATATTACTCTTAAACCTTATCAATAATTTCAAATTTTCAATTATCAACATTAAATTTGTTTTGTTTAAAAGTACATTATACTTGAGATTATTAATATTATTAAGAAACCGGTAGTATAAATATTATTAATTAATCTTTTAAAGAAGCAACTGTTGCAATTGTTAAAAATAGAATATAACTAATAGACAAAGTGTATTATGACTTTATTTTGCAGAATTACATAGTCATAACCTTGGTTAAACATTTCCTTAGAATGTTTAATTTTATTATCGTTTTTTGAAATCATGAAAATTCATTATCTTTAGTGCAAAAAAACAAAAAAGAAAACAAGTTTATCAAAATTCATCTTTTATATTTTTTTGACGTTCACATACATTTATATTGATTATTATCAAAAACGTTTATATGATAATTTCATTGAAATTCAATTTTATAAATTATTTATTATTATTATTATTATTATTATTATTATTATTGTTAAATTATTATTAGGGGCCATTCATTAATTACGTAAGGGTCCTTAGGGGGAGGGGGGGTATATAAAATCTCTACATGGTCTTACGTGGGGGGGTGGGGGGTAGAAGCTAATCTTACGTAAGATTTTGCCTAGTATTTTCCATTTGTATTGATGTAATTAATTTTTTAATTACATTAATATTGTTAAAAACTTACGTAAGAAGGAGGAGGGGGGGGTCCGAAAAATCTTATGTATCCTTACATGGGGGTAGGGGGGGTCAAAATTAGCCAAAATCGTCCTTACGTAATTAATGAATGGCCCCTTATTATTATTATTATTATTATTATTATTATCATTATTATTATTGTTAAATTATTATTACTTTTAATCATTTCTGCATATGGAGGAAAATGATTATTAATATAGATCTCAAAAATAATGATTTAAAGTTGCACATATATTTTTATTTTCCTTTTATATAGAATTAAAATTATTATTATCTTTATGATACCTTTTAATATAAAAAAAAATTGCAAGTTTACAATCAGAGAAAGAGGATAAATATAAATATACGTACATATACATATATATATATTAATCATATATTAGGTATTATTTTTCAAACAAAAGTTTTACATACACGTGCGACCGTGACATTTTTGTGCGAATCTATTTCCACGTGGAACGATTTACCGGAAAATATTGTCATCGGAATTCCGATAAAAAAAATTTTTGTTTATTAACAATTTTTATATTGTGTCAAATTTATCTATTTTAATTTTTTTTTAAATTATCAAATAAATAAATAAAAAGTATGATTACAATGAAAGAATATCTAAATAATAATAATAATAATTATGAATAATTTTGATATAATATAAATTAATGGTAACCTTTATCATGTTATAATATCTGCTGATTATTTTCAAAGTCAGCATTTTTTTTTTAAGAAGAAAGGAAAAGATTTGAAAAGGACGTGAGATTAAAAAAAAAAATTATAGGTTATGTTCATGATAGTTTCTGATCTTGATCAAAAAAGACATAGGTTATGTCTATGATAGTTACTGACTTGGATTTAAAAAAATGTAGGTTATGTAGATCTTGATTAAGTTAGAAATATATGTTTTATTATTGTTTATGATTATGTTTATACTTTCTGTGTTTCTGATTTTGATTAAAAAAATGAAGGTTATGTTTATAATATAGTTTTTGACTATAATTGTAAAAAATCATAGGTTATGTTTATGATAGTTTAGAGCGAAAAATTATAGGTTATGTTTATAAGGGGCCGTCCATAAACTACGTTACCACTTCTTCATTCTTTTTAGATCCCCTCCCCCCCCCCTTAAAATAGGTAACGTAGTTTATGGACGGCCCCTAATATTATTTGACCTAGACAATATAAAAAATTGTAGGTTATTTTTATAATAGTTGGAAGCAAAAAATTGTAGGTTATTTTTTATGATAGTTTTGATCTTGATTAAAAAATTATAGGTTATGTTTCAGATAAGTTGGACTAAGGAATTGTTGGTTATGTTTATCATAGTTTTTGACTTTAATTTAAAAAAAATGGAGGTTATGTTTATGATACTGTTTTTTGATATAGGTTATGTTTATAATAGTTAGGTGTAAAAAATTGTAGGTTATGTTTATAAAAATTTTTTAATTTCGATTAAGAAATTAAAGTTTATGTTTAAGATAGTTTGGAGTAAAAAATCAAAAGTTTATGTTCACATTAGTTTTTGACATTAATTACAAAAAAAATTGTCGGTTATGTTCATGAGATAGTTTTTTTTTTACTTTAATTCTAAAAAAAAATTGTAGGTTACGTTTATAATAGTTCCAGATTTTTATTTGCAAATACATATAGGTTATGTTTAAATTAGTTTGGAGCAAACAATTGTAGGTTATATGATAGTTTTTGTTCTTGATTTAAGAAATTATAGGTTATGTTTATCATAGTATTTGACGTCGATTATAAAAAAAAAATTGTAGGTTATGTTTATGATAGTTTTAAACCTAGATTATGAAAAGTTATGTTTATAATTCATTTATTTGATTAAAAAATCATAGGTTATATCTATGATAATTTTATTTCGAGTAAAAAATCATAGGTTATATCTATGATAAGTTTATTTCGAGTAAAAAAATATAGGTTATGTTTATGATAGTTTCTGACTTAGGATTTTTTTAAAAAATGTTAGGTTATGTTTATAATAGTTTTACTAATAACAACAACAACAAAATAATATAAATTTTCTAAAAAGATTGATATCACTTTTTTAAAATTAATAAATTATTCTTTTTTTGTTTCATATGCGACAGTGGACACGTAAGAGAATATTAAAAAAAGTGATGCAGGTAGCAAAACAAAGGTTTGTTTTATATTAATGATGAATAATAATAGTAATAACAACAACAAAAAGGATGTTTAATATTAAAGATGAATAATAAAATTATAGGTTATACTTACGATAGTTTGGAGCAAAAATTTTAGGTTATGTTTATGATAGTTTTACCTTAATTATGATAGTTTGAAGCATAAAATTTTAGGTTATGTTTATGATAGTTTCTGATCTTAATTTTAAAAAATATAGGTTATGTTAATGATATATATATATATAATCTTTAAATAAATACGTATACTTAAATGAAAATAAATACATTTAAAAAAACAAATTACTTAAAAAAAGGGATCTTAAAAATATTATTTATCTTAAAATTTATAAATTTGACATAAAATAATGTTAAAAATTTGTTTAACTTTTTCGTTCATGAAAAAACTCAAAACAGATATTAACCGATCATTCTACGTTAAAGCGCGCGAATTTTGAAAGTCTATATAAAAAATTAGTATTAAAAAAATTCGATAAGATAAACCAGTATAAAATCCCAATGACGAGAAATATGAATTGATATATATATATATATATATATATATATTTAATATAATGATCCAGTCACTCCAGAATAAGAAGTGTCTGCTTATAGGATTCAAGTCCCTGTGTGAGAGGGAGAAAATCATTCGTCCATTCAGTCGATAACGAGACTCGACAGAAGAAACTCTTCTTCTGAAATTTTAACTATATATATATACATATATATTTATTCGCGTATATAGATAATGGATCTGATTAATTATTTTCACTATTATTTTATAATTCACAGATTGTTAATAATTTTTTCAAGTTATTAAAATTAATAGTGACTTTTGCATTTGAATAATAATAAAAAAAAATAATTTAAATATTATAGTTAATTCTGGTTTTTTTTTTTTTTTTTGATGAACCAAAAAAAAAATTGTTTTATTTTTTATATTTTTTAATTTTTTAAATTATTTTTACCATCTTAGGCGACAAGTAGGAAAATTGAAAATAGTATTTATATTTAAATTATTCGAAATTTTTCATATTTTATAAGACAAAAAGGGGAAAAAGAAAAGAAAAATAATAGAAAAAATGTGAGTTTAAAAAAAAATACCATATTGAAAGTTTAAAAAAATTTGAATGTTAATTTATTTTTTTTAGCTATTTTATTGATTTTTTTTATCGATTATTTAAGAATATATTTTATTTTAGTAGGTACAAATTTATTTTTATTATTTATTTCTATTATTTTTTTTTTATTTTTTATTATTTATTTTATTATTTATTATTATTTATTTATTTCTATTTTTATTTTTTATTATTTGCTTATTATTTTTTATTATTATTTATTTTTATATGTTCTCAAAAGGAGATTAATTAAATCTTACCTAGTTTCATAATCTTTATAGTGTAAACACAATTAAATCGTGGAATTTTGCATTTAAAAAAATGGAAATTTTGTTTTGAATTTTTATTTTTTTTTATAACATTAGAGTGTTAATTACAGAACGAAGTGAAAGTTTTGTCGAGTGATTGAAAACAGTGAAGGGATCTTGTAATTTTTAAAATATATATATATGAATAAAAAGATGGAATCCAAAGAGGTCAAGGTAAGCAGGATTTTTGGAATTTTCGATAAACAATAAAAAAAAATTTTTTTTTCTAAATATATCCTTTGATTTAATTCAATATTTAACTTTCAAAAACAGACATAGAAAAAAATGAAATATTTTTCTACTTCAACTATTAAAAATTTACTATTTATTTACTATTTATTTACTATTTATTTACTACTTATTATTTGTGACGTACTCTGCGATAAAATGGACCTAAAAAGTTAAAAAATTATAGGTTATGTTTATGATTGTTTTATGTCTTGATTAAAAAAAGTTATAATAGTTTAAATAAAAGGAACCATAAGAAAATAATTTATAGGTTATGTATATGATAGTTTGGAAAACAGGAATAATAGAAGCAACAAATTATAGGTTATGTTTATGATATTTTGGAAAAAAGGAACTTAAGAAACAATAATTTATAGGTTATGTGTATGATAGTTTGGCAAATAGAAATCTTAGAAGCAACAAATTACAGATTATGATAGTATTACCTTAATTAAAAAAAAATTATAAATTTATATGATAGTTTTACCTTTTTAAAAAAAATTATAGGTTATGTTTATGATAGTTATTCCTTAAACATAAATCTTAGAAGTAACAAGTTATAGGTTATGTTTAGTATTACCTTAATTTAGAAAAATTATAAGTTTATGATAGTTTTAATTTGTTCAAAAAAAAAAAAAAAAAAAAAAAAAATTATAGGTTATGTTTATGATAGTTTTGAGTAAAAATAGACAAAAAGAAGTAAAATAAAATTTATTTTTACTTAATTACATAGAAAAATTTACTATTGATTTTATAATTAGAAAAAAAAGGAATTTTTAATTAAGGTAAAACTATCATAAACATAACCTATAATTTTTTTTTATGTTTCTTAAGTCCCTTTTGTTCAATAGCGCGTCATTTGTAGCAATATTATAATTTTGCATTGTCATTTAACAAATTTTATCAAATTTGATGTCATTGTTGTTACACAAATGAAATTATTTCATTTTTTTTCTCGATAATTAAAATAAAAAATATAAATTAAATTATTATTACAATTTTTTTTTTGTTTGTTAATTTTATTCTCTTTTCTTTTGCTCTAGATGAAATCTAATCTCGATATCAAAAGACAATCGAAAGGTAAAGGAACTTTTTATCAGGTAATTATTATTATTATTATTTTTATTATTATTATTATTATTATTATTATTATTATTAATATTATTATAATTATTTTTATGATTATTTTATAATAAGTATTATTATTATTATATTATTATTATTATTATTATTATTATTATTATTATTATTATTATTATTATTATTATTATATTATTAATATTATTATTATTTTATTTTATTATTGTTATTATTATTTTATATTATTATTGTTTTTTTATTATTATTATTTTCTAAAAAAATGTTTAGGTGGAAAAAATAATAATTATTAATTTTTTTGCTATTTGGCTTAGGAAAAATTATTTAATTGTCACTTTATCCTTGTTAATCAATAAAACTCTCGCGAGTTTATAAGACAAATCGAAATTTATTGCTTGCATCAATTTGTTTGTCTGACTTTATCAAACTCATAACATACATATGTTCTCAGATTGTCGGTACAAGTCTTTAATCAAATTCATTCTTAGATTAAAAATAAAAATAAAAAAAAAAAAAAAAAATGTGTTATAATATTCTCTTAATTACTTGTACATGACAATAGGTTATCAATTAAGAATCTTATAATTAAATTCACAAACACCGCCAAAGGATATATATATATATATATATATATGAAATTTAAATATTTCAAAATTATTAAAATATATATATATATATATATATATATATATATATAGCTTATTTGTATCATTAAAATAAAAGAAATACTCATAATGACATAACAGATATAGAAACGATAGTATAATAATAATATATATATATATATAAATTGAGTCACGAGATCAGTTGGATTTCTCGCACAATAATGTCATTGACATTGTCAAGACATTATTATTTTTCCATATTCATGATTCTATTTCCATATTTTATATTTAAAAAAAAATATCATTCATAAAAAATAGGAGTAAAATTATTTTTATTTTGGTTTTAAACAAAATTTAATAATAATAATAATAATAAAATAATATAATTAGTAACATAAAATTATTATTATTATTATTATTATTAAACTAGGAAAAATTATTTAAAATAATATATTTTTATTTTTTACTTGAAAATTCAGTTACAGATGTGCGTTTTAGCAAATTTATCAGTTATGGGACCTTCAATGGGATTTGGTTATAGTACCGTTGCGCTACCACCGCTTCAATCTCCAAATAGTGAATTTAAAATTAATGACAATCAAGCTTCATGGATTGGTTTGTATTTTTATTTTTATGTACAAAAAATGTGACGCTCTCTTTTAAAAAACGGAAACTTAAAAAAGAAAACAAAAAAAAAAAAAAAATTTGAGGTTATGTTTATGATTGTTTGATTAAAAATTTTAATTATATATGTAAAAATCAGTTTGTTTTTTTTTTTTGGTAATAAAGAATTAAACATTTTTTTTTTAATTTTAATCCTCTTTTTGTATTTTTTAAAATATAGGCATAAAAAAATAATCTATTGCTTGTTTATTAAGGTAAAACTATTATAAACTTAACCTATAATTTTTTGTTCCAATCTATCGTAAAGTATAATTGCTATACTCCAAACTATCATATAAACATAAACTACAATTTTTTTTACTAAAATCCATCATAAACTACAATTGGTTTGCTTATTGAACTATATCGTAAACATAACCTATAATTTTCTAATTAATGTAAAACTACTATACAAATAACCTATAATTTTCTAATTAATGTAAAACTATTATAAACATAACCTATGATTGTTTTTGCACCAAACTATCATAAATATAACCTAAAATTTTTTATAATCATGGTAAAGCTATGAGGAACATAACCTATAAATTTAAATCATAAACTATTATAAATATAACCTATGTTTTTGTTCCAAATTATTATAAACATAACCTAAAATTGCTTCCTCATGGAGGAAGTATTTTTTTTTATAATCATGGTAAAATTATCATAAACATAACCTAAAATTTTTTTTTATAATCATGGTAAAACTATCATAAACATAACCTATAAATTTTAATTATAAACATAACTTAAAATTTTTTTTTATAATCAAAGTCAAAAACAATTATAAACATAACCTATAATTTTTTTTTTTTTTTTTTTTTGCTTTTGAGAGCGTCACAAATATAAATAATATTTTGACGATAAAAAAATTGTAATGTTAAAAAATTTTTTAATAATATTTCTAAAAGAATAATTTTTTTTTTTTTTTTTTTAGCTAGTGCTGCTGCAATTTCAATTCCATTTGGATGTTTTATTACTAGTTTTGTAATGCGAAGGGGTAGAAAAACTTCACTTTTAATAATATCAACCGTCTCATTAATTGGATGGTTAACAATTTATCTTTCAACAAATGTTGAACAAATAATTATTGGACGAATTTTATCGGGAATTTCAACTGGTTTAGCAACAGTGCCAACGACAGTTTATGCTGCTGAAGTGTCTTCGGCAAAATGGCGAAGCACTGTTGTTACATGGACAAGCATTGCCATTGCTGCTGGCGTTCTAATTGTCTATATTTTTGGATTTATATTTCCGGTACAATTTTCAATTTTATTTATTTCCATTATACTTATTATTTTATTTTTTCTTATTTGTCGTGTTTTTTATTTTTTTTTTTTATTTATTTATTTTTGTTTTATTTATTTTTTTAATAAATTATATTTTTTTGCCTCCCCCCCCCAGGAAAATTGGAGAATGGTAGCACTTCTTTGTGCAATTTTTCCTCTTGTTTCATTTATTATTACTGCATTTATTATGCCCGAATCGCCAATATGGTTACGTGAAAGAGGTAAATTAATTGAGGCGGAATTAATTTTGAAAAAATTTCGTGGCGTTCCAAAAGAATCGCCACTTCCACCTGAAATTGTGGCTGAATTTGAGGTATTCAAAAAAAAAAAAAAAAAATTTTTTTTTGTAAAATTTAAAATATTTTATCTATATAGTGAAAAGAAAAAATTATAGGTTATGTTTATGATATAGATTTTACTTTAAACGATCAGCAAACATAACCTATAATTTTTTCACCAAGTTATCAATAAACATAACCTGAATTTTCACAAATCATGACAATACTATCATATAAACATAACCTACAATTTTGTTTCGAAATTATCATAAACATAAACTTTTAAATTTTTTCTTCTTAACTATCATTAACATAACCTACAACTTTTGGATCCAAACTATCATAAACGTAACCTATAATTTTTAGATCAAAATTATTATAAATGTAACCTATAAATTTTTTTCTCCAAACTATCATAAACATAACTTAGAATTTTTTCTCTAAAGTTATCATAAACATAAGCTACAATTTTTTTGCCCTAATCTATCATAAACATAACCTACAAATTTTTCGTCCTAAACTATCGTAAAAATAACCTACAATTTTTTGCTCCAAGGTATCATGAACATAACCTTAATCTTCACAAATCATAAAAAAACTATCATAAACATAACATATAATTTTTGGTATAAACTATCATAAACATAACCTATAACTTTTCGATTAAAAGTATTATAAATGTAACCTATCAATTTTTTTTCTCCAAACTATCATAAACATAACCTATAATTTTTTCTTCAAGTTATCATAAATATAACCTACAATTTTTTTTGCCCTAATCTATCATAAATATATCATACAATTTTTCGCCTCTAAACTATCGTAAAAATAACCTATAATTTTTGCTCCAAGGTATCATAAACATAACCTTAATCTTCACAAATCATGACAAAACTATCATAAACATAACCTATAATTTTTTCCCATACTATCATAAACATAACCTATAATTTTTTCCCATACTATCATAAACATAATCTATAACTTTTTTCCCATACTATCATAAACATAACCTATAAATTTTTAGACCCAAACTATCGTAAACATAACCTACAACTTTTGAATGCAAACTATCATAAATGTATAACTTATAAATTTTGTTCTCCAAACTATCGCATAAACATAACTTATAATTTTTTAATTATGGTAAAAATAGCATAAACATAACCTATAATTATTTTTGATTCAAACTATCATAAACATAACCTATAATTTTTTGCTTTAAACTATCATAATTAAGGTAAAATTAACATAAACATAACCTATAACTGTTTTGCCACAAACTATTATAAACATAACCTAAAATTTTTTTTGCTCCAAACAATCATAAACATAATCTAAAAATTTTTTGCTCCTAACTATCATAAGCATAAACAATAATTTTCTAATTAATGTAAAACTATTATAAACATAACCTATAATTTTTTACTCCAAACTTTTATAAACATAACCTATAATTTTTGCCCTAAATTATCATAAACATAATCTATAATTGTTTCCCATACTATCATAAACATAACCTATAAATTTTTTGTGCCCAACTATCCTAAACATAATCTATAATTCTTGTGAATCAAAGTTCCCTTTCTTCAGTGTGCTATTGATAAAAAATTGATAAAAAGAAGTTATTGTATGGCAGGCGCCTAAAGAAAGGGTCCCAAGAAGTAAAAATAATTGTAGGTTATGTTTATGTTAGTTTACTACGATTAAAAGTTCCTTTATTTTAATTATACATAACCTAAAATTTTTTCCTCCTAACTATCATAAGCATAAACTATAATTTTAATAACCTTAAAATTTTTAACTCAAAACTATCATAAACATAACCTAAAAATTTCTAATTAATGTAAAACTATTATAAACATAACCTATAATTATTTTTGTTTTCAAACTATCATAAACATAACCTTAAAATTTTTGGCTCAAAACTATCATAATTAAGGAAATATTCTCATAAACATAACCTATAACTGTTTTGCCACAAACTATCATAAACATAACCTAAAACTATTAGATCCAAACTATCATAAACATAACCTATAACTTTTGGATCAAAATTATTTTAAATGTAGCCTATAAATTCTTTTCTCCAAACTATCATAAACATAACCTATAAATTTTTAGTTCCAAACTATCGTAAACATAACCTACAACTTTTGAATGCAAACTATCATAAATGTAACTTATAAATTTTGTTCTCCAAACTATCGCCTTAATATAACTTAGAATTTTTTTAATTATGGTAAAAATAGCATAAACATAACCTATAATTATTTTTGTTTCAAACTATCATAAACATAACCTATCAAATTTTTTTGCTACAAACTATCATAAACATAACCTAACATTTTTTGCTCCTAACTATCATAAGCATAAACTATAATTTTCGAATTAATGTAAAACTACTATAAACATAACCTATAAATTTTTCCTTCTTCTATCATTTAATAGCCTTATATTACTATTATTAATTATTTATATTATTAGTATTATTATATTATATTATAATTTATATTATTTAAAATTTTTAGGTTTTATCCCTGCTTTTTTTTTTTATTTTAGGTGAAGCATCATCATCATAAAAAGAAGAATCTTATGAAACATATTCTTCGTCGCACTGCACTTATACCGTCATTTATTTTATTGGGATATTTTTTTTTTCAACAATTTTCAGGTATTTTTGCCGTTGTCTATTATGCAGTACAAATATCAGAGGATTCAGGTGTTAAAATTGATCATCATTTAAATGCAATTTTCATTGGTGCAACACGTCTTATTGGTGCATTTTTAGTTGCATGGGCCTCGCGTCGTTTTGGACGTCGTACTCTTTCAATTTTATCAGGTTTAGGAATGACCATTTCAATTGGATGTCTTTCATTTTATCTTTTTCTACACGATCGTGATTACGTGACGTCTGATGAAAACATTTTACCAGTGATATGTCTCATTTCATACATATTCATGAGTACACTTGGTTTCCTGGTGTTGCCTTTCGCCATGGTGGGCGAGCTTTACCCCTCCAAGGTCAAGGACGTTCTCTCTGGATTCACAACATGCATCGCTTATATATTTAGTTTTATTTCCGTTAAGGCATATCCCGATATGATTTTAATTATGGGTAAACATGGTATATTTTGTTTTTATGCATTATTTTCATTGTTTGGTACAATTTTTGTTATTTTCTTTTTACCTGAAACAAGAGGTAAGACAATTAAAGAAATTGAAAATATTTATGCAAAAAAGACAATAAGTGAAAAATTTGATGAGATTAATGTAAAAGAGAAAATGGTACCTTGATTTTTTTTCATTTTTTTCAAAGAAGAAAGAAAGGGAAAGAAAATTATAGGTTATGTGTATGATAGTTTTATATAACTTAATGGAAAATTTATAGGTTATGTTTTTAATTGTTTTCAATGACCTCTTGATGGACAGAAAAAAAAGAGGTTATATTCATGACCTGTTTTCAATAAAGGTAAAACTATCGTAAACATAACCTATTCTAAATAAACGTAAAACAATCGTAAACATAACCTCAAATTTTTAATCGACGTTAAACGATCATAATAACACAAAAATTGTTTGCTCTAAACAATCGTAATTAGGATAAAACTATCATAAACATAACCTTAAATTTTTTGCTCCAAACTGTTATATAAACATAATTTACAATTTTTTTATAATCAAGATTAAACTATCATATAAACATAACCTAAAATTGCTTTGCTCCAAAATATAAACATAAACTACAATTTTTTTTGCTTCAAACTATCAGAAACATAACCTACAATTTTTTGCTTCAAACTATCGGAAACATAACCTACAATTTGTTGCTTTAAACTATCAGAAACATAACCTACAATATTTTTGGTTCAAACTATCAGAAACATAACCTACAATTTTTTTACTCTAATCCATTATAAACATAACTTACAATTTTTTATAATCATGGTAAAATTATCATAAACATAATCTAAAATTTTTTATAATCAAAGTACAACTATTATAAACATAACCTTAAATATTTTTTCTCTAAATTATCATAAACATAACCTACAATTTTTTACTCCGAACTATCATGAGAACATAACCTACAACTTTTATAATCAAAGTCATAAACATAACCTAAAATTTTTTACAATCATGGTAAAACTATCATAAACATAACCTATAACTTTTTATTCAAGGTAAAACTATTATAAACATAACCTATAATTTTTTTTTGATTCCTTTCTTCAAAAGCGCACCACAAAAAAAAATATAATATTTATAGTAAAAAAATCAAAAAAATCGTATTTTTAATTTAATTTAATGTATCATCATCATTGTCATAGTTATTTGCCTTATTGAAATTAAAAAAAAAAATATTTTTTTACTATATTCTAGAATGAATTTTCCTATTTTTTAAGGTTATTTTGTAAATTTATACATGTACTTCTTTTTTCTTGTGATTGTCCGATAGTCATTTGAATGTAAAATAAAGATGTTTTTCTTTTTTAAAAACTGTATTTTTTTGATTTTTTACAAATTTACTATGTTAGTATGGTAAATTTTACCATAAAAGATTATTTTTAAAAATCCAAAAGTGAAAATATCCAAAAGTTCAAATTTCCAATAGTTTAAATATTCAAAAGTTCGAATTTCTAAAATGTTTAAATATTCCAAATTTTGAATTTATCAAAAGTTTGAATTTCCAAAAGTTTAAATACCCAAAAGTTCGAATTTTCAGAAGCTGAAATATTCCATATTTTGAATTTATCAGAAGTTCGAATTTCCGAATGTTTAAATATTCAAAAGTTTGAATTTTCAAAAGTTTAAATAATCAAAATTTTTAATTCACCGAAAGTTCGAATTTACATAAATTTTGAATATACCAAAAGTTCGAATTTCCAAAATTTTAAATATCCAAAAGTTCGAATTTTTAAAAGTTTAAATATTCAAAAATTTGAATTTATCAAAAGTTCGAATTTCCGAATGTTTAAATATTGAAAAGTTCGAATTTCCAAAATTTTGAATTTACCAAAAGTTCGAATTTCCAAAATTTTAAATACCCAAAAGTTCGAATTTTTAAAAGTTTAAATATTCAAAAGTTCGAATTTCTAAAATGTTTAAATATTCCAAATTTTTAGTTCACCAAAAGTTCGAATTTACAAAATTTTGAATTTACCGAAAGTTCGAATTTACAAAAATTTAAATTTACCAAAAGTTCGAATTTCCCAGTGTTTAAATACCCAGAAGTTCAAATTTCTATAATTTTAAATACCCAAAAGTTCGAATTTTCAAAAAAAAGTATTCAAAATTTTGAATTTGTCAAAATTCGAATTTCTATAATTTTAAATACCCAAAAGTTCAAATTTTCAAAAATAAGTATTCAAAATTTTGAATTTATCAAAATTCGAATTTCTATAATTTTAAATACACAAAAGTTCAAATTTTCAAAAGTTTAAATATTCAAAAGTTCGAATTTACAAAATTGTAAATATTCAAAAATTTTAATTTACAAACAGAATAAAAGCAGAGTAGGTATATATTATTATGTAAGAAAAAAATAACAACAAATTTTTGAATGAATTTGATTTTATTATTAAAATCTTAAATAATAAATTAACAAATATAATTATAACAATCATCACGATAATTAAATAACAAAAAATACAAGTCAAATATGTATATATATATATATATATATATATATATATATATATATATATATATATATATATATAATAATAATATAAATAATAATGAGAGCGAATATTTTTCGCATTTATTTTACAAAAATGCAAACGAGAACGATAACATTTTTCCTAAATGCTTTATATATCTATACAAAATCTGATAATAAATATTACAATAATAATCTACACATTTTTCTTTATAATTCAGAAGCTTTTTTTTCCCTAATAAAAAAAAGCGATCTGATTTTTTTTTTTTTTTTTTTTCAAGAATAATAATATCATTCCTATATTGTATGCGGTTTTTTTTTCTTTCCCCAGATTTAAACAAAAAAATTTTGAGCTTTATTCTTTTAGAAATGTCAAATTAAATTTTTTTTTTTTTTTTACAAAAAATTTGACAAAAAAAAAAAGCTCTTGATTTGTTTCCGTAAGGAATTCGCATTTTTTTTTAAACCTTCCGTAACAGGGACGTTGCTACTTTTTTGTTTGTTTGTTTTTTTTTTTTAATTTAGTAAAAAGAGTTCGTCCAATAATACGGAGGTTTGTTGAAAAATTTGAATATTTCTGAAACTTTTCACATTCCCAGCGAAGAGTGACAGTTTTTTTTTTTTTTTTTTTCTTTCATATTGATTTTTTTTTTTTTATCGTCTCACAAATCTAAAACTCCATGATTTTTCCGGTAGTGCAAGATTACCAATTGGCACTTTATAGTTTGCAGTTTCAATTGGTAGAATTGTAAAATTTTTCAAAACACTCGCAATTGTTGAGAAACTAAGATAGAGAACCATTTTATAACCCATACACGATCTTCGACCACCGCCAAATGGCAAAAAATGTTCTGGTTTTTGTAATTGTCCATTGCGTACAAATCTATCGGGAATAAATTCAGATGGATTTGTCCATAATTCCTCGGACATATTTAAATCGTAATTATTCAAAAATATAAATGTATCCTTCTCCACTCTGTAACCTGGAAATATAAGGGAATTGATATAGTTTTATTTTAGTGCGATTTTGAATATTGGAAGTATAGATTTTGGTCAAAATTTTGGTTTAAAAATAATTTCTTTACCGAAGTAATGCTGAATTTTGATGATTTGGTGGGAAATTTTGGGATATTAGTAGGTACGGATGTTACTGTTTGAAAATTAAATGGGTCCGAATCCCTCATAACAAAAGGATATCCCTAGGATATCCATAGGATATCCATATCAATGGCCAATATCCTAGAATGGTCCTCAGGATATCTTGGGATATCCATAGGATATCCAAACCGCCGGTCTGTGGGACATCCATAGGATATCCACAGGATATCCCTAAGACATCCACAAAATATCTATTGGATATTATATCGCAGGATATCCACAGGATATCTCAGGATATCCATGGGACATCCTCAGGATGTCCGTGGGACATCAACAGGACATTCATAGGATATCCACAGGATATCCCTAAGACATCCACAAAATATCTATTAGATATTATATCGCAGGATATCCATGGGATATCCTCAGGATGTCCGTGGGACAAAAACAGGACATCCATAGGATATCTCTAAGACATCCACAAAATATCTATTGGATGATATATGGCAGGATATCCATAAAATATCCTATGGATGTCCATGGGACATGAACAGGACATCCATAGGATATCCCTAGGATATCCAAACCGCCGACCGTGGGACATCAACAGGACATCCATAGGATATCCACAGGATATCCCTAAGACATCCACAAAATATCTATTGGATATTATATCGCAGGATATCCACAGGATATCTCAGGATATCCATGGGATATCCTCAGGATGTCCGTGGGACATCAACAGGACATTCATAGGATATCCACAGGATATCCCTAAGACATCCACAAAATATCTATTGGATATTATATCGCAGGATATCCATGAAATATCCTCAGGACATCCATAGGATATCCACAGGATATCCCTAAGACATCCACAAAAAATCTATTAGATATTATATCGCAGGATATCCATAGGACATCCTCAGGATGTCCGTGGGACATCAACAGGACATCCATAGGATATCCCTAAGACATCCACAAAATATCTATTGGATATTATATCGCAGGATATCCATGGGATATCCTCAGGATGTCCGTGGGACATCAACAGGACATCAACAGGACATCCATAGGATATCCCTAAGACATCCACAAAATATCTATTGGATATTATATCGCAGGATATCCATAGGATATCCATGAAATATCCTCAGGATGTCCGTGGGACATCAACAGGACATCCATAGGATATCCACAGGATATCCAAACCGCCGGTCTGTGGGACATCAACAGGACATCCATAGGATATCCACAGGATATCCCTAAGACATCCACAAAATATCTATTGGATATTATATCGCACGATATCCATAGGATATCAGTGGGACATCAACAGGACATCCTTAGGATATCCAAACCGCCGGTCTGTGGGACATTAACAGGATATCCACAGGATATCCCTAAGACATCCACAAAATATCTATTGGATATTATATCGCACGATATCTGTGGGACATCAACAGGACATCCATAGGATAGTCCTAAGACATCCACAAAATATCTATTGGATATTGTATCGCAGGATATCCGCAGGATATCCATGGGATATCCTCAGGATGTCCGTGGGACATCAACTGGACATCCATAGGATATCCACAAAATATCTATTGGATATTATATCGTAGGATAACCATAGGATATCCTGATGATATCTGTGGGTTATCCTGACGATATCTATGGGATATCTGTTATGAAAGTCTATAGAGATATCCAGAAGATATCCTGTGGATATCCTCAGATATCCAAAGGATATCCAAACCGCCGATTTTTTTGAATATCCTTAAGAGATCCTTTTGATATCCATAGGACATCCCTAGGATATCTGCGGGATATTATCAATATATCCCAAGAAATCTTGTGTTATTAGGGATGATATAAATGTAGATTTTGGTCAAAATTTTAGTTTGGAAAACAGTTTCTGTAGAGGAAGTAAAATTTTGATGATTTGGTTGGAAATTTTAGGAAATTAGTAGGTCTGGATATTTGGAAACTAGAAAATCCGATTGTTATACTGTTTGGAAATTAATAAATCTGGATGATTTTAGAAACTAATGAATTCGAATGATATTGTTTGAAAATTAATAGGTTCGAACGCAACTGTTTGGAAATTAATAGATTTTTTTGGCTAAAATTAGAAATAAATTTTAAAATTCTATACTAACCAGCAATCGAACTGCTTTGACTTGCCACATGCGGTACAATTGGACTAGCAATAATTCTAATAGTCTCCATAATAATAGCCTCAATATAGGGCAAAGAACGTCTATATTCCAATCCAATAGTACACTCAAAATTGTCAATTTGATCAATTTCCCTTTGTGCCGCCTCTTGAACATTTAATCGTGTTGTTAAAAATCCAAAAACTTTCATTAAAAAATTACCAATCGCCGAATGTCCACCAATAATATCCTCCAATGCAAATAAACCCGTATTCCACGACATTTTTGGTTCTGTATTTGTTTTCACATGATTTATCAAACAATCAACATAATCATTCTCCTCAATTGTTGATGACCAATTTTTAAAACGATCCTCTATAACGCATTCCTCAACAAATTCTCTAATACAATGACTCCAATTTGCCATTCTTGACATATTTTTATGATGTAATGGCATTAGAAATGGCATAAAATCAGCTGCATAACCTTGATTTACTTCAAAGAATACTTTATCAAAATTATAAACCATTTCATTGAATTCCTTATGTTTAATGGGAAATGATTTTGAACAAAAATAAGTCATAAAAATATTTGCACACGTATGAAGAATTAATGGTTTTGCCTCAATTGTTTCATTTGATTTTATTGATAATTCATTAATAAGGGTTTTTAATTCTTGACAAATAATATTGCTGAGTTGATGATGTTTTTTTGTGAATGCACGTGGAAATGTGTGTGCTCTAAGCATTTCGCGACGTGATTTTTGTAATTCGGACCAGTCAGAGAAAGCGAGCGCTGAAACAGAAAGTGAAAAAAAATTTTTTTTTTTTTTTTTTGATTGTTTCAAAAAGAAAACAAAAAGTAAAAATACAAAAAGATACAGAAACGGAAATACAAAAAGGTACCAAAAAAAAAGGGAAAAATACAGAATGGGAAATATAAATAATTGAATTGAGTCAATTACGTACAAATGATTCTATTTATGGAAAACTTAAACCCTAAAAACTGGTTTTAAAAGAAATGGTGATGAAAAGAAGAAGAAGAAAAAAAATAATGAAGAAATTCCCTTCTGTATTTCAAAGACTCTCACATGGCGCAATGAAAGCAAGGTCATTAACACACAAGTCGTTACGCATAACCTTAACCTTAATGATTGACAATCATGATCTTGAAAATGAGAGTTGGAGAAACTGTGTTATGAGTTTGAAAGGCAACAACAACAATCCGTTTATTATTATTATTATTTTTTTTTCTATGTAAATTATTACAAATTATTACGGATTGTACAAGTTTTTTTTACAGATTTTAAAAATTGTTACAGATTGTAGAAATTATTCAAAAATTGTTATAGATTGTACAAATTTTTACGGATTGTAAAAATTGTCACGGATTGTACAAACTGTTACAGATTTTAGAAACTATAACAGATTGTATAAATTATTAAAAACTAATAATTTTTATCCTAATTTGTACAATCTGTAATAGTTTGTACAATCTGTAAAAATTTCTAAAATCTGTAACAATTTTTGAATAATTCGTAACAATTTGCAATAGTTTGTACAATCTGTAATAGTTTGTACAATCTGTAAAAGTTTCTAAAATCTGTAACAATTTTTGAATAATTCGTAACAATTTGCAATAGTTTGTACAATCTGTAATAATTTTTGACAATCCTATTACAATTATTTCTACAATCCGTAATAATTATATAACAAATTCTAAAAAATTATTACAAATTTTATAAACCATTACAGATTATACAAATTAATAAAAATTTGTTACAGATTGTAAAAACTGTTAAAAATTCATTTAAAAAAATGCCATTAGTATTAATGGATTGAAAATTTAAAATTACTATATAGCAATTTTAAAAATTTAGAAACTTACAGTTCTCCTTATTGCCCGAAAAAAGCAAATGATATCTCGTGAAATTGGGCCTCGAATCAAAATGTGCCCCCTTATTGATGAGCACCTCCTTAATATTCTCCAATCCATTTACAACAATACAATTAACAGAACCCATTTTCATTTTTAATACTGGACTCTTGTAAATTTTGACAAGTTCAGCGAATGCTTTATAAGGCACATCATATTGTCCCAATATATGAAGTGATCCTAAAATAGGCCACGGTTTTGGTCCAGGTGGTTCGGGTAAAATTTTTTCAACACTATCAATTGTTTTTGCAGTTAAATTTTTTTTTCTCAATCTCATATAATCGGCGAGTATCAATAAAATTGCAATTAAAAGAATTGCAATTAAAAAATAAGTTGTACTACCAATCAAAATTAGGGACATTGTTAGCAAAAAAAAAAAAAAATTTTTTTCTTTTTGTCACTTTAACTTCCGCACTTGATTCTTCCGGTTTTTTATTTTTCGGAAAAAAAAACAACAAACTGTTGCGCGAGGTGTCAGTTTGTCTGTCTGTCCGTGAACCTTTTGTCGATCTGACACGGTCTGTGGGGATAGGATGGTTGACTGCTATCTTATATAGCTGGCGTAATGTAGTCAGCACATTTACGTCGTTGCTCACCCCATACATATGGAATTGGTCAGGACGATCGACAGAGAGTACCCCTCCGTGAGAGATGAATTTGAAAAAAAAAAAATCTTTCTCTCTCTTTTACGCTTTTCGAAGTGAGAGAGAGAGAGAGGAAGGTGAGAGGAATACCAGAGATGCAGGGAGAGAGAGAGAGAGAGAGAGATGTACAGAAAAGTAGAAGGGAACATGTTTTAACTGATAACGAATTTCTTTGCGCAGAAGGGTCGTTTTTTAATGATGGTATATAGTGATTGAGAATTTTCTGTTGCCCTTTGCGGGTTTTAACAGCTGATATGTTACAAGTTTAAAATTTTTTTGGAGATAACTTCAGGGGACCTGGTTCTTATCCTCAATCTCTCTCTCTCTTTTTCTCTTTTTCTTTCTCTCTACTCCTTTTTCTGAACATATACATCCTCCACTTTCGGTTATATGGTATTCCTATTCAGAATATTTAGGTGATAATTTGACATTTCTTATCTCGCGAGAGATGATTATCATTCTGAAGCAGTGAAAGGAATAAAAATTTTGCTTTCGTTATTGGAATTTGAGGAAGTGATAGCAGAGCAGTAGCATTATGTGCGGTCTAAAAAGTGAGAAAGGAAAACCCTTAAAAAAAAAAGGTTTTTTTTTTGATAAAGTTTTAAAAGTTGCAGGAATAATTAAATTTAGAGGACCTTAAAAAAATACAAATATACTTTATAGAGAGACGTAATATAAGAAAATATCGAAGCTTTTGTAGTCGAAAATGCAAAAAAAATTATAGGTTATGGTTGACTTTTAGGTTAATTAGGTTGCAAAACTATCATAAATATAACCTAGAATTTTTTCTTTTTAATCAAGGCAAAATTATTATAAACATAACCTTTATAATTGTTTGGTTCAAACTATTAAAAACATAACTAGAATTTTTTATAATCCAACTAAAACTATCATAAACGTAACCTGTAATTGTTTTGCTCAAAACTATCATAAACATAACCTACAATTTTTCTTAAATCAAGATAAAACTAGAGGAAACATAACCTCTCATATTTTATAATTAGGGGTAAAACAATCATAAACATAACCTATAATTTTTTTGCTTCTTAAATTTAGTTTTTTTTTCAAAAAAGGTATTCAAATTTTCAAATTAATATCGGTAAATGTAATGATAGTTTTTTAACTTAATTAAGAAGTTATAGGTTATGTTTATGATAGTTATTAACCTTAATTATAATAAAAATATAAGTTACGTTTATGATAATTTGGAGCAAAAAAATTATAGGTTATGTGAATGATTGTTTTTGACTTAGATTATAGAAAATTGTAGGTTATGTTTATGATAGTTTAGGATTTTGATTAAACAAATTATATGTTGTGTTTATGATAGTTTTTGACCTCGATCATAAAAAATTGTAAACTGTTGTATAATAACAACAAAATAATATAAATTTTCTAAAAAATTGATATCACTTTTTAAAAATTTATAAATTATTCTTTTTTGTTTCAGATACGACAGTGGACACGTAAAAGAATATTAAAAAAGTGAAGCGGGTAGCAAAAAAGGGTTGTTTTATATTAATGATGAATAATAATAATAATAACAACAACAACAACAACCAAAAGGGTGCTTAAAATTAATTATGTGAAATAAAATTATAGGTTATGTTTATGATAGTTTAAAGAAAAAAATTGTAGGTTATGTTTCTGATAGTTTAGAGAAAAAAAATCTAGGTAGTTATGTTTATGAGTTTTATTTTTATTACAAAATTCTTAGTTATGTTTATGATAGTTTAAAGCAAAAATTTATAGGTTAGTTTATGATAGTTTAGAGCAAAAAATTCTAGGTTATGTTTATGATAGTTCGGAGCAAAAAGTTATATGTTATGTTCATGATAGTTTAGAGAAAAAAAAATTGTAGGTTATGTTTATGATAGTTTAAAGAAAAAAATTTTAGGTTATGTTTATGATAGTTTTATGTTTATTACAAAATTATAGGTTATGTTTATGATAGTTTGAAGTGTATAAATATATAATATATTAAATAGAATAGGAAAATATAACAGAAAAATTAATTTTTGACAAAAAAAAATTATTTGCAAAATTGAAAAACAAGAATTTACTCAGTGAACGTAACAAAAACGATATTTCTATTTCAATTTTAGATTCCATTAAGAGTTGAATCATTAATTTTCTTTCATTTTTGCATATATTACAAAGATGCGTTTTAATTTTGGCCCTATGACATTTTTTTTAACATTCCCCGTTATTTCTCTATAGAGAGGAAGTCCCGCTAACTTCCCAGAAATTGACTCTCGATAATATACACACGCCTCTCTTGATACCGATGAAGTAATATATACCAATGAGAGGGAAAAAACGGAGGCACACGATCTTAATGAATTATTCATGAGCTTTATATATATATATATATATATATATACGAATTCGAGAAATTGTTTTTTGAATTATATAAAAATTTAAAAATTTTCATCCCTTTTTTATTTTTTTAAAGAAAAAAATAAAATGCAACTTTTTTTTAATTTTTTGTATTTCACTATTTTTTGGTATTTTTTTTTTATGTTGTCAATTAATATTCACAAACAAAAAAAAAAGAAAAATATGTGGCTGATTCATGTTTTTCCCTTGAACCGCTTAGATTTCATGTTACACGTAACGGTAATTGAGAAAATAAAATCTTGCGTCATTTTATCGGAAAAAATACTAAGTTTAAAACAACATCGCGCAGGGTTCCGCTTGACGATTAAATGCGTTGATCGTGTATGTATAATAATTGAGAGAAAGGTGAGTGTATACGTTTTTTTTTTTTTATATAGTATATGAGAAGGAAAGCAACACTCTCGACAACTCCAAAATCGAGTTTTTTCAATCATAAACATAACCTATTATTTTTTTTTTAATAATCAAGGTAAAACTATCATAAACATAACCTAAAAATTTTTGCTTTAAACTATCATAATTAAGATAAAACTATATCATAAACACAACCTAAAATTTTTTTGCTCCAAACTATCATAAACATAACCTATAATTTTTTCCCCTTCTTTTTTTTTTTTTTTTAAACCGCATCATAATTTTGAATATTCCTGATTATTCCCTTTTTAAGAATATATTTATCCATAATCTCAAATTTCAAAAGATGAAGAAAAAAAAAAAATTAAAATCGCAACCTCTTGAAATTTAAATTTTTGCGACGTGATACGTAGGATTATTTAAGCGAGCAAAGTGGAGAGAGAGAAAGAGAGATCCATGAATAGAAGTAAGTCTGACATTGTAAAAAAAAAAGATATACTTTACAAGTTGAAAATTACGTTTGAAGACAGGGTTTCTTAGTTTTATGGCTGACTTCGAATGCGAAGGTCCTCTGCAAATCAAGGTTGACCGAATTCACAAGTGTCGATACTTTGCTATACGCTCCACTTTTTAATAAATTTTATGTTTCATTTTAAAAATTTATTTTCAATATGTATTATTCACTTATATATTAGTAATTAGTAATATATAATAATAATATTAATAATAGTAATAATAATAATAATAATAATAATAATAATAATAATAATACTAATAATAATATTAATAATAATAATAACTTAATTTTTACGAAAAATGAAGAGTATTATGACTTAAGGGTCAAAAAATTATAGGTTAGGTTTATGATTGTCTTACAATTAAAAAATTTTAGGTTATGTTTATGATAGTTTGAAAATAAGCAAAGAGGATTAAAATACAAAACAAAATATTAATGTAGTAATAAAAAATTGGTAATGATAATAATAATAATATATAATAATAATAATAATAATAATAATAATAATGTTAAAGTTTGGAAAAATAGTAAAATTTCCCTGTTTTGATTTTCTAAGAATGTTCCAAAACGTTCCATAACGTTCCATGACCTCATTAATCGTTTGTGTGTGTGTGTGTGTGTTGCGAGTAAGTCCCGCAATGTTTGAAGTATCATATATAGTGTATATAGTCTTTGAAATACAGACGTAATCACTATTTGTCTGCTTTTTTTTGCTGATCGGCTCGTTTTGATAATCGCAAAAAGCTATTTTCTTATTCCTCAAATATACAGAGATCTCAAAAACCTGATTATCGATTTTCATGATAAATCATATATATATATATATATATATATATATATTTATATGACACTTTTATATTTATTATGATTTATTAGAAAAGATTTTTATGAATTTTTTTTATTACTCTTAGGTATATATGATTCAACTAAATAGCTTTCATATATCTGAATCAGTATTACGTATATATATATATATATATATATATATATATATATATATATATAGTGAAAACATTGTAATAATATATTAATATTGTGTAACATTACTCTAACCTTAGAAAACGTTTTGTTACGTCTGCTAGTGTAAAAAAGTTTAGATCAATTTCTAAGTTTCTTCTAACACTGATGAAAAGAAGGGGTTGATGTAATTTTTACCATACAAGCCATTATTATTATTATTATTATTATTATTATTATTATTATTATTATTATTTTGTAACAGTAACGCTTTTATTAATAAAAGCTTGTTACTTTTTTGTAACGGTAACGCATTACTTTATTGTAACGGTGACGCATTACTTTGTGTTACTTTATTGTAACGGTAACGCGTTACTTTGTGTTATTTTATTGTAACGGTAACGCGTTACTTTATGAGTAAACGTTACGTGTTACTTTTGAAAGTAACAATTCAGTTTGAAAATTTGAAAAAATTGAAAATTAAATCAGATATATATATATATATATATATATTAATTAAATGTATATGCTAGAAACGAGTGCGGCTGGCGGCATAGACAGAAAAAACTTTTACCTTCGATTGCATCTACATGTCTAACGTGTTCGGTAACAATCCTCGTGGCACATAAGTGGGCAA